AGGAAGTAATTCTAATTGAAATCAATTCAATAACTATCAAAATCTTATATATCTGTATTTCATATACTCACAGCTCATATATTTGTAATATAATTATTTAAAATAAAAATCTCAAACATAGAGAAAATAATAATTACCTTCAAATTAATATTAAATCTAAACTAAAAAGAATATACAAAGAATAATATCATCCAGAGGTTTATTTCACTCTAAAAAGAGACAGAATAGACCAACCAAAGAATATTCTATTTCTTGAGCAAGAGTGGCCCAACATTGTCACCAGTGGCTTTGTTGTGCTTCATGTGAGACCCATCACACAGAGGAAATGTTCCAGATCTCCAACACCTGTTGGAAGTAAAAGCCATTCCAGTTAGATGTAGTCACCAATACAATCTCTAGATGGAAACTAGGAAGTGAAAAGCGTTACTCACCTGCAGTATGCTGTCACCGGCTTGGAGATCTCTCCCACCACCACTGTGTCGACCACTTTCTCCACGTCTTTTCGGATAGAGGGATTGAGCACCACCGATGATGCTTCTCCCTCCTGGACCTGAGCACGCACTCTCACGCTCCTCGACGATGCAAGAGGAGTTCTCACTGCTGCTGGTACCACTGCTAGCTGAAATCCGGTACCGAGAATGCCACCCCCCACCATTGTTGTTGTTGGAACCTGGAAGCCACACGCCCGGCACACGAGAAATATCCTCAGTCTAGTGGCTCCGGTCGAAAACACGTGGCGAGTCGATGGCCGTCCGTGACGAAAGAATACTGCTGTCGTGTAGCTATCTATAGCGTCGAAAATGTACGTCGATCGATGAATGAATGGATGATTGGTTCTCTAGAGTGACTGCTGCCTGGGAATGAGCTCCAAACCGGCTTCGAGGTCCTCGACAGTGATGGACACGAGCTCGTCCGAATCGCAGCAGTCCAGGTCTAGTCTGTAGTCGAGGTGGTCTTTGGCGTTGGCGAGCAGCGGCCAGACGAGGCCACCATTCATCTCGCTGCGCTGCTTCTCTGTTGTCTTGCGGTCCAGGAGCTCCGCAATGGCTCCTGCAGTGCATCCCGGTTCGAGCTTGAGGCCGAAGGTTGGCGAGTCTTCGTGTTGCTCTTTGAGCTTGAGGTGGATCATCTCTGCCAGCTCCTCTGTGCTGAAGTCGGGGAAGTGGAAGAACCTGGTCACCCTCCGGCAGAAGCCTTCGTTGCTTGCGATGACCCGCTTCATGGGCTCTGCGTAGCCAGCAAAGATCACCACTACCTTGCCACTGTCCATGACTGACATGATCTCCTCCAGCGCCTCAACTCCGTAGTCTTTGTCATCTGCTTTCTGCGCTGGTATCAGTCTGTAGGCCTCGTCCACGAAGAGAATGCCTCCTTCAGCTTCTCTGATCTGAACAAGAAAAAAGAGAGACAGAAACATTAGAAGGCGTTCTACGTAGAGATAGATGCTTACTCTTTTCCTTGTTTTTGGGCCCGTGTGACCGACGAACTCGCCAACCAGATCAGTTCGCTGGACCTCAACAACTTTATCGCATTCCAAGACGCCAACCATGTGTAAGAGTTTGGCTAGCAAACGCGCAATCATGGTTTTCCCTATTCACGACGGTCAGAACTTCTGATGAGCATAGAACTCTACAAAAAAAGCATGGCTGCATACCTGTACCGGGATTGCCAAGGAATGCCATGTGAGGCAGCTTTCTTTTGGGAACGTTCAAGCCAAGGCTTCGTCGTTTCTCGTCCAGGAGCATTCCTTTAGCCCACTTGCGAAGCTGGAGCTTGAGGTCGTCTAGACCGACAATTTTCTCAAGTTCTTTCTCCAGCTCCAGCATCTTCAGCTTTGAGCCCGACAACGCTTTTTCCGCTTTCTGCCTCCTCTGTAGATCGAGCTGGCGCTCCAGCATTTCCTGCAGCTTCTCGTTTCCCGAGCTCTTCGGAAGGTGGCTTAGCGGAGTGAGCTTCTCCTGTTCACAACTTGAGTACGATCAGGGAAAGAAAAAGAACAAATTGCATACGTTGTCCTCCAGAGATACATCAGCGTTGTGCTCCAGGAGCACCTCGACTGCTTTACAGTCTTGCGCTCTCACGGAAGACCAGACAGCCAAGTGCAAAGGCGTCATTCCATTCTGAAAAAAAAGAAGCATTGAGTCTACGTAAACATTGGAGGAGGCATAGAAACTTACCAGAGCCTTGGCTTCTTTGCGAGCGTTGTGCTTCAAGAGTACTTTCAAAGCGTCGGTGGAGCCATTCTTCGCTGCTAGATGCAGCGCAGTCTCTCCATACTGCGAGAGAGCGACTAAAAACTGAAGTAGACAAATGACAGTAAAGCATACGTACCATGTTCGTAGCCTCGAGATCGGCTCTCTCCGGTCCATTCCATTCGAGCAAGAACCTCACGGCATCATCCTGGTTGCTGGCAGCTGCCATTTGCAAAGGGGTCTGGGACATCTGCCGTAGAAGAGAAGATTTCAGACAATCCATTGCTAGAGCCGAGAAAGAGGGAAATCACTCGAGGAACTCACCACAGGGTTTCGCGAGTTGATCAATGACGGATTTTGGTGAAGCAATACGCGCAATCCATCGATATCGCCCGACTGCGCCAGAGAATGGCAAGTCACCGGCCTGGCCGAGCGGATCTGCTGCCGCGGATGCATATTTCAGAGCCCCTGCCGCCGAGCGATCGATTTGGAGAAGAATCGATCGAAACGAGAAACTAAAGGATCCTAGAATGTAGCTCCTCCGGATCGTCGAGGCGCGCAACGCGCGAAACCCTGGCCTTCACAGCTGCCCTAGCGTGTGGCGCCTCCACCACCATGGCCTCGAGCTGGCAGTGACCCATATGGCCCAATAGAGGTACGACACGAACTACCAAATGGCACGAAATTGTGCGCCACTTGTACGGCTTTATCGAGCTAGGTTGTTTTGAAATGTGGCGGCGAGTAGTAGCGAGGTACCTAGTGCGCCATCGCGACGAGGGCAAAATCGTGAGTTTTCTTTGATTTTCCATTCCTGCGAGCTCAGATCCACGGGATTCTCTCAGCCAGAAGGTATTATGAAGCAATCGATCCCTCGGGCCGAGAATCCAAGCGCCTCCAAGAATGTCTCGCTGATCGAAGACACCGAGCTGTCGAAGAGGTAAGAGATTGTCGTTACAAAAGGAAAACCTATAGCTAAAACCAGTATAGAATCCTCAAGCGCGTGCAAAAGCTTATGCACGATGCGATCCATTTGCAAAATCCCGACATGCCGGATAAGAGCCTCGTCCAGCTCCGAGAGGTAGTACGCTATACTTTGATTGATCTGGGTCTAAGTTTGCCAGCACTCAGCATTTCTAGGAGTATGAACGCTTGGATTGGGATAATCGGCAAAGGGCCCTCAAGATACTCTCCACGGAATTCGGAGTTGACAAGAAAAGAGTGAAGGATCTCATCCAGCATTATCTTAGCTTGCACGATGGTACGAAAGGCTAGTTTTTGTGTAATGTTCTCCTCTATCTTTCAGATGAGAAAAGCAAAGCTGGTGACGGAGAAAATCCTCTCGAAGCAGCCCAGTTTCGAACAGAACGGGATCTGAGAGCTTCCTTGATGCCGCTATCGGTGAGATTGTTTGAGCAGATGAATGGCCAAGCCGGTGGCTTGAAGTTTTTGGTGGACCTACGTGCTGATCTGCTTTCTGCTTTACGGTATCTTTTGTTTTCTCACTTGGCCACTTGAACCAGTGGTGTTTGCAGTGATGACAACCTTCCAGCGCTGAGAGCTCTCGATCTCGAGCTGCGAGCGCTATTTTCAACGTGGTTAAGTCCTGCGTGTCTGGAACTTCACCAGGTTACTTGGAATGACGCAGCTTCATTGCTTGAAAAGATTGTCCGATATGAGGTAGTTTTCTGGTGGTTGAGAAGACATTGATTGTCGAGTCTTGTTTTTATGCAGGCTGTGCATCCTATCAGTAATTTGTACGATCTTAAGCGACGATTAGGCATTGGTCGTCGGTGTTTTGGTTATTTCCATCCTGCTATGCCAGGTAAATGTCTATACAGGGGAGCTAAGTAGTGCGACTTGTTTTTCTTAGGGGAACCGCTTGTGTTCATAGAAGTCGCCCTCACGGACACCATTAGTAATTCCATTCAGGTATGGGTTCGTTGTCTTGCTTTTTGCGGAAGCTTATAACGTTTCTTCATGTTCTGAAGGAAGTATTGTTTGACAAGCCACCTATTTCCGAAGAAGATGCGACACATGCGATCTTTTATGCTATTTCGTCGACTCAGGTTCTACATTTTTTGCTCTGTGTATAGTTTCCTTTTGATAAAGCTAAATACACAGGCAGGCTTGTCAGGTATAGATTTGGGAAACTTCCTTATCAAACGGGTGCTCCGCTTACTGCAGCAAGATATGCCTCAAATTAAGGTATAGTAAACCCTGTATGCTATTGTGCTCACAACTTTTGTTTCAGACTTTCTCAACTTTAAGCCCAATACCGTTCTTTCTGAAATGGCTGCTTCCTAAACTCGCGTCGTTCTGTTTCGAAGGAAATGAGCAGAGGACCTTCAAAGAGAAGTTGCTTTTGGCTCACGAAGAAAAAGCTTTGAAAGACGCCTGCGGGTAACATAAGTTCGAAGGTTTTTTACTGTAATAGCAATTACAACAGTCCTGACAGAGACGATGATACGAGCGGCGAGTCAATAATGTATAGAATTTTGGGAGCATCTGATCCTCAGTGGGGCGAGTCCGAACAACTATCAGCAGTTCTTAAGGTGCCTCTCATGAGATTATGTGCAAGGTATGAGACTAGTTTTTCCTGATGGTTTTGACCAACTCCTTTGGGCAGATATCTTCTACTTGAAAAGAAACGTGGAAAGGCATTGGATCCGGTAGCAAACTTCCATCTACGCAATGGGGCTGTAAGTGAAGTCCACGGTTTTTCATTCTGAAGCTTCGCGTGAATTCTACAGAGTATGGAACGTTTGAACTGGATGGGCAATAAATCCAAGAAAGGGCTCAAAGAGAGTGCAGGGATGATGGTTAACTATCTTTACAGGTGTGTAACATGAGCAAGCAAGTCAACGCACTTATTCTTGTTTCCTTCCAGGGTAGAAAGCATCGAAGAAAACAATCAAGCATACATTACCAGAGGTATCATTAGAGCGTCTCCAAAAGTGGAAGAGCTTGTAGCTGGAGGACAGCAGTCTGCACTGTGAGTGTGACATAGGCACAATTTCACAGTTAATCTTCTCAATGTCCGCATTGAATGTATGGAGTCTGAAGGATTTTTACAGACAGCTCAAAAACAATGACTTTGCGGTTTTGACCGCAAGAACAAAACAAAGGAAACAATTTCCACGTGGATGTACATGTCGGCTACTCGTACTAGGTGAGTGCCATTCGCCTTTGGCTGCTGGTGTAGCGATAAGAGTCTCCTTCAGCTACAATGCGTTTGGTTTAATAGGACTAGAAGTGCGTCCTCCCTAGATTGTAATGGCGTCTTTGGCACTGACGGGTTCGATTTCTGCTAGTTATCTGCCGAGTAGCAAGGAGACCCTTTGCGGGGATCACTCTGAGTTTGCTTTCTCTGCAAAGACTCGGTCCAGATCTAATCTTCCTTCTCTGAGGCTAACGAGAGGGGTAGTGCCTGTCAAGAACACTTTGAAGAGTGCAGATGTTGCTGAGCAAGCTGTTGCAGACCGAGTCTCCCGCAGCAAGCCGGTGACTCTCAGAGCAATTGTTACCATCAAGAAGCGGCCTGACAACAAAGTTACGGACATCTTTCGCAAGGGATTGGACTTCTTTGTCCAAGACCCCCTCGGCGAGGATATTGTTCTGCAGCTCGTTAGTACTGAAGTGGATCCGAGTAAGTTTTTGACTTTTAGCTCAGGCTATAATGTAGTGCGGTTCTTGACAGGTAGCGGCCTTGGAAGAAGAAGCAAGAACACGACACTTCGGAAGGTTTCTACAGGAGAACACACGGTTGAATATGCTGGTGAATTCATAATTGAGGACCAGTTTGGGAAACCAGGGGCCATTCTCGTTGCAAACAGACATAAGGCAGAGTTTTTCCTCGAGACGATCTCTCTCCAGGGCCTGAAGACTGGATTGATTTCATTTTCATGCTACTCCTGGGTTCATTCTCAGGAAAACGAGGTGTCTCAACGAGTGTTCTTCTCCAACGAGGTACTGCCTGGAAATTACTTTTTCTAAAATGCTAATGCGGCTTTCGCGATAGGCTTATCTTCCTTCTTCTACTCCTCGGGGACTCAAAGATATTCGTGCCTCTGAACTCAAAACATTACAAGGAGATGGCACGGACATGCGTAAACCGTGGGAAAGGATCTACGACTACGACGTATATAACGACCTTGGAAATCCGGATAAAGAAAAGAAGCTGGCTAGACCTGTTGCAGGTGGCGCGGTGCCATATCCAAGAAGATGCCGAACAGGTCGCCCTCCAACCAAGTCAGGTAATCCTTTCTCCAAGCTTCTAAGTTCGTCGACTAATCTTGTCGGGCACGTATCAGATCCTCGTGCAGAGGTCAGGTTAGCCGTGACAAGCAAGAATTATGTCCCTCGCGACGAGGACTTTGAGCAGGTGAAAACTGAAGCATTTTCTTCTGGACGTCTTAGAGCCATTGTTCACCGTCTCGTTCCAACCATTATCACGCACTTCACTGCCACTCCAGATGAGTTTGACACCCTGACTGATATCGATCGCCTCTTTTACGAAGGCATTCGGCTTCAAACTGAACTGGCGGAAAATGATCGTACTTTCTGGGATATAGTCCCGGAGCAAATCAGGCAGCTTATCAATGCTGATAAAATTTCAAATGCTATCAAGTATCCGCTACCTCCTTTGCTCGCAAGTAAGTGGTTTTATTTTCGATTTTCTGAATGTATGCTAAGCCTGACCATGCAGAGGATAAATACGCTTGGACCCGTGACTCTGAGTTCGGCCGGCAAGTGCTTGCTGGTTTGAATCCGCTAATGATTGAGCGGCTCAAGGTAGTCTCATTTGAAATACAAAGATATCCATCAGCACGTTTGTGCAGGCCTTTCCTCCGACCAGCTCGATGGATACTGGGATCTGTGGAACGCTAGGATCAGCATTCGAAGCAGCAGAGCTCGAGAAACACCTCGAAGGATTGACGGTGGAAGAGGTTTGGCACATAATATACACTAAGTCAAGGAGTGATGCATTCCATGTTTTACAGGCGATAAAAGCGGAGAAGCTGTTTATTATCGACTATCACGACGTTTTCATGCCACTCATCAACAGAATCAACTCTTTGAAAGGACGGAAGAACTATGCAACACGCACAATTCTCTACTTGGATTCAGCAAACTTGCTAATGCCAGTGGGAATTGAACTATGCCTGCCAGTCTCGAAAGACAAACCAAATGGTTCCAAGAGAGCGTTCTATCCAACCAAAGATGCGACTGGGTTTTGGATCTGGCAGCTTTGCAAGACACACGTTCGATCCAATCACTCGGCATACCATCAAGTTGTATCTCACTGGTAAGTCAGAGTTCTCTTTATCTAGCAAAATCACTTCCATGTTTTTTCAGGCTCCAAACTCATGCATGCATCGAGCCTTACGTGATCGCGACGAATCGCCAGCTGAGCGCCATGCACCCCGTCGCCAAGCTCCTCGATCCACACCTGCGATACACAATGCAAATCAACGCCACGGCTCGGCAGACGCTCATCAGCGCCGGGGGCGTGATCGAACAGTGCTTCACGCCAGGAAAATTCATCCTCGAGCTGAGCGCCGCCGGCTACGAAAAGTGGCGATTCGACAAGCAAGGCCTCCCAGCCGACCTTCTAGAGAGGCAAGTCTCGCTTCAAACTCCCCTCTCCTTACTAGTTCTTTCTTTCTTCCACAGTTTGTCTAGAGATTTAGTTCTAAAACTTTTACTTGTGATTTTGTCCAGAGGCATGGCTGTCGAAGATAAAAACTCTCCAGATGGATTGAGGCTCGTCCTAGAAGACTACCCATACGCCGCCGACGGGCTCCTCGTATGGTCGGCTCTCAAGTCCTGGGTGACGAGCTACTTATCCGTCTACTATGACTCCCCGGACTCCATCACCAGCGACACGGAGCTCCAGGCATGGTGGAACGAGATCAAAACCAAAGGCCACCCCGACAAAGCCGAAGGCTGGCCGAGCCTCAACAACAAGCAGGACCTCGTCGAGATTCTCACGTCGATAATGTGGGTGGCGTCCGGGCACCACGCTGCCGTCAACTTTGGCCAGTTCCTCTACTCGGGCTACGTCCTCAATCTCCCCAGCCTGACCAGGAAGCTCATACCCGAGAAGGACGACCCCGAGTACAAGGAGCTCCTCCAAAACCCGCAAGGCTTCCTGCTCGCGACGCTCCCAAACCAGACCCAGGCCACCACGGTCATGGCGGTGCTGGAGCTCCTCTCCACGCACCACCCTGACGAGGAGTATCTCGGCCAGCGCGTCCAAAAGTACTGGACCGGCGACGAGAGGGTCCTCGAGGGGTCGAACGAGTTCGAGGAGAGGATAGCCGAGGTCCAGGAGATCATCGAAAAGAGGAACAACGACCCCAAGCTGATGCACAGGCATGGAGCTGGAGTTCCAGCGTACGAGCTCCTGTTACCGACCTCTGGGCCCGGAATCACTGCTCGCGGGATTCCGAACAGCGTCTCTATCTAAGCTCGTAAGCTATGGCTTTAGAAACTCTAGAGAACTTGTAAAAGTACCTGGTTTGCGTCAAATGTATAAAATGGTTTGATTGCGAATTTTTCTCTTTGGTATGGTACAGTCTCCCGAGCTTGAAGACAATGAATGAAGAGAATTTTAGTTTTGCTTACATCCTGCGTAGGCCGAGACCAAGTTTTCGAACGGGTTCGCTAGTGGATAGGTCTTCTTCTTTAGATTGCAGCTAAACAGCGCCTGGCCCATCGACAGCACTAGAGGATTCACAGCTCGGAGGGGAATCTGGTAGCTCGCGGGGTAAAATTGGTCCTCCTCCTCCTGGACAAAGAGATAGACGTCACTTATCTAGAAAGAAAACAATGGAAAAATACTACCACTTGATCAAGGTAAACCTCTTCTAACTGCGCTAGTTCTTCCAGCTCTAAGTCATTGAGGTCCTGGAAAGAACGAGACAAGTCAAGTGAGGAAATGTAGTAGGCAAGTACCTGTTTGCCTTTCATTTTCGCGATTTGACGCTTCACGGCTCGCGCAGATCCCAAACCTACGGCTCTCCTCTCTCTTGCGGTCCTGCGCCGGACATTCATGCAGACAGCACACTCACACGTTGATTTATGATTACTAGTCCTGTGCAAAGCGTGAATTACTGGTTCATCTCTAGTGAAAAGAAAGAGCAATTTACCCGGCAGCAGGTTTCTGTGGAATGTGTGCCGATGTTGTCTTAGCAACAAAAATTTCGGATGGTTTTTCTGCCGCATTGTCCGCTGTAAATACGCATTGAGTTAGACGTTCCTACTATTTCCCAAACGTTTGCTTACCTGTCTTTGACTTCTTTGGATCCCGAAGAACACCGTTGGCTGTCCAATACTTGCTGCATGCCTTCTGGACTTTCTTCATCAGGTCCAAGATAGGATCTCCTTTGTGGTTATACTTTCGGCAGTTCGTCCAGATTTGTTGAATGTCTCGGTAAACATCCGACGCGTTTCTATACTTCTGACGTTTCTCTAGATTTTCGCATATGGTACCGAAGTCCATCGGGGTGTCAATTATGTCAAGGTAATCCTATAAAAAGAATTTGAAATAGTAACATCAAGATGAAAACGAGATGATAGTAAGCTTAACTTACCGGGACACCTTGGCCTACGGGGTCAACAGGTCTGTTAAAAGGATGTGCCGAGTCCATTTTCATGAGTTTCCTGATGATCTGCTAGCCAGCCTTGTTATGCATCATGTCCCAAGAAAAGTAAATGAAGCACATACCTTTAGAGAAGTTTCTACCTCGTCGTCACGTAGCTCGCTTGGCGGAGATTGTGGAGTAGGAGTTGAGTCAATTGGAGGAGATTGTACCGGCGAACTCAAAGACGGCGTACTGCTGGGGGTCTTTACCACAGCTGCCTTTTGAGTCGGAGCCTGCGGAGGTTCTATCGCAGAACCTGCAGGCTTTCTCTTCGCATCCGAGAACGTAAGATGTACTTTCAGTGGCCTTTGGGGAATCTCCGGAGTTTTCTTCGGCTCGTCAACTTTTTTCTGCACGCTGCTTGCCTCCTTCTCCTTCGTGACTTCCTTGCTTTCTTTCTTCTCCACCTTCAACCTTCCGGGCTTAGCTTCCGCCTTTGCCTCGGCATTTTCTCGAACTTTAAAAGTCTTGATCCTGACTCGAGAGCTCTCACGCCTCTTCCCGACCTGTGAATCCGTATCCTTCCCACTCGTAGCATCGGCATGCTCGGCAGACTCCACTTTGGTGTCCTCTGTGCTCCCAGAAACCTCACTAGCTCCATCGTACCGTGACAGCGTCCTCAGCTTCACCACCCTACCTCCGCTCCGGGGAGCCCGCTTCCTCTTGTTCTCGCCGCTCACCACTGGCACCGATCTCTCCTCGTCGTCCTCTTCCACGTCGGTCTCATCGTTGGCCGCAGTCCGCCACGATCCCTCCCGCTTCTTCTGCTGCTTGCCCCGGCTCCGCGTGCGCACGCTGTCCATGAGAAAACGAAGACGAGCCTGCGCACCGCGAAATATCACGAATCAGGATAGCTCCCGCGCCGGAAACGCTCGCGCCTGCAAAATCCAGCTCGCTGCAAGCAATGCCGCGATCCGATAGCGGCCGTCGGCGCCACAGCGCCATGGCCGCCCTCTAAAACCCTAGCTACGTAGCGCTGGCTCTCTCCCAGCCCTAGCGCTGGGGGAATTTAAATCATAAAAGGGGGGGTAGTGGCAACTCACCGATAGATCGCCCAAGTTCGTTAGCGTGGGGCGTTCTGCTGGGTATCCGAAATTAGGGCCAAAAAAGAAGACGGCAAATTCCGCGACGGAATGTCCAGTAAACTCAATCGACTCGAGTTCGACTCGCTTTAACTTTAAGCTTTTAACCGTACAAGAAAGCTGTACGTCTTAACGACCGTACAAATAGCTGTACATATAGCATAATCTTGACGACCGTACAAAGATCGTATTCGTATTTCAAAAGGTTGGGATAATGATTTATGGTACAAGCACTTGGTCTTTGTCTTTGCTTTAGATTGTTGGTAGCATAGCAAATCGTGATGGCGAGCTGTGGCCTTTGGCATTGTACTGGAGGGATTCCTGGGGTTTGTCCTTTGGCATTTCAAGGCTGTAAAGCGAGAAACGAGGGAAAAAAGAATGGTGGAGAGCATCTAGCTTGTGGCAGCGGGGGCACACTCCTTTAGAATGCTTTTGGAGGAATGCAGTCGCGTATACGAGGCCGTCAGTCGGGCCTGGAAGAAGCAAAACGACGAGGAGAAAAAATAAGTATCAATGGTGAATCTGTTGCGTGCGAGGGAATAGTACCGATTGGAAAAGCACGAGCGTCCACCAGCAGCTGTTGAGTCCCAATCCAAGCTTGTGGAAGATCTGGTTTTTAAGTGGCCGCGAGATTGTGGGGCTTAGAAAATAGTACCGATTGAAAGCGCATGCTTACCTTCATTAGCAGGCTTCCACAGACAAAGCAAGATGTCATGCTCAGGCCCAGGAATCCTAAATCTCGTCCGGCCTACATACAAGCCGACGCAATTCGTCAGTTACCAGGAACGTGGTAAACGAGCCAAGGTTTGTTTGTTTGACTATCTTACCAAAAGTGTCCCTTCCAGCGACAGTGCAGGTGGTGTTAAAACAATGCTCCAGAAAAATGGGAACGCTACCGAATGCATCTGCGAACAGACGAGACAGGGTGGTGTCAGCACGGACACGTGATCAGCGCTGCATTGTGTCATCTCAACCTGTGCTACGATTGCTGAATCGTTCGTAAAAAGCTGCGGCACAAGAAAAGGAACCGCGACGCCAATGCTCGCTAAAGAGAATCCTAAAATCGCACCCGTATAGAGAAGTGTTTTGAGCAACGTTCGTGCCTGTAAAAAGATGATCGAGCCAGGTTTACTTTTATCGTTTTGCTTGGCTCACCTGCTCGAAGTTGCGGGTTTTTCCGCTAATAAGCTCTGGCATAAAGGACTGAGCTGTTTGGGCCAAAGGCTCTCCACATACTGAAAACAATGTGAAGATCCCAATCATCACCTGGCAAATCAAGACATTTTTAAGTTAAAGAACTGGTTTTTACTGTTGAACCTGATGGGCTCCTAAAGTGAGTGGCCCAAGCGAAGTCGCGAAATATGTAATTGTTGTGTAAAAACATATCTGTAAACAAGATAAATTGAGCTTCCAAGGATAGAAGACGATATACGATGATGTACCTTTGACAACATGGTCATAAGAACTGGTGCAGCTATTTCGATCATCTGCAGGATGTCTTTGAAGCTGGGTACAACGATCGCCAGAGGATTGTATCCTTTCGCTTTTAAAGAAGTTAACATCAAAATTCCCGCAACATACTGCATGCTTGAAGCTTGAGTTAACGATCAAGTAGACTCATATTCATACCTGTGATAGTGCCGTTGCCCAGGCAGCACCAGCAATTCCATATCCTAGAAATGTACAAAGTAGAATATCTCCAAAAGCATTTACAAGACTCGCGACGAGCAAAACTTTCAAGGGACTCCATGAATCCTGCATCCCCAAGCTGTGGTATAAAAGAAAGTGAGATAACAGTAACAGCATACAAAGGAAGCCAAAAGACAGACCTTGCACTTTGAGCAACCATGGTGACAAGAACCGCTGGCCATGCCCACGCTCTAATCTGAAATTGTCCCAAAGAGACATATATCAAAACCACTACACCACGAAAAACTTAAATTTATTCAGCTTACATTCACGTACGTTGCCGCGGCTGGGACGATCCCAGAGTTTTTGGCTCCAACAAAAGCTGAAAGGAAAAAATCTTGAATCAATCACAGCCAATACATTGCCAGACCTCACCTTGGAGCATGGAACTAGAAGAGAATCTAATAGCCGCGAGCATAGCCATGCCACAGCCGAAAGCTACAAACAAGAGCCTAGCCAAATGGTTTGCTGCTTCTTTCTCGTCCTACACGAAATTCCAAACCACAGATCAGAACGCGTAGTAACACCAATCGCTCTTACCTTGTTTGCAAGCGAGGTTGCAATCAAGTTGGATGTAGCAACGGACAAGAACATGAAAACATACGAGAGTCCATCGCACATCACAGTTCCAGGTCCTGGAAGGAAGTAAACCACAAAGAAACTTTAGTTCTAGAGGAATCCAAAATCAATCTTCTTACCAAGGGCGGCCAATTGCAAAGAGCTAGTGGTTCCCACAACACTCGTATCGATGAGACTCATAATCGGTCCGGACAACCAGATGCCGAGAGCCGGGCCGGCGAAAGCGAATATCTGACGTACTTGCTCAAACATGTTGGGCTCCTCGCTAATGCTAACATCCGCCGCATCGCCATCTACCAGAATCTCCTTTCCTTCCACTTCTTCAACAATGGTGGCTGCCAGTGACGTCTTGCTGATGTCGACATTGGTGAGCACTATCTCTTTTGGCGCCTCAAGCACGCCCTCTCCAGAGACATAGAACTTCACGGCTTCTTTAGGCGTCCAGGGCACGGATTGCTGCTCGCGCTCCGCCGGGGGCGCCTCTGGCTGCTCGACGGTGCAATGCCGGACGATTCTCGAGCAGAGATGGCGCTGGAGAGGAGAAAGAACTCGCTGTTGCTGCTGCGACTGGCGGAGCTTGGCAAGATCGAAGCCGCATTGCACGCCGGACGAGTGGCGCCGCGAGCGATTCACGCAGACTGGGAATCTTTGCAAATGGATCGCCCCTGAGACAGCACAATCCATGGAATTCGGATTGTCCTGCCGCAAAGAACCTACAAATCGATCGATCGAGCAGAGAACCTACGAAATATCGATCGCTCGATAGAGATTTCCCTCGCAGCGCCTCGAGCTTCCAGCGCCCAGTGGCGCCTCGGCCTCGTCGAGCGCCCCTTCTCGCACGAGATTCTCGAGAGTGAAACAAAGAAGAAAAAGAATGTGGGTCATGGAATTTGATCTGACCATAGACCTAGATATTTATACTACTAAGTGGGCGGCCTACGGGCCCGTTACGCTAGGGTTCTTTCGCTGAGGGGATGAGCCGCTGAGCCGCTAGCCGCCAGATTACAGTAAGTCTCGTTGTTTCTGTGATCATTGTCGTTACAGTGAGGAATTTGATCTTAAACTCTTTCCCTTCTTGGATTTCTTGGAAATTTCTTGGATCTGGATTGGAGCCCCTCGCATATCCAGGGATTCTTCCCTGTCTTGATCACGTTTCTTGGCCTGGATGCGATTTCGATCTCATGGTCTCGGATTTCGTGGATTCCAGGGGCATCGTCTCGGATTTCTTGGTCGCCCGACGCTGCGATGGAAGATCAGAGGTACCGCAAGCAAGTCGCCATGTCCCTCATCATGGGAGCGCTCATCTACTGCCGCAACGCGAGCAAGCGGCGATTCGAGCGGCGCAAGTCGGCGATCGTGAGCATCGTGTCGGAGATCCAGCAGGGGATCCTCGACGGCGCGCCGGCCAAATCCACCTGGGTGAGAGACATGCTCATGCACCACACCGACACCTGGGACACGACGATCTTCCCGCAGTACGACGATGGCCAGTTCTGGAAGGATTTCCGCTGCACCAAGGCGACCTTCGAGTGGCTGTGCTTCACGATCTTCCAGCCGTGTGGATTCGAGGGGAATAGAACAGGTCCCAACTGGCGCGTCATCTCCCTCCGCCGCCGCGTCGCGATGCTCCTCTGGCGATTGCTCCACGGCGGCCGCGAGCACGCCATCGCCAAGATCTTCTTCTGCGACCAGTCCACCGTGAACAAGATCGTCCACAAGGGGCTGGGGATCATCGCCAAGCACTGGACCGACGCTTACATCGGGTGGCCAACCGGGGACCGAGCCAGGGACATTGCCGCAAAGTTTGAGCTCGAGACTGGCTTCCCCAGCGTGATCGGAGCGGTGGATGGAAGCCACATTCCCATCACCACCCCGAGCATCGATCGCTCGAATTACTATAACGACAAGTCCTTCCACTCGATGATCCTCATGGCTGCAGTCGACCAAGACGGGTTTTTTCTCGAGATCGACGCTGGGCTTTGCGGGAGCTTGCACGATTCGCAAGCTCTGGCCAGCTCCAGGATCGCGAGGAGAGCCGGCGAGGGGCTCATCGACCAGCAGAGATACCACCTCGTCGGGGACTCGGCTTTCAATCCTCCAAGGCCGTGGTTGATGTGTCCATACCGGGGTGGTGGCCAGCTTACGCCCCAGCAGCAGTCTTTCAACCAAGCGCTCGCCTCTGCGAGAGCTTCCATCGAGCGGGCCTTCTGCCAACTGAAGTCGAGGTTCCGGGTGCTGCTCAAGAAGATGGAGGGCGACTTGGACACCACCGTCCAGATGATCGGGGTGTGCTGCACGCTCCACAACATGCTGCTCTCGCAGAACGAGAGCGCCGACCCGGCCTGGATTGAAGAGTCCCGCCAAGCTCTCGAGTCGACCCGAGGTGTTTCTTCGTCCGGGAGAGAGCCCACGCTGGAGCAAGCCGCGGCGGAGGTGATGATCGCCACGGCGGGTCTGCAAGAGCTGGAGTCAGCCACCGCGACGTCCGATGCCGCGCGTCTGGCGAGAGTCATGGAGCCGCTGCCACTCCCGGCAGGATTCAACCACACCGCGGACATGCAGCGAGCTCGCGAGATCCGCGACGGCCTCGCCGAGATGTTATACTCCAGGAAGCGGCAAAAGACTTGATTGAGGTTGGGGGAGAAGAGTTTACTCTGTTATACAACGCCTTCGGGTTCTTGGCCTGGGATCACGGTCATGGCTTGGCCGCTACTGCCGTGGATCTCCGGCCTGAGCTTCTCCAGCTCCTTGAGGATGAACTTGCGAGGCCCGACCGGGATCTTCATCTCCATTAGATCATCCTTGTCGAGCAGCAGCAAGTTGGTCCAGTCTACGTGCGACGCCGCGAAGTAGCTCGCGTACTGGTCCTTGCCGATGCTCTTGAGCCAGCTGAACACCTGGTTGTCGATCTCAAACTCGGTCGGCTGCGCGCTCGCCTCCGCCAGCAACACGTTCGTGAGGTTGACGACGGCGTCCAGCACCTCCTTGAATCCCTGTGCCGAGGCGGTGTCATCGAAAGTCCCAACCTTCTCTACCACCTTATCGACGATGGAGTCTACGAGCAGCTGGTTGTTTGCGGACTTCTTCATCCTCTTCCCGGCGACTTCACGAGCAGCGGCCTCGTCGCCCAGGCATCCCCTCGCGCCGCCGACGCCGCTCTGGAAGCGCGACCGCAGCGCCGCCTTGGGCCGCAAGTTGAGCCGGCTGTGGATCTCCTGGAGCGTCTCGTCCGAGAAGACCAGCTGTTCCGGGTGCTCGAGCTCCTTGTTCTCGGCCAGTCCGGCCTGTGAAAGCAGCAGCTTGAGCTCCTTTTGGTACCGACGCAGCTCGATGTCCCACTTGTCCCGGTAGCTCTCCCACTGCCTCCTGGGATGCCCGCGCTCGCCCATCTTCTCGCCGATGCTCGTCCACAGCTCCAGGTGCGTCGACATTGTCTCAAACTTGGCTTGTAACTCCGTCCGGAACCTCACCAGGTCCTTGACTTCCTCGATCCCGTAGCGCTTGTTCTTGGCGGTGTTCTCGTCCCCGGCCGACTTTCCTTTGGGATCCTTGCTCTTGGTCGAGTCGGCGGCGCTCTTCTTCTCGGAGCTCTTTCGCTTCCTCCTGTGCTTCGTCCCCTCGTCTGCCTCCTGCGTCGGGGTGTCTCCGTCCGAGAAGGACGATCCATCGCTCTGGGAGTCGGAGCGGAGAGCTGACGAGGGTGGCGATGCCCGAGGTGGCGAAGTGTTGATGGCCGGAGGTGGTGTAGCGGAGGGTGGCACTGGCCCCGGTCCCGGTTGCATTGCAGCGCCTGGGAATGCATAGCCAGCTCTTGGGAATCCGCCAAAGTCGCCGCCAGGAAAGTTGGAGTCCCCGCCGCCGCCGCCGCCACCTCTCATGTGTGACGGCCATGAATGCGACCAGTCGTAAGCGTTGTATGGAGCTGGAGCGCCGTAGAAACTATCCGGGCGTGGATGAGCCCAGCGGGGCCAAGTTGGAACGTCCGAGCCATTGTAAGGAGGGGTCGTGTTGTTGTTGTTGGTGGTGGCGGCGGCGGCTACTCCTTCTACCACTGCTGCGCCATCGCGTTTCCTTTTTGATCTCTCTTTGGCCATTGGAAAATAATTTAATCTGCGAAGAAAAACGATCAAGAAACTCCATCCACCAACAAAGAAAGTTCTATGACTGACTGATTAAAGTCTTCTACAGAGGCAAGCACTCAAGCACACCAGAAAATTTTGCTCGGGATCGACTAGAAGAAACCAGCTAACGCAAGGCAAGCGCGAAAATCTTCACAAACAGAAAGGATTTCATCCAGACTCAAGCAAACCAGACAACACACGGGCGAAATTCCAGCAACCTAGGCGGGATCGATCGATCGTACCTGGAAATTCTTGCGCTCTCGATCCTCCGCCTAGATCCCTCGCGCTACCGCATTCTTGCAAGATCCTGCCATGAGAGGGAACAAGGGAGAAATCCTCCGCTAGAGGCCGGAATGCACTCTCCCTCCATCGCTCCCTCCACAAATCTAAAAAATGCGAGGGAATAAAAGGAAAAACAAGGGATTTACAAGGGAGCGATGTCATACCATAGTAGGTCTAGAGAGCCTTCGTCCGACACGGCGCTCGCAGATCATGGAAGGAACCCATGTCATAACCCTAGTCCGGCCGCGCTCGATGCCCCCGTGGCGGCCACGTCAGACCCCCTGCCGCGGTTCGATTCCCCTCCCCACCATTTTCTATAAAATTCACTGTTTAGATAAGAGTTCTCCAAAATAGCAACGAATGGATCTACTTCTAACCATAAATGGAGCTCGTGAGGTCGATCATGTCGTAGAGATAGACGTTATCTGCCGTGGTGACCGCGAGGTAAGATCCAGACTCCGAGATGGCGACCGAGTAAACAGCTGCGGAAAAGAAGAACAAAGTTTTCTTAATCCCTCATTTGAAGAGAATTCGTTTTCGTTCTCACCCTTCTCCAGTCCGGAGACTCCCGCGAGTGCCTGGCAAAGGAATCGGCCGTGATGAGCTTCGAAAGAAGAACTCGAGGCTATAGTACCTGGCCACTGTCTTTGTGGAAAACGCAAGCACTGTTTGGTTTGCTCCCTCCAGCAACGATGTATTTGTGAGAGAGGCCCTTCCCGTACTGAGCAGTGTAGACTTGGCTCGGCTGGAGATGGGAACTTTTGAGCTCAGTTGCACAAAAAACGAATTTTTACTATGGTACCTCGTTGCTCATCCACTCCAGAGTTCTTATCAGGTCACCAGTTCCAAAGTCCCATTCCTGTGAAGGAAAAAAGATTCCCTCGTCCAAAAACACAAGCGTGCCAGAGTAACGGACCTGTAATTGTTTGGTGGATCGCCAAGAGCCGGTTAGGATCTTGTTGTTATCAGACACGTCAAGAGCTTCCCCGCACAGCTTTGGTCCAAAGATGCTCCTCACCGATCTACCACAGCGCAAATCCCAGATCTAGGTGGCACCAAGAAAACCTCAGTAAGATTGAATGACGCGTGAAGTAGTGAAGCAAGAACCTGGACAGTGTTGTCCCAGCCTCCGCTCAAAATGATGTGAGAATCGACGGGATGCCAACGAACAGCGAAAACACGGTTGGAGTGGCCCACAACTTTGATCCCATCGCTGTGCGACGACCCTGAATGCTTGATTGAGCGAGGGGCAAGATCAAAGCTCAGAACTGCTTAGCGTACCCATCACTTAACGTATGCACGATTTTCCTGGTGGCTTCGTCGTAGACTCGGACCTGTAATGCTAGATACGAGACGGAAGTTTGACAAGAAATGCTTCGTGAATTCACTGACTTCACCTGAAAATCGCTACCACCCGTCGCGAACTTCTCTCCGGTCGGCTGGAAATCCACCGCGTTGATGTGATTGTTAGCCTCTTTGGTGGTGCCGAGGTGCTTTCCGGATGTTGCATGCCAGTGGTGAATAAGACCACCAACGTCTGCAACAAGGAAATGCTAAAGATTATATCCAGCACTCACTCGCCGAGAGACAATCAAAACGCTTACCACAAGATACGAGAACGTTCCTGCTGGTAAAGCAGCTCGAGGGCGGCCGGAAGGACATTGTCGTGCAGGCGAACTTTTGTGTGGCTTTTCGATCCAAAACATAAGCCAGGCCTCCATCAGAGACTCTATAGATCTGGCAGCAGATCAAAAGAATGGCTTTAGCTCGGAAACTCCAGATGCAGTAGTACCTCAATTCTTCCTGTATCGTTCCCAGCTGCTAACCAGTTGCTATCGTAGGAAAAGCCACAGCACATTGCCTCCTTGCCTTTCCTGGCGAAAAAAAGACGAGCAAGTGAGAGAGAGAGAAAAAAACCAAGAACAAAAAACATGGAAGAACGACCGAACGAAATGCTTACATTTGGATTTGGACAATGGGCCGTGGCGCCCCATCATCCTGAGTCTCGCCATCGTGCTCCATCGCATAGACCCTCCGGTTTTGGTACTCCAACTGGGCGTGTATCCGCTGGGATCAAGGATTGCCGCGCCCAACTTCGTCAGCCCTAAACCTAACGGTCACTGTAGAGCCCTGTCACCTGTCCCGGTCATGTGAAGTAGTAACCGTTTTTCCTCCCTATTTGACCCCTTCACGCGAACCCCTTCCCAGTGATGAAGAACTCCATTCTCTAGCGCTGCCTGGCCCTCGAATCGATCCATCAAAGGTTTTTGCGCTCGCCATGGCCAAGGGGAAGAAGAAAGATCACCGTCACGATGACAAATGCGCGCACAGCTTGCACGAGGGCCACTGCGAGTGGGACAAGGAGTTCCATGAGATGAAGCACTCGGAGATGAAAGAGGCCGAGAGAAGGCATCAAGAGTACCTGGCAAATCACCCCCGTGAGTGTCGATGTCGATTCTCGCTCGCTGTTCGTTTCCTTTTCGCCTGGCTTTTGATCTGATTGTCCTCGTCCTCGATGACGCAGCTCAAGTGCCCAAGCGGGAGAGTGTTTCTCGCCCCCACGACGACGGCCCAAAGAAGAACAAGTACGAAGGCCGGACTGGAACACTTGTCCAGCTTATTCGCATGCCTGGATCCGGAGATTTGTATGCTGTATAACAACATCTCAGTGACTTTGAGAGATCTAGATGAAAGGATAAAATGGAAAACACTCACCTGCGATTTGGTTCGCAGATCCCTCACAAGACGATCAAGACTGGCTACAAGGCACCGAACTCCTACGCGTTTCATCCCGTCTTCCAGGATGAAACGTGAGGTCTCGGCTTCCATCGCTCATACTTGTTGAAACGATATGTAAACCTCTGCAGGACAAACTCTTTCTTCCAAGGACAAATACAAAAGATCGGCGAAGCTAGTGACTTATCCTGCAAGAAGTTAATGCCATATTACCCGAATGCTCCCAGAAACCGAAAGCCTGAGGTGATGCGAAGCCATGTCGGCGTCCAAAACATGGACTGCCGGAACGCGAGCTACTTGGCTAACTGGTAAGCTTAGAGTTTGTGCCTGGAAGAAACAAATTAGTTCACTGGAATCTACTCAAACAGCCTGTGTGACGGGAATCCCAAGCATATGAAGACTCCCAAGACCACAAACCAGCTCTACATGAACTACAAATGCGAGATTGTAGGAATGGGAAACAGGCGAATTGCCGCAGGTACGTACTTGGAGATCAAAGTTCGCGAGGAACTTATTTACCGTGAATTGCTTTGTCCAGAGAGAACTCGGCGTATGCATCGCATGCAAGTCGAGGGATGATGATCTACACCCCACTGGATTTATTCGTTTCTCTGTGCTTAATCTTATTCGAGTCTTTGCCATCGCGCGAAGCTATTTGTTGTCTGTCTGCTTGTTCTTGATGGCGCGGTATCCACCAGCCATGTTGTAAACATTCGTGAATCCCTGTGAAAAAATTTAAAAGCAAATGTAGAGTTTCAGAACTTTAGATCGAGTCTTACTGCGGCAAGAAGATCGGCAGCAGCCAAAACGGATCGAGTTCCAGTTCCACATCCCTGAATTTGGGTAAACAATGAGAGGGAGAAAAAAAAACCCGATGGCAGATAGTCATACCACTATGATTCCTTCTTCTTTGTCGAAGTTAGAAAGAACCTCTTGCTCGAAGTTAGTGTTCTTGACTTTATCTGGGAAGAGCAAGAAAACAAATCTTGAAAGAAGTTTGCAAAAGGAGCTCGCTACTTACCGGAGCCCGGGATATAGTAAGGAACATTACGCGAGCCAGCGACATTCCCAGTTGCAAAGACCTCGGGAGCTCTAAGATCAAGAATCGCGCTGTGGATCACTCGAGAAGCCGAAAATCTCCGAGATCGAGCTTACCGGACATCCAGATATCGATGCGATCCGGACTGGAGCATCCCTCGAGCAGCATCGACCTCCACATGCTTGAGCGAGACATCCCGCGGCCCCTGATCACTCATCGCGATCGCGATCCTAAATTTCGGTGTCGATCGGAGATTTCCTGAGAGAATGCGCGCTCTTGGCGCCGCTACAAAGGACGCAAGGGCCAATGGCGCGCAAAGCTCCATTAAAACGTCAACGCCGACGAACAGTATATTCTCCGGGATCTAGGTCTAGGGTTTGAGCCGCCGGGTAGGGTTTTTGCGCTTGGCGGATCGATCGATCGAGCGCGATGGCGTCTCCCGACTTGATCTGGCTGCTCGTCAAGAACAGCAACAAGTTCTTGGTGAAGCGGAATGGCAACAGCAGCGCCTCGGTGCAATTCAGCAGCGAGCCCAACAATCTCTACAATCTCAACACCTACAAGTACTCAGGTGAGAAAGATCGTTTCCAGCTCTTTTAGAAATCCCGATAATCGTCTCTTGCTGGATTGATCGCATTCTCTCTTTTCAGGCTTGGCTAACAAGAAGACCGTCGCTGTGGCCCCGGCTGGAGAGAAAATGGACATCGTTCTCACCACCACCAAGAAGAAGAAGAGCAACAAGCCCGCATCCTACTTGAACCGCTCGCTGCTCAAGTCCAACTTCAAGAACAAGGCCAAAGTCATCATCAATCAGGTAACCTCGAAATCCATTTTTTCTTGGCTTTTGGATCGTGAATGCTTGCTAGTTTGCTTCGTGTTTTGGATCTCTGTGAATGCTTTGCTTCGTGTTTTGGACCTCTGTGAATGCTTGCTAGTTTGCGTCGTGTTTTGGACCTCTGTGAATACTAGTTTGCTTCGTGTTTTGGATCTCTGTGAATGCTTGCTTAGTTTGCTTAGTTGAATGCTTGCTATTTTGCTTCGTGTTTTGGATATCTGTGAATACTTGTTTTCTTAATGCCTTACCTCTGGCTTTAGAGAAGCTCTGTGCTCTCGAGCCTTGTCAACAAGGCAGAAACTCAAGCCGGGTGATCATAACGTGGAGGGCACTTCGATTTTGATCAAGTGTTCTCTAAAACTTTCCTCCCTACAAAACTTCTGCATCGTTGCTTGTCTTTTGCTCGCGAGTGGTTGAAGTGTTCCTCGGTGATATCTTTCGTGTTCTATTTTGTCATTTTTTTCTCTTTTTCTTCCAGGTGGGAGACAATGGCTACAGGCCCGATCTGAAAAGAGCTGCGCTCGCGAGGCTGACCTCTGTCCACAAGAGCTTGTGCCGTGCGGAGAAGAAGAAAAAGCCAGCTGCTTAAAGCTCGAAAGTTTCTCGAGAAAACTCCCCATTAGAAGAAGATCCTCTTTTTGTATTGGCATATTCTAAAGCATCGGCGTCGGTATATCCAGTGGCTCTTAAGTAAGCTGGGTTGGGTAGGCCTAATCCCGGGTTTAGGCTTTGCTCCATCCATCCATGCTTTTCTTTTGCTTCCGTGGAGAGATGCCCGGGAGCTGTCGGTGAATGTGGTGTGCTTGCATCGCAAATCTCCGTCCAGCCCCGAGATCGCGCGCGCTGCTCGCGGCACCGATGCGAGAATCTCGCGGCGCGCAGGAAATCCAAGCCATAGGGTAAACCAAGGGGCTTGCATTCCCCGATCTGGAGCGCCTCCCGGGACCTCGGCTCCAAGGGGCGATGGGCGCTCGCGGCGTGGATTTCAAGTGGTAAGTGCTGCTTCCTCTTTCTCGCGCATTCGCTCACCGCAGAGAGAACTATTTCTCGCAGGTTCGATGGATTTTTCTTGTCAATGCTCGCCACCAGCGTGTATCCTTATCGGCTTTTAGCTCGATTTTGTGTTTTCCTCTTCTCTTGTGGATGGATTCCTTGACAATAGATGATTGATCTCCACAGGATCGTAGTGTCTATCAACTGGGATAGGTATCACGCGTGCATGTATCCTCTTCACATCTGGATCGTGGTAAGCTTTGCAAGACTAGCTAGCGAGCTTGTAGCTTTTCCTCATGGATCTCTTTGCTTTTTTTCGCTCTAGGTGGACTATGCTACTGTTTTTGTGTTCCGGATTCTCATGTTTGTGGACAACGGCATAGCGTCAAAGATGGGCCCGTAAGTGCTTTCACTGTGGAACACCGAATCTTTTTTTTATCTTTCTGATAGGCTTTCTGTGTGTGTGTGTGTGTGTCTGTGCGCAGTGATGCAAGCCCTCAGCAGCGGCTGTTGCTCTTCCAGGCCAGAGTTTTGGTGTTGTCCTGCCTTGCGTTTTTCATGTATCCGTTTCTCTGGGCGTGGACTGTCATCGGGAGCTTGTGGTTTACAAATGCAAGGCAATGCGTAAGTGTTTGGCATTGCTGTTTCATATGTTTCGAGTTGAAGAACACCTCTTTCTTGTTTGTTTTAGCTTCCAGAAGAAGGGCAGAAATGGGGATTCCTTATCTGGTTACTTTTCAGCTATTGCGGCCTGATTTCAATCGCATGCATGTCCGCCAGCAAGGTAAACTACTAGTTTGCTTTCTGATTCAAAGAGTGCAAGAAACTCTTTATTTCCTTCAGTGGTTGATGCGACGGCAGTCTCATTTGCAACTTGTTCCTCAAGGATCTGCCATCTCGGAATTGGAGGTACTTCGCATTCTTTCTCTGTTCGTCTTTTACGTTAGTTGGACATGCAGGTGCTGGCGGAGCTGATCAGGGTTCCAGATTGGACTCTACGTTCCTCCATTCCCGTGCAAGAGCAACGAACTGCTCATGACACCATTGCCTTTCCCGGTCTAACGCTCACTCCCGCGCAGGTGAGTGTTCTTATTCACTGGAATGCCTTTAGGTGTTAATCTCGTGCTGTAGAGAGAAGCAGTGGAGAGCTTGATCCAGCAGCTCCCAAAGTTCCAGCTCAAGCGTGTCCCTACCGAGTGCTCGTCGTGTTCCATATGCTTAGAGGACTTCACTGTTGGAACTGAGGTACTTCGGCTTTTGTCGTCACTCCTTTTGTGAATAAGCATCATCCAGGTGCGAGGACTTCCTTGTGCGCACAACTTTCATGTGGATTGCATCGATGAGTGGCTACGCCTCAACGTAAAATGCCCGCAGTGCCGGTGCTCGGTTTTCCCAGAGGCTGATCTTATGGTGGTTCTCAACCAGCAAGCCGAGCAAGAAGTTCGCCGTGTCATGGTCAGGCTTCACGACATGTTGAGCACCGCTCCTCCCGGTGCCAGTGACGACCCGGCTCAAAGCCAAAGCAGCGGAGACTCTCAAGGCTCTTCTCTTCAAGGGAGAAGCCATAGCTCGGAGCTCACTATCGTGGTAGACAGGCCGGTAAATCCTCCAAGAGGTTAGCAGCTCCATTTTCTTCTAGTAGAGCAGCGAGATAATCTATTAAGTTTTTGGAAGATGCAGCAAGAACAAAACTTGGGCTTCGCATCTCAGGTATAAGAAGTAATGTACAGAGTTTCATTAAAAATATGTTTATGGAAACATGCTTACGAACTAGAGGTTTTGAAGTCCTTTGTATTGTCAGCGTTTGTTTCGTTTTTGACGCTGTGCTTCCCGTGGGCGATTTCTTGGAGGATTTCGAGAGTCGTCCTGTAAGTCTGTTGGATTGGGATTGTCACTCGAAAGATAGACAACCGTAAGAATTTACTCACCCAGTCGAGGTGCTGGACTGTGATTCCAGCAGCGGTTTTGTTATTATACATGCCACCGAGCAACTGTGAAATAGAGATGGATAAAAGATCAGAGGAAACACTAAATACCTTTGTCACAGTCTCGAGAAACATTCCAGGCCGGACGGGAAGCACCATCTTCATTTTCTTCACTTTAACGTTTTTCTGGAGTCCCACGGGTTTAGAAAAGCGATGAAAGAAAGAGCACCAAAAGTTCTACCTCATCGCCTTCTTGTGACTCCTCCATTTCAACGTCCGCGCCTTCGTCCCTCCCCCGCATTACATTCTCGAGCTTCTCGCGTAGAAGAGGCCCTGGTCTTACTGCGACTAACTTCGAGATGAAGTTTACCTGGGACCATGAACGTTTCTTAGGAAAGGAAAACGAAAGTAATCCACTACCTCGGGTGCGGGCAAGCTTTTAAGTCCCGGCTTGTTTCGCTCGTCGAGAATACCTCCGCCGAGCATATCGTGTGCTTCTTCTCTGATGAGAATGAGCTTTGCCAGTAGCTTTCGGTCATTCACTTTCGGTTTCTCCTCCATGTCCTGTAGAAGAAAGAGATCACGTTTAGCTGCAAAGGTGAAAGACAGGCTGGGTGAGAGAGACACGTTGATGAGGTCGTTGGCTTGATTGGCAATGTGGAGAAGATTTCCTTCAGGGACGGTCACCGTGCCTCCACCGGAAGCAGAGTGAATGCCTCCACCGCCAGCAGCAGAACGTAAGATTTGACGTCGATGCTCTTTGTCGGGAGTGTGGCTAAGCATGCTCACGATTTGTAGCTGAAAAGCCAACTTAGAGTCGGAGCTAAAAAGAAGATCTGATAGCGTACCACCGGCGATGCCTTTTCTGTGAGTTGAGCCAACGTCGTCTCTTTGATGACATCCAAAAGCTGTTTTTTCTGGAAGAAGAAAAGCATATAGTCAGCATCAATCGTCACAAAACATAAAACTTCGGCTTTTCGATGGAGCACGACAAGGTGATGTCAATCAGTCAGTCAGTCTCAATCAATCGATCAATCACCTGATGAAAACTGCAAAGGAGGAAGAGAAGCTTAACGCAGCAACCTTGTCATCTTTGTCTTTGCTGGCTTGAGCGATCATCAAGTCCAACGCCATCATGAAGCTGCCATCGAGATGCTCCAGTCTTTGGCCGATGCACGCCAGTGCTGCCATCTGAATGGCCGTGTCCTCGGATTCTTTGTCCAGGCTAGTAACATCGTCCAACTGGAAAGAACAAACTTGAAAAAATCAAAAGAAAACAATGGCAAAACTCGTACCACTTCTATCATGGACTCCAAAATGCTTACGACTTCTTCCCCTCCGTGAAGCAAAGCTTGGTACGATTTGTAGTCCCAAGGCTGATTCTCATTGTAGCTGGGATCCCACTCTCCAAGCAAATCATCAGCAAGATCGTCCTGAGCAGCAGCCGACGTCGATACTGAATTTCGCAAAACTCTACGAATTAAAAAACCTCATCAGATCAACCAAAGCTATAGCTGAAAAACTTGTTACTACATTCTCACGTACCGACTATCAGATGCCTTGGAAAAACTAACAACAGGCCTGTAAAAGAACCTTAGAAGTATACTTCTCAAGAGCACCAGTTACCTCTGTAAGAGCTTAGAAAAATTAAAAGTACTCCTGCAAACGAAAGGAACAAATTAGGACTCCAAAAAACCAAGAAAGAATGTAGAAGAAACCTGAAGAGGGAGAGAAATCAATCAATAGGAAGAAGCAAGCCTACACAAATATTGAAGAGAAATCTAAAACACGAAAGAGCTCAAAACTCAAAGAAAAAATCTGAAAGAGAGAATGCGGGTAAGCTCATAAATCTATCAAGCTAGAAATCAAGGACGATGTAGTGAGCAAGAAGATAGAATTAGAGTCATACCTTGGAGGAAGAAGACGCTGGATAGAGTGTATTGGAAGCGCAAGGTCCATCTAGGACGAAGCAAAGCCCTAGCAAAACCCAGTGGTGCCCTATTTAGCCCTATTTCAAAGATGGCGCCACCGGGAGCGCCTTCCTCCTCGCCCTCCTCCTCCTCCGCCTCCACTGCCACTGCTGGATCGGGATCGGGTTCGGCGACGGCGCCTACGCAATCGCGCATCCTCAAGTTCGTGCCGTGGCAGAGCTCCGTCACGGCTGATTTCTGGCATGGTCTTGCGAATCTCAAGCTCGATGTTCTTCGTCTCGACCGGCGGCCGCTCCAGATCCAAGGTAATCCCCGTAATATCTAGGAATTTCTGTGTGCTGAAGCTGCGGCAATGTAGGATTCTTCGCTCCGTGTAGCCATCCCAGGATTTCTAAGCCATTGCAGCTGACCTACGAGTCTCTGTCGCTGGAGCTCGGCACGGAGAGTCCTGCGAGCGATCGAAATCGATGCCCTGCGCCAGGAACACTATACAATACCAATACGAGTGATGAGTTTAATTCCATAGACAGGGATGCTTTGATGAACGAGGAGACTGCAAAGGTATTTTGCTTTGATTGCTTGCTAAGCTCTCACTAAATTTTCTTCTTTGCTTAAAGGTGTGGGACGATATCTGCTCGGGTCGGGCAGAGGAAGACTCCAACCTTCTAAATCGGTTCTTCGTCATCTGCTATGCCGATTTGAAGGAATGGCGATTCAAGTATTGGTTTTCTTTCCCGGCATTACAGTTTACTCAAGCTGTGAAGCACACCATGTTCCAGCCGGCCTCGGATTATTTTACTGCTGAAGAGGTAACTTGTTTTTCATGTCTTTGCTGTTCCTGTAGTAATGTGGTCAGTTTGCACAGTCCTTGCGAGTTGTTTCAGCTTGTACGGCCTGGAGAACGTCTCCATTGACAACATGTAAGCTTCTGGGATTGTTTTGGTTTTCTGAAAAGAAAAATTGTACAACAGGTCTTTCGTTTTTTCTCCTGCACCTTTCATGTGATGGTGTCACGGTTAGGCCTTTGAGTGACTGGGAAAAATGCCAAGGAAGTGGAAAGGTATTTTTTTTTTTTCTAGTTTTTTATGAGCGTGCTCCTTTTCTCAGACGTGGAGGTTTTCAGATTCTACTGGGCTTTTATGATCCTTCACATTTGCCAACGAATCCCGGATGGCCTGTCAGGAATTTGCTTGTTCTAGCCGCTGTCCGGTGGGGCTTAAAGAATGTGGATATCTTGTGTTGGCGTGAGCTACAAGGACGAACTGACTTAAGACATTGTTTTGTCACGTCAGCTACCTTTGAAGAATTCGGTGGTATGTTTTTTTCTTGCTTTCCTAGACAAGGTAAGCTACTAACTAGAGTCCTTCCAGAAAATACGAACGCCGTGCCTAAAGCAGCTGGATGGGAACCTTCTGCGCGATCAGTCGATCTTTCTTCCTTAATGAATCCTGATATGTACGTACTATTTTACCATGGCTTTCTTATAGTTTTGTAATTTACAGGCTCGCGAAGTCAGCGGCTGACTTGAATCTTAAGCTTATGAAATGGCGCAGTCTTCCGTCCTTAAATCTCTTGCTACTGTCCAAGACGAAATGTTTGCTTCTTGGTGCTGGTACACTTGGGTGTGAAGTTGCTTTGAGGCTTCTGGTAAGTCTCCTCTGTAATTCATCGTACGTCTTCAGTAACTCTTATGTCACCAGGCGTGGGGTATTCGCGACATAACTTTTGTAGACTATGGCAAAGTTGGATACTCGAATCCATTGCGGCAACCTTTATACCAGATCAAAGATTGTGGCCGTTCAAAAGTTGAAGCTGCTCAAGAAGCTCTAAGGACGAAATGTGTCGATGTGGTACTGCAATATCTCTGTTGTTTACTTGGTGTAAATATTTTGATCCTTTTGCTTTTGCAGAGGGCGCAAGGGCATCAAATATCAATACCAATGGCTGGACATAGCGTGAGCGGGAATCAGGTTGAAGAAACCTTTGATAACTTCACTAAGCTGCAAAGCTTGATAGAGGAACATGACGTTATTTTCCTTTTAACCGATACAAGGGAAAGTCGCTGGCTTCCAACTATTTTGTGTGCAGCGGCTGAGCAATCTAAGGTATCTTTGTTTACCTCATTCTCGATTATGATCCTAACCGCCACCATGGCAGATAGTTATAAATGCTGCACTTGGCTTCGACTCCTTCGTCGTCATGCGGCATGGAGAGGGACCTTTCAATTCCACGCAAGACCCGCGACTTGGATGCTATTTCTGCACTGATGTCGTAGCACCTACTGATGTAAGTTTGTGCCTCGAAACTGCTATTTTGTCTCTGCCTTTGATTCCTTGGTTTCTTTTAGTCGACTGTCAACCGAACGCTCGATCAGCAATGCACAGTGAGTCGTCCTGCGCTAGCTCCTATTGCCGGTGGGCTAGCTGTAGAGATGGCGGTGGTTGTAATGCACCATCCACTTGGGTGAGCTGTTTTCAGCATTGTATTTAATTGCTGACTCTACTATATTACAGGCCAGCTGCTCCCGCTGATCAAGCGGTTTCTGTGACGACGAGCATCGAGCAGCCCATGGGAATACTGCCCCACCAGATTAGAGGCTTTCTCGCACACTACGCACAACTCGTCGTTTCCGGGATTGCTTTCGATGGCTGCACTGCTTGCTCACCAAAGGTAGCACCACCGTTTCTCTTTTTCTCTTTCTCTGACACCATGGTATTTAGATCGTCTCGGAGTTCAAAGCAAGAGGCTTCGCTTTTATCCTAGAGGCCTTGAATTCCCCAAATTATCTGGAGGATGTTGCTGGCCTGACTGACCTTTTGCACGCAACGAACTCAATGTCCCTGGATTGGGAAGGTGAGGGGGACTCGGATTTAGGTGTCCCTGACATGGCCTAGCGCACGTTTCTTTTGCCAAAGTGGCTTTATACAAGGTAAAAAGCTGGTAGTTGTGCGCACCGGTGCCTAGAAGATATTTTTTTCCCACTTTTACAACCTCGTGTTTATCCTGACAAGCGAGATCGTCTAGAGGTATTTCGTTCCTTTCAATACATTTTTTATACGTCTCTTTCGTACAAGATTCGTCTGCAGTGCGCCGACTGCGTGTCCGGTAGCCCATTCCTATCTGATTTCCGAGCTAAGCAACGATTTCTATTTCAACTGAACTGTTCATTTTTTGGACCTCAGAGAGGAGCCCGCTTCACCGGCAGAATCTTCCGAGCTAGAACTTTTCAATGGTGGTAATGGCCGAGGTTCTCATGTACGGCATAAGGCAGCTGCGGATGTTGGTCATGTTTCCTCCTATTAGAGGCTCCAGCGGCAGCTTCTCGCAAGTGCACACTTCGATCATGAAGCCATCCGGGTCGTGAAAGAATATCTGCTCCACTTCGATGCCAGCTTCCTCGACGACTCTTCTCACAAATGCGGATCCGGCTTCTACCAGTTTCTTCTCCACCAGATCGATATCCTCGCACTGCGAGAGCAGGAATTTTCGTTTTTATCGCACAAACTCAAAACTTCTTTTTGCGGCTCTCACCTGGAAGGAGATGTGATCAGCTCGGGTGTTGATCTGGTCCGACTTGTTGGTGGTGTAAGTGATGCCGGGCTCTCTCTGCAGAAGATGAATTCCGATGCCGTAATTATACAGCCTTGAGTCGAAGCCGAAGATCAAAGAGGAAACAGCAAAAGACAAAAAAAAAAAAAAGAAGCAAAGCGGTGAGCACCATATTTCCAATTCTATTCTCTGCTCTTTCTGCTCACCATGCTCCTTCGAAATTCAATGCTCCAGGGCGCTTGACGGGGATGAAGCCCAGCACGTTGACATAGAAATCCATCGCCTCCTGGACATTGCTGCAGTTTCGAGATATGTGATTAAGCGACGCGAGCGGCAGCGGAGTCGACTGCCACTTTTTGTAAGCCATTTTCTTCGTTACAATTTGCCTTCTCTCTTGTAGTGCGATATGCTAACTTCTCTCTCTCTCTCTCTCTCTCTCTCTCTCGCTGCTAGAAGCGACACGAACGAACGCAAAACCAACAAAGAAGGCAGAAACGTAGCGTAACGAACGGGAAGAGCGTGAGAACGAGAACTAGAGCTTCGTGCTATGTGTGGGATAAGGAGTGGGGGACTCTGCCGCTTAAGAAGGCTGCTGCCACGCAGCAGTGACGCGTCGCCAGGTCACTGGGCACATGGTCTGACATGGCAATGCCCGACGCGCCACGTACCGACGGATGGCATCTCCTAAAGTGACGAGGTCTGGACAGATTCGGTCTCGCACTAAGCGCTAATTTGTGGGTTGTTTTCTCTATAGGCGTGTGCTCAGCTGGTGGTGGATGGAGAAGCCACTGAAAAAAAAAACTATCCACTCTCGAAACTACAGATTTTTGCTTCATGTCATTCAGTGTATGATCAATAAGAGGTATGTGATTCTATGAAATCTCTCGCAGGAAAAAGAAACGTTATTATTGTCTTGCAGAAAACTAGGCCAGTGCATCGAAGTCGAGCTACAAGCAACTTGCCTGTGAAATCATTTTCCTTGACTGAAGATACAAACAACGAATCGGGGATGGATTATAATAATTTACGAGGTTCATGCATCTAAGGCCACTGCTCACATTGCGTTGGAGCTTATACCAAAGACAGGAGTCTTTGGATCAAACAGCGTGGCAGCTTTTGGTCTTGGCTCGGTCCGGGACTACAACAAGACAAAAGGCCACGAGTTTCACGGGCTAAGGAGAACAATGCCACTGGCTTGGTTTTGAGGATTTCTCCTGCCACGGCAGATAGGAGAATGAAAAGCTGTGCCAACACTAAATACGAGGGTAAAGGGAATTTCACTACGCTACGCTACTCAAATTCCGCGTGCTTGGAGTGATGACTCTGGTGATTGTAACGTTTGAAGAAAACTTTGGCAATACCGGCGAGATAGCTTAGAATTGTATTGCTTGTGTCATTATGGATGTCCTAAAGCTTGATTTTAAGTGTTTTGCAAATCTGAGCTCAGTCATTTATTTTTAAATTAAAACTATTCACTCAATGCATATCTTTTTAACTATTATCACATAGTGCATGATTTGAAGTGCCAGATTGCCACCAAACATCATTTGGAAACTTCATTCTATAAGCTACAAAATTACAATCATCCTGCAAGGTATAAAATGTAAAAGTAACACAACTTGGTTGATTTTTACAATAAATATTGTTAGCCCATATAACATTATTTGAATATGAATATATTACAAAGTTACCATCGTTTTGAAGTTTAGCATAACAATTCACAATATTTTTAACCATTGGAGTTTCCCATATCTTATTCCTTTTAGAGTAAATAACTAAATTACATCTAGATTCTAGTATTAATATATGTTTTGAATTTGGAGATACTAAAAAATTTCCTCTATATAGAAATTGACTTCTTAAATCTCCACTTTCAAGAGTAGTTTGAGAAATATCACAATCATATAGTGATTTTGTTTTAAAATTATATAATAAAATTGGGGGTCTTGATGGACCTAATGCCATAGCATAATGTATTTGATAGTTTCTTGAAGTTATTTTTGCTGAGTTTGCACCTTTAAGAATCAAATGGCCTTGATTATCTGTAATTAATGAATTGAATGACATTCTTAAACTTCTTCCAATCATAAATTTAGTATAAGTGGTTTTTCCTATTTTACAAATATTATTACGCTTTGATTTTTCAAATCTTTTAATTCTAACACAAACAATTCCTCTAGAAGTTTCAACTCTACATACATCTTCATATGTTATTGGATAAACTTCATCAAGATCAATATTTCTTACAAGTGTATAAAAGCCATTAATTACAGTATTAACATCTTGCTCATTTAAGAAACATTCTTCTTCAGTACTTCCCCATTCATATTTAATTGAGTAAATATGTACTAAATATGAATAACTTAGAATGAAAACAGTTACAGTTTTAATTTTAAACATTTTATTTAAATTTTTCTGAAATAATTAAAACTAAAGTTCTTATATAAAGAAATATATAGTTAATATCGTCCTATCGTATATATCTGTAAAGAAAAAACTTTTATTATTTTTAGCTTCTGGTAGTGCTTTTAGCTTTAGGTTGAATTTTTGTTTTGTTTGAAGCTCATTTATAACATAATTAAAGAATTGGTAATATGAATGGGTTGGAATTATATTATCCATTAAACTACAACATTAAATATTTTTTATTTCATAATTTAATTTTGTATAAATTCTTAAATATATACAGTCCAATCTTTGTTTTAATTTATTTAATAGATAATTTAGTGACTTCAAATCGAATGACACATGTTCTTGAAATGGTAGCTTGGGCAATCTTTAATAAATATTGGAACAACCTAAGGTATTAGAGGTGTACTTAGAGGACAAGTCAGCATTCTCATGTGGCAGAAAGATAATAAATACTAGAATAATAATCAAAATAAAACTTAACTATGCTCAAGATTTTTCATATGTCCATAATACTACTTCTAGGTAAAGTTAATTAAGAAAAATGACACTGGCAAAAAACGAGGCAATACAAATATTGATCATTAAGAGGTCATGAGGGCCCTTGATAATCATCTTCTTCCTTTTTCTCCTCCAAGGCCCCTAATCCTATTATAGGTTGTAATGACCTAGAATATCATGATTATTGTAAACAGTGATAATATGGGGAGATCAAGAAAATGACATCATCAAAGGGATTTATATAAATAAAGGATTTTGGCAACAATGTAGTGAAAGGTAATTCAATAAAGCTCATTATCAGGCCCTTATGAACGATAAGTATTAGTTAGTTTTTATCTTCATCAATTTCTTTTTTGTTTAAGTGATTACAAAGAAGTTTAGGTCTAGACCAGTTCACTTGTTGTTGGTGTCATTTTAACCGAATTCCTAGGTGGTGTCATTGATATGTTGTGGCTTTTTTAGTCTAATTTCATCATATAGAAAGTTTAATACTCTACTTATTTGGCATTATTTTTTTAGAGGTTATATCTTGTATGAAAAATACTTATTTGTTTGCTGATTAGTTTTTATCCTGTTATCTAGTGGAAATGTTAAAAATATTCTTATAGTATTATTGTTTTCTGGTTGAGATTATCTTTTTGGTTTGCTTAAGTAAACTTGTAGGGTGGTAGTGGATATACCTAGAATGTTCTTGGATATTGTAGAATATTCTACCAGCTAATTGTTGTTATTCATTTGGATTAATCATGTATTTATAATTTATAAACTTTCCTAAACACTTCCTAGTATATTCTAGTTTATTCTACCATCTAACTTTTAATATTCAATAAGATTATTGTTGTGTTTATAAATTATCAACATATTTATAATATAATTTTTTTATTAATTAAATTAATAAGTAGGAATAACACTAATACTAAGCAAACCAAACATTGCTACATGCAATGCATAGCAAATGTTTTTAGCATAGTGTTGATAATTAAACCATTCATGCTCCATAAGCATCAACATAATTTATGATGTTGGGTGTGTTAAGAGTTATTCAATGTTCTTTTGCTATGAGTTCTGTTTTCCTTTTTGTGTTGGTTGAATTTGTCTTTAATTTCTTAGGCCATATGTTATTGTCTTCATTTATGTCTTTATTCTCTATAGTAATAAACATACAAGTATACATATGTGTTCTTAGAATGGGATAAGGCTAGCATGAGGAACCAATCTATCTTTTAACGATGTAAAAACACTTCAAAATTTAGACAACTCAATTAACTTTGTTAGAAATATATATCACAATATATAAAATTGTTTACAATCCACTTATGCCCAACTAAGAAACATGAGAGTCTATTTACATGAATGCAATGTTCCTCCCCCTCTTTAGTCCCTTAATCTTAGTCATTTTTTCAGAGGTGGTCCACCCTACTACAAATGGCCTCTAAGCATGGAGAAACACACAAATCTAAAAGAACAAGAACACTTATATTACCTAATTTTGCTTCTTACAAGCTTGCTAAGGTTTAGAATGGCAATCCACGATAGTGTTGGCATGTTTGATAAATAGACTAACTTCCCACGTAGCTGGGCATGACAAGCAAATAAGGGCATGTTTAAGATTCAGCATTATTCAACTAATTGCCAGGATCAACTTAACAGAAGCATCTTAAACTTACTATCAGAACTGGACAGACAGAAGAAACGTTCGGATTCTTTGCAAAAGCTCTGCCTTGACATCATCTGGAACCAAAGCTGAAACAAAAACGGAGAGTATGATTTACAAAACCAAAGAACTCGGACGTGTTACCTCGTCCTTTAGGAGTGATAGCCCGGACAAGCTCGTCAATTGTTACGTTTGATCTTCCTCTCTTCCGAGTGAATGCTCTGTAAGAGGGAAAGAGAATGGGCAAGAGGAAAAGGGACTGGGAAATCTACCGGCACTGTGCTTTTAATTCGTCTTTCCATCCACACTCGATCAATCTCTCTCGCAAAAGATCCTTGAGCTTCTCCTTTTCCCCGCTCTCGACGAGCTACTTTCGCTGTTCTTATTAAAAGAGAAAAGGAGGACAATTCCTTCTACCTTAAGATTGATCGCTTCCTGCAGCGACGGCTCGTCGCGCTTGTGCAGATCTTCGCCGGGACGATGGAGCGAAGCTCTCCTGCATTCCAATTCCATGCCATTACAGGATCAATCCCACAAAACAGAGCAAACAAACGCGCCATACATTTTTGCCCACAAACCCTATTTTACTTTAAAAAGAGGGCTGCAAAAGCCCTAAAATCTCGTGATGCGTCCAAGAAAAATGTGCGATTTGATCAAGGATGATAGGTTTTGGATGAATCATTTGAGAAAAAAATATTGCTGGCAAATTTTAGTGTGATTAGTCAAACTATATTTTACTCCTGGGCTAGCCCTAAAATCTCGTGATGGGGGAAGCGAGGCGGCCGAATCTCCTCGTCACTGGCACGCCCGGCACCGGCAAGACGTCCTTCTCGTCTCTCCTCGCCGAGGCGACGGGATTGGCGCACATAAATGTGGGCGATTTGATCAAGGAGAAGAAGCTCTACGATGGATGGGACGAGATTCTCGAATGCCACATTCTCGACGAGGATCTGGTAGGCAAAATACTAGGGGGCTTGTGAAGATAGATTCTCTCTTTGTGTTTTGTAGCTCCTGGATGAGCTCGAGGCGAGGATGGCCGAGGGCGGGAAGATTGTGGATTACCACTGCTGTTCCTTTTTCCCCGAGAGCTGGTTTGATGCGGTCATTGTGCTCCAGACCAACAATTCTGTGCTCTACGATCGTCTTACTTCCAGGTAGCTAAGCTTAGATCTTTTCTAGTTTTTCTCCTTCTTTCTTCAAAACATTTTCTTCCCTCCAAGCCTGTTCTCTTCTCTCGATCTTCGTTTGTACTCCCATGATCGGAACTTCTCCAGAGCTTAGAGTTTTCTGTTTCGACTTTGTCAAACAACTTCTCTCGTATTTTAATTGCAGAGGATACTCCGGGAAGAAGCTTGAGAACAACTTGGAGTGTGAGATCTTCCAAGTTCTCCTCGAGGAAGCCAGAGAGAGCTATTCTCCGAACATCATCCGTGCCATGCCCAGCGACACAATTCAAGACATGAACAACAACGTGGAGATCGTCCAGCAGTGGCTACAAGCTCGAACGCCATCGCTCTAGCTAACTACTAGCTACCAGGTCTGGATGGATAGTTAGGTGGTAGTCAGTTAAGCTCGCTACGTGGTCAGTCGCGAGTGGTTGCAGGGCCTTGGTTAGGCTAAGAGTGTCATACGGTTAGGAAGAGTGACAGTTCTAGGCAGTCGGCAACTAGAAAGATAGCGAGAGAGTTACACAGTGAAGTTCCAGGGAAAGCAGCGAAGAAGTTTGTAAAGCTCGAGAGCTCGATCAATGAGCATGGCCGAGGAGGGCAGTGCGAGGAAGTATGTGCGGCTTCAAGGATTCCATGGCAAGTACTTGTGGGCCGAGGACGACTTTGTGACGGTCTCTCAAGACAGAGATGGGACGAGTACGATGGCTTCGCTGTGGAGAGTCGAGCAAGTCGGGCACAGCCAGCGCCTGAGGCTCAAGAGCTGCTACGATTGCTACCTCACTGCGTCGGACATTCCTTGCCTGGGGGGAGCTACAGGGAAGAAAGTGCTGCAAACGAGGCCGTCGAAGCTGGACTGCGCGGTCGAGTGGGAGCTTGTTGTGGTGGACGAGATTACTGTGAAGCTGAGAGTGGAGCACAGTGGAAACTTTCTTCAGGCCAACAGCTGCTTGCCGCCGTGGAGGAGCTCTGTGACACACGATAGCTTCTGTCCGGAGTGGAGCTTGTGGAAAGTCGAGGTTGTGGACTCGCCTCCATCGAAACTCCAGGTAGAGAAAAACGAAAAAGCTCTTCTCGCTTTGATCCTTGCTCTTGGACAGGTTTCTTCGCTGCCGAAAATGCCGCCGCTCTACGACGGACGCATCGTCTTCTACATGGTGGCCGAGGCGGAGTCGGAGGTGAGCGACGCGTCGCACTGGCACTACGTGTTCTTCCGGGGCCGGAGCCCGGACAAGCTCGCAAAGAAGCTCCGCAAGGAGATCGACGTGGTCGACGACAAGAGCTTCGCGGTTTGTATCCGGCACCCGGCCAACAGTAGCAAGCTCTATCCGCTCCACTTGGAGCTCCCTCCAGGTACCTCTCCCATTTATCTCGTTGTTCTCAAGTCGTCATCTTCGTCCTCGAGCTCTCTAAGGTCCGGTTAATCCTTTCCGAGTATTTATAGCGGAGGGTTTTTCTTTGTCTCTTCAAAGGAAAGAAGTTCTTGCAAAGCGATGGGCTGGTTCATGGATCTTCTCGTTTGTGTGGCCGTGGCGTGCGTTTGCGCTTGCTGTGCCAAGGGGTGGAGCAAAGAACACCATCACGGTGATCATCGCCATCACAGTGACCACCACCACCACCACCACCACCACCACTGAGGAGAAAGACGATCTTAATAATGTTTAATTATGACTAGTTAATTTCATTAGTATCAATCCAGGGATTAGCACGGATACCGTCGATCCTCATCCACGGCCCCCTGTGCTTATAAATTCCTCTTGCCCTTATTTTCCAGAAGCTTGTGCCCTAATCCTCCGCGACGACGAGGAGGGCGAGAGAGCGCCTCTATCGAAGGCGCGCGGCGTGAGATCTCTCCCTGATTCTCGAGGTGAGCCAGCCGCTAGCAGCAGCGCTACCAGCGCCAGCGCCAGCGCCAGGCGGGCGCGCGCGCGAGCGAGGATGCAGAAGACGGTGTGCCCGGATTGCCGGCGCGAGGTGGACATCGTCGTGGATCATGCCGCGGGGGATACGGTGTGCATGGAGTGCGGCCTGGTGCTAGAGGCGCATTTCATCGACGAGAGCTCCGAATGGAGACCTTTTCGGACGATTCCGGCTCCAATGACCCCGTTCGTGTCGGTGGCCCTTCGAATCCCCTTCTCACGGATGGGGGCCTTTCTACCACCATCTCCAGGGGGAATGGCTCGCAGGGCGACTATGCGGCCCTCGGCAAGTGGCAAAACCATGGAACCAACCCCGACCGGGCGCTCCTCCTCGCTTTCAAGACGATAGGCACCATGGCTGATCGGTAAAACTTGCTTTTTTAGCTCGGACAATCTCTTGACTGGAAGTTTTGTGTTTTGTTTTGCAGCTTGGGATTGGTATCCACAATTAAGGTGTGATTTTGTTTGAGGTCTTTTGCGTTTGCCTGGCTGTTTGAGAAAGTATCCGAGTCGTGTTGTTGTTGTGTTGCTGCGAGTTTTTTGGTCTTTGTCCTAGTCTTTGGAGACTAGCCGTTTCTTTCCGGGCTCACGCACAGAACGTCCTTGTTATGAAGGATCGTGCTGATGAGATTTACAAAAAAGTGGAGGATATGAAATCCATAAGGGGACGGAGTCAGGATGCTATCTTGGCTGCTTGCTTATACATTGCTTGTAGACAAGAGGATAAACCGCGAACGTTCAAAGGTATGGTGTGCTCTTTTTTTTCCTCTTGTTCTTTGTCATTGACGGGGCTTTTGTTTCCGCAGAAATTCACTCTGTTGCCAATGGTGCCACGAAAAAGGAGATTGGACGGGCCACAAATTTTATTGTCAAGCGTCTGGAGGAAGAGATGGGAAAATCGATGTCCATGGGTTCCATTCACGCTGGCGACTTTTTGGTAAGCATCAAAAGCTTGTTATGCTGATGATGACGTTTACACTCCTTGTTGCAGAGGCGTTTTTGCTCGCACTTGGGAATGACCAACCAAGCCGTGCGAGCAGCAACCGATACAGTGAAGAAGGTGGAGGAGCTCGACATAAGGTAGATGGCATTTTGGATCAAAGTTTTGGATTCAGTCATTCTTGCAGGAAGAGTCCGATTTCGATCGCTGCCGCTGCGATTTACATGATATCTCAGGTATCGGAGGACAAGAAGCCTCTAAAAGGTAACGTTTCTCGCTTTGTCTTGGTGGTCGTCACATTGTTTCTTTCCGACTACAGAGATATCGCGAGTGGCTGGCGTGGCCGAGGCTACGATCAAGAATTCCTTCAACTATTTGCGGCCCCATGCCACACGCCTGGTGCCCGATTGGTATTGCAAGCCGGAAGATGTCAAGCGCTTCCTCGCACAGTGACGAGCACAGACGAGCCTGCACGACACTCTTCCTCCAAACGAGCAAAGGCTGCTGCTGTGAGAATAAACCGATTGTTCTCGGGGAGGAAAAGGAAGACCTTTGCGTGCTGCCAAACTATTACATTCTCAGTTCACCGCCAACTATCTATGTATGAATGGATTGAGTCTTTAAAGAGCAATACAGCTTTGACTATTTTGTTCTAGGCTTTATAGTCAGCGTAGTGAGACTATGTTGACTTTTTGAAAAAGAATAGTACCAACGTTGACTTGATCTTCCGACTTTGTAGTCAACAACGTTGACTTTATTTTGAGAAGAGATAGTTGACTTATCTTAACATTAGTCAATGGGATGGTCAACAGGGTAGAACAAAAAATGGGGGAAGAGAAGATCCACTTTGATACACTCCTACTTAGTAGCCGCGTTGCTGCTGGTACTCCCTCCGCTTGTTTGGATCCCTTAACACCTCGTACGCCTCGGTGATCCTCACAAAGTTGGCCTTGGCTTTAGCCTTGTTCCCGGGATCCTGGTGCCTGTCGGGGTGGTGCTTGAGCGCCAGCGCCCGGAACGCCGCCTTGATCTCGCTCTCGGACGCGCCGGGCTGGAGACCCAGCCTCGCGTAGTAGCCCTTTGGATCCGGATTGCTGCCGCCACCACCATAGCCAGAAGATGGCTCCTCCTGCCTCTGGCGAGAGTAATCCGATCGCCGGTATCTAGTCTGCTCTTCGTAAAACCTGCGCTGCCTCGCCTCCTCCCGCCTTGTCTGCTGCTTCCGCGCGAGCTCCTCCCACATCTCGTAAGCGTTCACGTACTCCTGGCCCCAGTCCCTCCAGACGTGCTGCGCGCTCTCTCTTACTCGCCACCACTCTCGAAACCGGAGCACCAGAACCGGGAAGAGCAACGCCACGGTACTGGCGATGGTCGCCGCCACCACGCACGCTCCCAGCGGCACGGAGCCGGACATGTGGTACGCCATCGCCGCGCAGGCCATGCCGCCACCGATTGCCGCCAGCGGTGCGTGGTAGAGCCTCTGGCCACCGACGGCGGAGCTTCTCGCGCCGTGGACGAACGTCCGCACCATCTCGGTGAAGTAGGAGCTCTCGAAGATGTAGACAGGCACGTAGATGGGTGCCACCAGCACGCTGTCCATCAGGAAGTCGAGGTTGATCCCTCTCGCGTCCCAAGACCCCGGGAAGATCCTGAGCAGGAAGTCGCGAGCGTTGGCCTGAGCTTGACGGTACACAGCCGTCTTGGCCAAGTCCAGAGCTGCCTGTGCGTTCATTCGGAACTCCTCCAGTCCTCTCACTCCGTCTGGACCCTCCACCATCTCGGGAGTCAGCCTGGTTGCACCGCTGAAACAGCCGACGCATCTCAGCCCGTTGACATAGGCCCTGCGGTACTCGTAGGAAGCGTATATCTGCATGTCGAGGTCCTCGTTCGGATCATGCCTGCGTTCCCAGGAGGGTCTCTCATTCTTCGAGAAGTAGACGAGCTGCCACGATGTGTAAGTCTCCATCCTCTTCGTGGCGAAGTTGTACCTGTGCTTGAGGTAGCCGATTTGAGCGCTGTCAATGGCCACCTTGGCGACGGAGCACACTGCCCAGAATGGTAGAAACCTCTCCTTGACGCTCGGGGACAGCGACGGGACGTAGGAGATGACGGAGCTGTGGTAGGCGTCGTAGTCTGACCTTGCATCTTCTCGGGAGCGAGTGAAGGGCACGGCACGGAGATGCTCCACCGACGGGCCCGCGCTTGAAGAGATCGATCGCCGGAGCTTCTTGCCTGCGCAAACCGCCCTAATCAGAAACATTCCTTTGAGAGAGAGTTTTTTTTCTTACCCGGCTCTCACTCGACTTTGGGTCTTTTAATTTTCAGCTTGAAACCACCTTCTCCGGGCCTCTGAAGAAAGAAAACCATGAGAAGATCACACGCAAAGCTTCGATCATACCTTGATAGCAGGAACTTGTGGTTGTGGTGGTGGTGTACTCGTTGCTGATGAAGCTTGCACCGGCGGAGCTGACATGTTTGCGTCGCTTATTTCCTGCTTCACTTTGAGGAGAATGCTGGGTTGGCGAACGGCGGTCTCGCTTTCGTTCACTTGGCTGGCAGGAACAACCGCAACGTCAGAGCCGGGCGATTGATTCTCGTTCTTAGGCTGCTGCTCTGTTCCCTCGCGCTTGTGCCTGTCCTTGTCCTTCTTGTGTTTCTTATCCTTGTGCTTCTTTTCTTTCTTCTCCTTTCGATCTTTCTTGTCCTTCTTCTCTTTCTTCTCCTTCTTCTTCTCCTTCTTGTCTTTCCTGTCCTTGTCTTTCTTCTCCTTTCTCTCCTCCTTTTGAGAAGCCTCAGCTGCTTGTTCGTCTACAGCTTCGTTTCTCGCAACTGGTGCTTCCGGAACAGGATTTACGTCGATGACTTCGATGAGATCCTTGAACTGCGAGCTGCCAGGACTGTCGTCAATGTCCATCTTTTCTGGACCGACAAGCACCGAAGCTTCGGCCGCCTGGCTGCTCGAGCTCGAAGGCTTCGCTGCCTGCGGTTGATCTATCGTACTTGACTTGGCGCTCTTCACACTTTCAGGAGCAGTAGTCGGAGAAGGCAATTTGAGTAGAGCGTCCGCATTTTGGAAGGTACTGGATTTTAGCCGCAAAGTCAATTTTCCAGCTTTCTGTTGTTCTGGTTCCTTCTTCGCGGCCTGGATCACACGCACCTTAAGCTTTGAAACATCAACATCATCTTTCTTTCCCGTGGGTGATAATAATACGGGTCCTTTTGGTGGGAGCCTACTCACTCGTAGCAACGTTGCAGGCCTGCAATAGACGTCAGCAGTGTAGCACAATTCAACGGGTGAGAAATGCTTACTTTCCCGCGAGAACTTGCAAGATAGAGAAAATATAATGCCTCAACTTGTGATTCACGGCACATTGTTCACTTTCAAAAAACTCCAGGAGAGACGAGACAGTCGAAGAATCCACAGACGACGTTGACGCATGCTTCCGTAGACAGATACGTAAAGCGTAAGACATCACCTTGCATTGAACTGAAAGTAGACAGCATTAGCACGACAATTTACATGAAGATGGAAGCTGACCTCTTGCACATGGATCTTCTCTGACAAAATCAAGGGCGACTCGGAGCGACGAATTTAGACTTTCCGACTGGAACTTCATGTCCAACTGTGCTTGCAAAGCTGCAACCCTTACTTGCCAGGGTGTTGTTAGCACTTTGAAAGGAGACAACAGCGTTTCAATAGGTGCCTACAAAATATTGTGCGGAGTCGTCATCCAAGAATGGACAACAACAAAAACATACCAGGGAAATGACCGTGTTGAACTTCAAAGCAAGGCGAGTTAAAGTCTGAATGCAACTTCGAGTTAATATACAATTGTAGCTCGGCATTAGTCTGTGTACGTGGGTAAGAAAACCAGGACGACGAGCATTCAATCATACCTATCATACTGAAAATACCGATCAATCTGCTTCAAAATTCTTGCGAATTTTGGAATGCTCTGTAACAAGCAAGTCAAGCTAAAACAAGATAGAAAATAAAAAAGAAGCTAAGCTTACCTGTTGACTGATTTCTAGTTCGCCTACTGATTCAATAACAGACGAAAGCCAGAAAGAATCCAAATAAGCATTTCCACTGTTGTCGTTGTGCTGGAATAGATAACAACTCCATAATGTTAAAATTCTAGTGACATCCAGGTAGCAACCTTGAGAATATTAAGAATGAATTCAACGGCTTCTGGTGGACTCTTCCCTTGATTACCACGAACGGTTCCAACTGCCGGAGGGATTGCCTATACGAAAGACGAGTAAGGCTCAAAGCATATTAGCATGAGATGGTACCTGAAGGACGAAGTATTCGGAAAAATCATGGAAGCTATTGGGTCTGATATAGTTCCATGTTAGAGCACGAACAGAAAACTCAAGTACAAACCTCGGGAGTCCAATTTCCATATCAAAGCATCGGCTTTTGTAATACTTCATGAGGTGTCCAAGTCCCAACCAAGATGTCCCCTGGACAAAGAAAAAGTATAGCGGCCGAAAGAAAAGAACTGAACAAACCTCTCCGGCCGTGTTAGCTAGTGCGAAAGCAGCCTCGACCCGGACACGGCAAAATACCTGCATAGCGCCTCCGCTTATAGGCTTCTAGACATGAAAGCAGTTAACAGCTTGCCTTGGGATCAATAAGGCAGCCATTCAGCGCGTTTACTATCGAAAACGACACAGGTAGCTTTTGTAGAGCTGCAATTGCTTGCAACTGTGCCACAGCATCCTTGTCTCTCTCTAGTTGATTAATCTGTCGGAATGCAAAAATAAAAGAAGCTATAGAGAATGCTGAGGTTTACAACTTACCCACATTTGCTCAGGTTGCCAAAGCTGTATCTTCGTTAGGTAGTCCATACCAGGATCAGCACGCAGCCATAACAGCGGAGACTCCACACTGAAAAAATAGAATTAAAGACGAGACATTTCCAAAAAAGCCTCATACCTTGGTTTATCGTCTGCCAAATCATCAATAATTTCCACCTTCCCGGGCTTTTTCGGCCGCTGGGGACGACGATTCGCCATTTTGGAATGGCATGGAATTTCCAAAAGCTGATGCACGTCTCCTGACAGAGATAGATTCGGATGATCATACATGCCGTCGAGTTCGTGTATTTGAATGTTCATCATTCCAGGCCATCCAACGTCAGCGATGGACTTGTTCCCCAGCATCATGACTTCTGGAGCTGTGCAGTCCCGATGAACTGCGAACTCCACAATATTTCTTCTCTTGTTGTACTCAAATCCCATCCTGCACCGCGCGTGAGTACTTACACTTCTAAAGGAAAACAATAGCAGACCTTAGCAACGGGCAGCCTTGTGATTCCACCCATCGAGGAAAAAATTCTTTTAGGAATGGACGTTCGAGGTTTCCAATTTTGTTTGCAAAATGCCTGAACTGAAGCCCTTGGAAATAACTGCTAAGGAAGCAAGCTGGGAAAATGGAAAACAAGCACCTCTTTTGTACTGAGTGTTCTCATGTTACGTTCTCCAGCCCTCGATACAATCCTTTGCAGAACCTGTGTATATAGCTCAGCATATTAGGTCATGAAATTTTTTTGCTTAGTACCTTACGAAGAGATTCTGGCCCCATCTGTTTCTCAAGCATCTGAATTACGGTTACCTGTAAAAACAACAGAATCAAAAGAGCAAAAAAAGTCATGATAGTCATACGGCTTTCCATAGCCGGATTTTCCCAAGAAGCCCCAGCTTCTCCGCCCGGAAAACACCAGCAGGAACGGAAGATGGACTAAGAGGTGGAAAACTTTCAACATCTGCGTCAGTTACAGCTTCGATAGCCTAGTGATACATACGCAAAAAGATAAGAATGCATCCCTTCCATTAGAAGAAGCTACCTTGAATTTCCGATATAGTGCCTCGTTATTTCCCAAAAATTTTCTTATGAACAAATGTACAAGAAAGCCGGATATGCCTTCTAAAAGCCATACTGCACAAAAACAAAATTTTCATATAATTTTTTATGGCAAATTTACCATCGCGATCGGTTTCTGGCGTTATAAAGACTCCAAACCATTGTTGAGCTAACGCTTGCGAGAGTTTGATTTGAGTTATGATTGCCTTCAAGGAGATGAGCGACATTAGTAACTAAACTACAGAGGCACCATTCTTACCTGGTCAATAACCCGTTCGTCTACAAGTAGATGCGAGCTAAAAACCGCCATCGATGCTCCTACTGATAGAGAGGCAACCGAATGCTCGGAGTCAATAAAAACTTGCTTGTAGGATCCAAAAGGAAATTCAGCACCCAAGTACTCCTCGTATAGACTGCAAATGCGGTACAAGTGATGAAACAAAAAAATTAAAAATGATACCACTAACCTGAATAGAGAGTAATAGCAATTTACAGAGCTTTGAAGCTTCGAGGTATAGCCTGGTGGACACATATGTGACACGTTTGCATTTTGTCGCTCAGAAATAACTTCCAAGGGTGTAGAAACCAGAGTCACAAATGAGGCAGGCGTTGGTACATCCAAGTTGTAGACATATGTCTTCATGTTTCCCTCCTTACTCAGAACCTGTGACAGAAAGTAGTCGATTCAAACACCTCGACAAGATAAAGATGGTACCTGATACAGAAGATTTCCAGCGCTTACTGCAACGTAATCAGACTGTACAGTGAATTCTAAATGGTAGCTGCTAGCGAAAGAGAAATGTAAGAAAAAAAAACATCTACGAAATAACGCAAAGTGTACCTGCATCTGCTCGACATCGAGCCAAGGCAAGGAAACCAATGTTGCACACGATGCGTCTGAAATAAATTCGTGGAGAAGAAAATTTTGCTCTTCGATTTTACTAGCGCGAAATGAATTTGTACGAGCTTCACCGGCTGTAAGCAAGCAAGATACAAACAAGTAGTTCAAGCATAGAACTAACAGTTGAAAAAGAGCTTTACCTGCGCTGTGGATGGCTTTGGAACGTCTTGCGACGACCCGTTCTCTTGACACAGATTTTCTGCCTGGGAAGGAGACGCCGCGGACAAGGTGATGAAGAGATCGGGTGAGCTTTCTGCCGCCAAGACAGCCTTGTAGCTGGAATAAGCAGTGGCAGCAGCAGTTTGTAGCGATTGAACGCGAGGGCTGGCCTGCTGAGATGAATTCGGTGTCCTTCGCTTCCTCTCAAACTTCGCAGGGACTCCATCCACAAGCACTTGCAAGATTTCCAGTCCCCCGGAGTGGAACTCCCCCACGCTGTTCCTGGACGCTACTTCCAGCTCCGTGTGCCTGCCCTAGGCTACAATGAGGAAAATCTCCAAGGTTTTTGAGAAAATACCCGACGATTGATTCGTGCTCCATGTCGATCGCGACGCACAGCTTCTGGTGGCGCACGACGACGCCGGCGTCGCCGCCATTCTCCCCAGCGCCATCCGCCGCTCCTCCCTGCTTCTGTTTGCGCGGCTTCGCCATGCTAGGGCTCCAAACACGTGAAGAACCCTAAACCCCGGGAAACCCTAAATTATGGCGATGGCTATGGCGGTGCCAATGCGCAGCGTATTCGCCCAGGCAGGAGGAGGCGATCAGGATTTCAACAAGCGCAGGCGCCGGCGCACCCTGGTATGCTCTTAGATCTAGGATTTCTTCGCGGTGGGATTGATCGGCTTCGACAGACCAAGGTGGATCCACTGATGCACCGGGAGAAGCGGCATTGCTACTTCGCGCAGCCTGCCGAGAGGGATTTCATCGAGCAGGGCAAGCGCGTGCTTCTCCATGCCGAATGGCTGCTGGACAGGGGCAATCACTTCGCCGTCACGATGAAGATCGCCAGGGCGGCGGACGACTTCCAGCGAAACCACAAGCAGGAGGCGCTCTATCAGAAGCCGGTGCTGAGGGCCATCGCCGATGAGATCAACAAGGAGTTTGGCCGCGGGGAGAAGCTCGTCACGGATGCTTACAACGAGGACGTGATGGATTACACGCAGTTCGTGAACTCCCCGCTCGAGGATCCGGAGGAAGTGATCGAGATTCCGGGGCCGAGGGCCACCAATTCGTGGGACTGGTGCGAGAGAACCGACTGGAAAGGCAAGGATTCCGGGGACCCTGGGTGGGTTACACACATGAAGAGGAAGGATATCGTGTGGATTCCAATCCAGGACGAGACCAAAACCTTTAGGCGGTTCTAGTAAGTTTTTCTCTTCGTCTTTATCACGTACTTATATTCCATCTTGAGGTTGACAAAGGACGCGCGAGGATCAACAATGTTCCAGCATCCAACCAAAGTAAGAGCTTCTTTCTTTCTTTTCCGTTCTATGATCTGGCTTCCTTTTTCTTTTTCTCTAGGTTCTATTCTTCCGCATTGTACCTTAAAGTAAGAACGATCTGTCTAAGCACAAGCTCGTATGATGATTCATTCCTTTTTCTTCGTTCCTCTCTCCATGTAAGAACTAAAGGTAAGCACTTGCTCGATTTTCCTACCTGTCTCGTTCTGGAAAGCTCATTTGGTTTTTTCTCTTCCTTTTTTTTTTTAAAGGTTGCAGCAATAACATACAAGAGGGATTGAATGTGCGGCTAGTGGCAGTTGTTGTAGATCCGCAGTACCGTGCTCTTTTCCATAATGTGATGTGATAGCGAGTAGTGGCTCAACAGGGACGGGGATTGATTCCAATCTTTCTCCAGGTAAACACCTCACACACACCTCTGTTTCTCTTCTCTCTCACACACTTCATCATCAAAGTACTGCACAGAAGCTCTGTCCTTTTTTCCTCCTCCCAACTTTCTCTCTTTCTCAACGTTGTCCTGACCAGCTATCATGGTTTCTTCCGCACAGACCAGAGCAGCCGAAGTGACTTACCAAGTCATTCCAAAAGGTCTATCGCTGGAACACCGGGACACATTCATTGTCTTTTTTAACTCTCCCGGGATACACTCTCCATCAACGTCACGGATCTTTGGGAAGATCTCACCGGTTACAATGCAATGCGTGTCTCGGCAGCGCAGGAGGAGATAAGAGGCAGGTCGCCTGGCCTCTATGTTTCCTCGCCAGGATGCGTGTCCATACAGGGCTTTAAAGGCCCCGAAGCGCGCAGCGTAAGTAAGCTCCATATCTTTTCCTTTTGTGAGCTTTGCTTATGCTTATCTTCATCTCAGTCGCAGGCTCTGTCTCTCTCCCTCTCTCTCTCTCTCTCTCGCATCATCGCATTAATGAAAAGGCTGGACTTTTGATTAGCAGCGTGATCGTCAGCCACTATATGTTGGTGATCATGGAACACAAAATCTCGCTTGGATCTTCTTCGACTCGCAAAGAATTCTACTTAACAAGGTAAGCAAAAAATCTTATTAACCAAATCTCGCAGGGTTCTTTGTTCCAGTGGAAGCACCTGGACAGGGGACGACCATTTCCAAAGCCACGGTATAAAAAGTTAAAACAACGTTGCCTCGCAATCTGTTATTTGAAAGCGCCCCGGCCAGCGTGGAAGCGTCAACATTTCTTTTACGTTGTGACCATCGGGGGCCAAAGCAAAAGATTGCGACCGCTACGTGATTAGTGTAAAAGATGTGGAAAGAAAAACGCTCCCGGAAAGATGACCTAGTTTTTCTTGTGTGTGCTGTGTGTGTTATAAGGTCTCGAGGCTGGGACTTTTCTTTGTGTGTGGGAGAAGAAAGAATTGAAGGGAAGAAGGTATGGCGCCGGCGAGGACGATCGATTGCGCTGCGACGAGGAGGCGGCGCTGCTAGGCGCCCGCGCAACGCTGTTCGGGTGGGAGCTTTCGGCGCTGTGGCGTGCTGATCCGTGGAGAGATGGACGATTCCGGGGGAGGGAGGTCGAAATTTGTGAGGATTTGTGTGTTTTGCGGCAGTAGCAGCGGGAAGAAGACGAGCTACGGCGCCGCGGCTGCCGACCTCGGCCGCGAATTGGTAATGTGATGCTTCCTCTATTCCCTTGCGCATTGCATTTCTTTGATGAGCGAGTGCATGAGTGAATGAATGTGCGCCATTGTCTGCAAGGTTTCTTTTTTGGAGATCGGTTTGCTAGTTTCGAACGAATCACAGAAAGCTCTTTCTTTATTTTGGTGGGGGAGTTCTTGGATAGAATGGAAGGCTCTCCTTTTCAGTTTTTTTTTTTTTTTTTCCCTCCTATTATTTTAGTCTCGGTTTAATCCCGTTGCATCGCTTGTGACTTCCACTTAGCTTATCATACGGCGACTTTTGCATTGCTCGACCACCACCATAGTTTACTTTTGCTTCCGCTTCTTTCTCTCATGTGTGTTCTTGCATTGTTTTTGGTTTGTTTTGCGTAGAAAGTGGTCTCTGTCCCGGTGCGTTGATGTTGTCCCTGGTTTCCTTACCTCGATACATTCGCTCCTTATGAGCAAAACCATAGAGTGGTGCATAAAAGGCGATTCATTCCTTGTCTCCTGGAGGATAATTTGCTCGGGCACGAGAGGGGCCAGGCTGTCATGGAATTGATATGTTTGGTGTGGTTGAGCCAGGAGGGTGAGCTTGCATCTCTCTCTCAGCGCGTGAACTCGTTATTTTGGTGGTACTTTATATTCCCAAGCTCTTGCCTCCTCACGCCCGATTTGTTGTATGAGATTTGTTTTATGAGTTTGTTGTGTGATCCCTTTTGTGGTTTGTTCTCTAACGAGCTTTGCGTGTGTTTGGCGTCTACAGGTGAAGAGGAAAATCGATCTGGTTTACGGAGGCGGCAACGTCGGACTGATGGGACTTATAGCGGAAGCGGTTTACGAAGGTGGCTGTCGCGTTACTGGGTACGTAGTGCTTTTTGTTGTGTTTTTTAACGTTCTTTTCGCCCCTCTGACCTTTTGGCTGTCTTCCTCGCAGAGTAATCCCAAAAGCGCTGATGCCTCACGAGGTAGTACAGGTTTACCATTTATTTCCATGTGGCTGGCTCGTCGGGACGGGCACTCATTCCCCAAAGCTCGTTTCATTTCCTTTCTAGATTTCAGGCAAGACGGTCGGAGAGGTGAAAGTCGTATCCGACATGCACCAGAGGAAAGCCGAGATGGCACGGCAGGCGGAGGCCTTTATCGCACTTCCGGGTATCGTTTTCTCGCGCTTTCTAGCCTGTGAAAAGTATTGACACATTCTTCGTTGTCGCCAGGCGGATATGGTACGCTAGAGGAGCTGCTGGAAATGATAACGTGGTCCCAGTTAGGCATTCATGATAAGCCTGTAAGAGATCTCGCAGTTTCTCACATGGAAAGTCTGATGTTTGCGCGTCTCTCTTTTCTCTTAATCAGGTCGGCCTGCTAAACGTTGATGGTTACTACAATCCGCTGCTCGCCCTGTTTGACAAGGGCACGGAGGAAGGATTCATCAAGCCGTCGTCCAGGCAAATTGTCATCTCCGCATCGACTGCGGGCGAGCTCCTTGATAGACTAGAGGTAAGTGTTCCTCGGTTGTGTACAAGTTTCCTCGTGATCTTTTGTTTGTTTGGCAGGCTTATGTTCCAAACCACGTCTCGGTTGCTCCAAAAGAGACGTGGGAGATAGAACAATTGGGGTACTCGGCAGCATCGGCACCCCCAAGCCATACGCTGTGAGAAAATGTTTAAACCAATTCTTTTGTTTTTCAAGATCAGTGGGTAGTAGAATCAGTGACTATGTGTTGGACCCTTGAAAAGCTCAAGGCTTAACTAAACCAAAGTTTATTCCATGTAGAAGAGAGACGCAATATTTTTCAAGTGATCAACCCTGGGAAGACTGGCCAGCCCAGGGACCTGAGGGATAGTCTTGTAGAGCCGATCCCGGGTTCGAACCCACCCGAAGAAGAGGGACCCTCAAATAAAACAAACTGATCACTCCTTTTATTTTCCCAAGCATGTTGGGGCGCGGATTCGAACGCACGACTCCTTCGTACTTTCCCAATTTTTGTAGCGGTGTCGCATTGTTCTTCGGCTTGTACATGGTTTGAATCTATTTAACTAGCGATTGAGTGGAAGAGCTTTTGGATTGTCACTCTAGATTTTGTTTCAAAGACAAAGGTTGGATCACAAAATTGGGACACGAGAGTTGCAGACACCAATGATGAATACGTACGCTATCATCACTAAGTTCCATGGATGTTGCTAATGCAAGGTTGAGAAATCCATGCCGGATCCGGTGTGGCATGAACCACTGAAGACATTGGCCTTCTCCGCTGTTCGGAACACATCCGCATACACTAGGGCGATGTGCTCAGTCACAAACTCAGGCCCCTCCTCCTCGTCACCAACAATGAAACTCGAATCAAACTTAGCCATGTCCTCTATTGTCTGGCATGCCCGTCGCAGCGGCTTTCGCATCGCCAGAGCGTACTCAAGCGAGAAACTGATCCGCGCCATCTCACCCGATGACAAGAAAGTTTCAATCGCCGCCAGCCAGTCCTCCTCGTCCTCCAGGCATGCTACTACCTCTTCCGGACTAAGCTTCCTTTCCGGACCACGCCGGTGTAACCACGAACTTGGTAGTTCGCGGGCCACGAGCTTGCCGAGTGCATAGCTCCGGCAGCTGCTGTCCAAGACGGCCAACGAAAACGGGTGCCTCCCTGTGTAATGCTCCACAAGCATTGAGCGCTTCGGGAATCGCGAGCAAAGGAGCCCGAGAACGCTCAGCTTGTCTCGGAAAGCAGTCAGCTCCTCCTGCCAACCAAAACTTTAGAAATCAAAACACAAAGATCCACAAGAAAGAACAGCTCACCCCGTAGAAACCATCCTCCAGGAGCAAGAGTTCGCACGGACTATACCGCAGCTGCAAGTACTCCTGCGTCATTCCAACCCCACGAGACAGCCCCAAGACAGTCACTGCTGCAAGTGAGAACAAAGCAAACAAATCGCTGTGGAACTTCTTACGCAGCTCCTTGGCGGGAACTGGCACTGGCATTTCCTCTCCAAGAGCGTCAAGCATCTCCCACTGATCGACGACAAAGTAAAACTCGTCACCCGCGGCTGCTACTTGATCGCGGAAGAACTTGGCGATGTCTTGCATAGAACCCAAGCGATCTATCTCATCCAACAGCTCGGCCTCCTTGCAAAACGTGAACCTCAGCGCGTTCTTCACGCACCCGGCCAAGTCCTGCTTAGCGATAGCAATCGCGAGGTCCCAGAGGCAAACAATCCTGCTGTTAGTCCCCGCGGCATCGTGAATCCACCCGCAAGCCAAAGCCCTGAGCAAGCAACTCTTGCCGATTCCACACGGCCCAACGACTAGCAGCGTTTTTGTCTCTTTGGCTGCTTCCACCAGGCTCTCAAGATCACGGCGACCTACAAACTGGAGATCTCCTCCGGGCATCGACGGCGCCTTGCCGATTCCCGGATATGGAATCGCCGTGATCTCACCGGCAGTGCACAGCTTACTCTTGTCGATTGCGGCGATGGCCTCGTGCGCCTTGACTGCCTTGGCCAGATCGTATTCCCCGCCATCGCTCCCACACACGCAGCGCAACCTCTTGACTGGGCGTCGCTGCATCCTCGCCTAAACCCTAAGATTTGTTGCGATCGCGGCCGTCCAATGCTCGTTCGCGCCCATTTTGCTTCCAGCCAAAACCAAAAGGATTCTTTGTATGGAGATTTGTTTGACACCATGGACCAGAAGATTTAAGGGCATTCTCGATCCAGATCGATCGATCTCGCAAATGGCCCCTCTCAACAAGGTTGCAATCTTTGCCTGCGTTTTGATTCTTCTTGCAAATCCATCTCTTGCTCTAGCAATTAGAAGTGCCGACAACATGGAATGTGCCTCGCAACTTGAGAGAATGGAAATCTTTCCCAGGACAATAAACCACAAGATTGGATGCTGCAATTACATCCGGCAGAACAGGATTTCTCTGTGCTCGTTAGTGATCAGTGGATCGAGAGGCAATGCTGTCACAAGCCTTGCAAATGTCTTCAAAGTCTGTAACATTCAATGCGTATAGTTGTGGTGATGAACGAAAAATATTTTAGAGATAAAATGGCAATGGTGCACACCAGGGATAGAAATTCCATTTAAGTCCATGTACAAAAATCCTGTCGATGCCGATTTCATGTAGTAAATCCATGTTTTTTCAGATTTTCAGTTTTAATAGAGCTGCTTCCTTCATCGAATGCGAATGCCCTAAACCGCAGAAGGTGGAATTTTGCGCCTAGAAGCACTCTTTACGCTTGAGTGAATGTTTCCTTCAGGTTAATTTTACTTTAAATGTAATAAGCATCAGTAGTCCAACGGTTAGGATAATTGCCTTCCAAGAAATAGACCCGGGTTCGACTCCCGGCTGGTGCATTTTTAATGCCTAAAGTCTTTTTGCCACGTGTCGGCTCTAGGGTTTATGGAGAGGATGCGCTCCTTTTCCCTGATATGGCGATCGGCGATGTGCACTGCCGCCACTGGAGCACAGCCTGTTGCCGCGTCCTCAAGGTACGAGGAAGAATGCCGGGAATGTGGAGGCCCGATGGAGTGGAAATTATCGCAGGGTTCTGTCTGGAGTGAGGCAGACGAATCTAGCGACTGAGCAGCAACGCCAGGATGAGAATCCGGACCACGATCAGCAGGTGTCTATGGATTTCCGGATCAAGAAGAGGAATCTCGTCAAGGAGCTCGTCAAGCAACAAATTCGAGAGGAGATTCGCAAGAGAAGGGAGGAGGACAAGAGCCGTGCTCCCAAAACCGAGAAGGAGTTTCTCGAAGTAAAGATCCGAAGGGTACGTAGGAGCACTCTTCTTATTTGCTTTTATTTATGTATTTTCTTTCGCTCGTTTCTTCCAGGCTTTGTACACGATCGATCTCAACAGGACGGAGATCCGGCGAAAGCATTCGTCCCATCTTACCGAAGGAAACCATTGCTTGCGAGAAACGGAGCCTCTGAGTGAAAGAGAGGCGGCGCACTACGCAAGGATTGGAAACAAAAACCAGAACTTTGCGTCCGTTGGTAAGCGTGGGATCTACGGAGGTGTGATTCACAACATCCACACCAACTGGAAGTTCCATGAGACGGTGAGGATCAAGTGCCCCCGCCACAACAGCATGGAGGAGACGCGGAGAATCGGTGCCGAGCTAGCGAGATTGAGTGGAGGCATCGTGCTCGATGTCCTTGAGGACAGGACGGTGATTATGTTTCGTGGTAAGAACTACCAGACACCAGAGGAGCTCTATCCTCCAACTTTCGAAGCTGTCGACAGGAGAAATGTGAGTTTGCTGCTTCTCTTGTTCTTCTTTGATGAATTTCCTGTTTTCGTTCTTTCAGGCCGATTCTAGGCACCACATCCAACGGGCTTTGGATTCACAAGTTTACAGGCTGCGGCAATACATTTCCAGGTACCACTTTCTCAAAGAAGACAGAGAGCCCGCTCAAGCCACGCAGCCGATGATAGTCTTACCAGGGGCTGGTAACGAAGACAGAGAAGAAGGTTTAGATCAAGGTTGTCAAGTAGAAGGGGAGAATGGTGATAAAGATCAGGCTAGAGCAGCAGCAGCGGATGTTATAGCTGCACAGGCGAGCCTCGAGCGAGTGGAAAAAAAGATGGCGTCCAGATTTGCGAGAGAACTTGGCCGCCACAAGACCGAGATTGGGAAGGAGAGGAGACGAGCGAGAAAGAACTTGTTTGATTACAAGATTCGCAGGTGTGGGGGGATAAAAGCGTACCTCCGTGGCCTGGGAGTACCATATCCACACTCCTAAACAAATCCAGGGAGATAAGCTTATGATATGACGTGGATCCCACTATCAGGTAGGGTTCTTGCGAGAGGAGAAGATTTTGAAGTACAAGCTCGAAGAAAGAGATGTTTGGCACTCTCGCCACCCACATTTTACTGCTGCTCGTCGCGATCATCGCGATCAATCTCTACCTGAGCTCGCTCCCGGCTTGGTTCTTCGTGATCCAAGTTAGCACTCGCTCCATCGCCGCCTTCCTCCACAACCTCACGCTCCACCCCCACGTCGCGGGGACGCCGCAGGGATTCGCCACCGCCAAGTTCGTCGAGGAGAGATTCCGCGAGTTTGGGCTCTCGACGCGCACGGTCGACTACGAGGTACTCGTCTCGTATCCCTTGAAGCGATCGTTGTCCGTGGTCTACCCAAGCAACTCGTCACTCAGCTTGGCTCTTGACGAAGAGACCGTGGATGGCGATGGCGATTCCTCTGGAGTCATTCCAACTTTCTTCGCTTACTCGCCGTCTGGGGAAGCTCTTGCCGAGGTGGTGTACGCAAACTACGGCCAAAAATCCGATTTTGACGAGCTCAAGAGCCTGGGAGTGGAGGTGAGAGGGAGCGTGGTGATCGCCAGGCTTGGCAAAAGCTTTCGAGGGGATATCGTGTTTAACGCGCAGGAGGAAGGCGCAGTGGCCGTGGTTTTGTATCCGGATCCTCGAGACTACGCCACGAACGCTACCACTGAAGGCTACTATCCATTCTCGCGATGGTTGCCTCCAAGTGGAGTCCAGAGAGGCTCCGTGATCCAGGACCCCGGGGATCCTCTCACGCCGGGGTGGCCGAGTAGCAAGCTTTCCGAGAGATTGGACGCTTCCAACTTGACAAGGCTGGGAGTTCCTGTGATCCCCGCGCTGCCAATCTCCGCTCGCGACGCTCTTCCAATCATCGAGGCGCTGGGAGGCCCTGTTGCTCCTGATTCCTGGCAAGGAGGACTTGCGGTGGACGCGTATCGAGCTGGGAAAGGACCTGTGAAACTTGATCTTCGCTACGAGGTAACTTCTGCAAAAAAAATATTAAAGCTTTTGAGCACTACGTACTTCCTGGCAGGCTAACCTGACCACTGCGACAATTCGTAACGTTTTTGGAATCATAGAAGGCTCTGAGAAAGATAGGTGAGTTTTCGAGCTTCAAATTAGTCTTGTTTTCTCTCGTATTTTTTCTAAAGCTTTGACACATAGATATGTGCTTCTTGGGAATCACCGAGACGCTTGGACGTATGGAGCCGGCGATCCAAACAGCGGAACTGCCTGCCTTTTGGAGGTAAAGCTTTCATGTTATTCCTCAAAGAAACTTTTCATGTTTTTGCGAGTTTTTAGATAGCTCGCATCTTTGGACAGTTTCTGAGAAAACCAGCGAGAACAATCGTATTTTGCAGCTGGGATGCCGAAGAGTACAGCCTGGTAATCCTTTGTATCTCTATTATCTTCGTGTTTACTCATAAAAATTCTTGTCTTAATAGACTGGTTCTACAGAGTGGGTCGAGGACAATTTGGCCATGCTTAAGGCTCGAGCGGTGGCTTATTTAAACGTGGATGAAGCAGTAACAGGCAGTTCTTTCTCAGCGTCTGCTACGCCTCAGCTTGACAACCTTTTATTCGAAGTCACCAAAATGGTACGCAAATCTTACCATTTCTTTTTGCAGCTCATGGCATTTTGGTTCTCTCAAGGTGAAAGATCCAGACTCAAATGGAACCATATTTGACTCGTGGTGTGGAAAATCAAATGATTGTGTAAGAGACAAAAAATTTATCATTATCATCTCCTCCGCTCCGTATTAATGGTTTGATGGACTCAGGTCGGGAGGCTGGGCGGTGGTGGCTCCGACTACGCTCCATTCTTGCAGCACGCAGGAATTCCCTCCACCAGCATGACGTACGAAGAGAAAAACTCAGATTTTCCCGTGTATCATTCACTCTATGACAATTACAACTGGATGAAAAACTTTGGAGACCCTGAGTTTCATCGCCATGCAACAGGTGAAACTTTGCTTTTGATTCTTTTTTATAAGATTTCGAGGCTTTGGTGCCAGTGGTGAAAGTCTGGGGACTGCTTGCGAGGCGCTTGGCCATGGACACGATCTTGCCTTTCAACTATGTCTCGTATGCAAATGTGTTAGAGGTACTAGCGATTATACCATTGCTTTTCATGAGTTGGATTGTTTCTTAAAGGTCGCTGTAAAGGATTTGGAGGCCAGGTTCCTGCTTATTTCGGGTCATCCAGTAAGCTTTTCTCTTTTTTCTTCTTTCGCTTGGTCTCATCGGTTTTTCCAGGTTAATATACTTAGCCTCAGCAAGTCACACGACGTAAATTTCTTCCCACTTCATTCTGCGGTGGATCAACTTCGTGAACTTGCGTCCAAGATCCCTTCTTTCACTGCGCCCAGAAGTAAAAATGATATTTTGATGCTTGGAGAGCGCTGTTTTCTAGATGGCGAAGGCCTTCCAGGGAAGCCATGGTTCAAACACTTGGTGAGTGCATTTATCTGATTGTAAGAGTTTTGATGTTGAGAATTGTGTAGATCTATGGCCCAACTCAAACAAATGTCTATGGTACCTCGACATTCCCTGCTATTGCGGACGTTATATCGAAGATGGCTGTGGGTGAGGACAAAGAAGAGCTTAAAGCTTTAAAACAAGACTTGCAACATGAAATATGGAGAGCTTCGAGAGCTATCCAGTGTGCCGCGAATGTCATAAAAGGTGACATATTTTCCTAAATGCAGTTGAACCGTGCGCAGTTGCTCTTGGTATTTATCCTATCCTTTCCATCGCCAGCTGACATTGCATTGAATATAGTCAACGGTATGGTCAAGATAGTCAACGGTCAGAAAGATAAGGGGAAAGAAAGGACAGAGTTTAGGGTTTAGAGCAAGCAGCCAAGTCCGGTTTCAGCTAGCAAAATGGAAGGAAGTTGCTAAGGTGTGGGCTCAAATTGAAGTGGCTGGGCCCTTCAGAGTGGCAAACAAGATCTGGCGGAACATTGGCGAGAGGAAGAGGAGTAGCTGTGCAAGAGAAGAAAGAGGAGCTTCTTTTCGTCACGTCTAATGGTGTGTCATCTCTTCCATTTTGAGCTCTTGTGGTTAAGGATTTGCCTCTTGCGCTCACTAGGGAGAGGATGGATTTTTTATTTTTTTTAATTGTTTCGTGCTGTTGGTTCTTACCGTGCTCGGATGTTTGGACAATAGTATAGCGCCTATAGCTCCTTTGGCCAAAGAGCAAGCAAAGGTAAGACAGATCCAAAGAGCTGCGTGGCGATGCTTATCCTTGTTTCAATGCAGGAGAAGGTCAGCTGAGACCAATAAAGTCAGCGGTAAGATGTCACTTTCTTCTGATTTCTAGCCCAACGCAGCTTAAGGCTCGCCAGCCCAGTGTCCGATGGAGCTCTACGTTTTCAGAGACGGAGCGGAGCGTCTTTGGACAGTAACGCTTTTCTGTAAATAATCTTAGTGATGACACTGATATACATTCGATGTGATGGTCTGATCGAGCAGCGGATGAGCATTTCGAAATGTTTCAGCTTGAGCACATGAATCAACCCCTAGATTCGGTTCAGGGACCTGGGTTTACTGTTATGACCGTCTGACCATCCGTTTTAGTCTGACCATCCGTCTGACCATCCGTTTCAGTCTGACCATCCGTCTGACCATCCGTTTGAGTCTGACCATCCGTCTGACCATCCGTTTCAGTCTGACCATCCGTCTGACCATCCGGAACCAGGGAATCCAAACCATCTTCCCAAGGTCGCTGACCACGCGCATACCTTTTCCGTTTCTGAGGTGAACCCTGAGAACTTAGAAGCTCTTCAAGCGTTTCACTGCCGAAACTTATGCCCCCAACCTCCGAATGATCTTGCACTTTAAAGCACCGTTTCAGAGCATCAACAAGCTTCGAGATGGTATTTTTCTGACCGTCGCTCCCCTGACCTGCTTTGCTGCGCTGCGAGTCGAAGAACCTGAGCTTCCGGGAATTCAGGTTGTAAACTGCGTAGATGAACGTGCAGAGAGGACCTAAGCAGACCAAACCCCCGGGGACAGAAGTGGCGATCATGCTGGTCGGATACTTTCCCGAAGGTGGCAATTCTGAGAATCCTGCGGCTCCAAATCCCACGAGGACGAAGATGATGGAGATGACGAGCATGACTGCTGCGGCAATGAGTATGTGCCGGAGGCGGCGAAGGAGTCTCAGGTTGAATTTGTCGGGAGAAGGCAGGACCCCGGTGACTCCTGCCAGAGCACTGGCCATTGCGAAAAAGAAGGACAAACTGTTGGCAACCCAGAACACAACCACACCTGGTCTGTCGATGGACACATACTCCCTGTCCTTGAACTTAAGTTTGTACCCCAGTGGCGGATTCAAGAAGCCTCCGAACGTGACACTGGCAATGAGAGCTGATCCAACCAGTATCGCGTTTAAGCCATCCACGAACATCTGCCGGTCCTTGTGCAAGCTCTCAGTGTAGCTGCCCCACTTGAGGCAGTTCAGCATGACAGCATCCTTCTCACCCACCCATTGTGCGTCCCAGTAAGGTGGCTTGCCGAAGTTATCGCAAATGTCTGGTTTGCAGCCTTTACCAGACAAGGCAATCACTGTCTCGCGCTCCATGAAGATGGCAGCCCAGTGCAAAGCAGTCCGACCTGTCCGGTGGCCTGTGTCGTTGGGATAATCTTTGATGAACTTTTCCGACAACTGTTTCAAACGTTGAGCCAGCCGTTTCCTCCTACATTCTTCTTCGTCGTTATATTTCTTTTCCGAGATGTTCTCTTGCGAGATGGCCTTCAGGTCCTTGCTTCTGTCTTCTTCAAGTTTTGCCTCCCAATAAGCCACAGGAACATCTTTCACCAGTTCACTCACGTCGTCGAAGGCATCCTTGTACTTGCTTGGCAAATTTCGATATTTGTCTTCAAAGTTAATGTCCAGTTCCTTCCACACAGCTTCCTTGATCATATCGGGTAATTCCTGGGTGAAGCACTTTGCCATGCAGGTTGCGAAGGTCTCCCTTCCCCGCAGCTCATCCTGTTCTCCATGCAAGAAAGCAATCTTAAAAGCTAACCTGAGTTGATCATTGATTCCTTTCACGTTGGTGTACTTCTTCATCATGAACTCCATCACAGGCTTTACTCTGTTGAACAGGCCCTTGCCACCGAATTCTGTGCTTCTGGTAGTGGCACTCAAAGCAGCCCATTCCAGTAGCCGTGATTCCTCCACAAGGTCATGAACAGAGTCCTCTGGCCCTGACCCAGTTTCTCTTGTACCCAACTTCTTCGCTAAGAGCCTATTCGTTATACTGTCTCCATATGCAACAGCAGACGACAATATACCAGGCTCCAACACTCCATCGTTACACAGGACACACCACGGCACCAAATCAATTATGTCGGCTTGACCATGATCTTCAATACGCTGGAATGCCCGCTGCCAGTCCTTGTGACTTCCTGGAAACACCTGTATATTTCTTTCCACATGTTCACGTATGAGTATGCGAAGACAGTATGTGTTGCCACCCATAGCCGCCCAATGCCATGGCAGTCCTTTCTCAACCTTGTCCTCCGCATCTAGCTTGATGTCGTTAATTTTCAGCAACCACTCGAGTGCAACAGTGTTCCCATTCCAGGCAGCAAAGTGCAACGGAGTCAGACCTGCTTTAGTAGCTCGGTGCACTTCCGGGCCCTTCGGATCCAGCAACGCGAAGATATCTTTACCCCCTCCTCTAGCAGCAAAGTGCAATACTCCAGCTCCTGTCTTATCTTTTAAACCAAAATCAGCACCTTCGTCGCGTAATTTACGAGCAATGTCAGCTCTGTCTTGTCCAACAGCAAAATGCAAAGGAGTGTGCCCAAGCTTATTCTTTTTGTTAATGTCCGCACCTGCTTCCAGTAATGCTGTGACGATTTCGACTTCCGCTTGGCCAACAGCAACGAAATGAAGAGCAGTGTTGCCGAGTTTGTCTTGCTTCCGTAAGTCAATCTTGCTTTTTTCATGGAGGTTCAGCAGCGCTTTCACCAGACTTACATTTCCAACTTCACTTGCAAGGTGTAGTGCGGTCTTGTCAGCATAAACACTGTGGATGTTCCAACCATAATTTAGAGCTTTCAGTTTGTCGCTAAAAGCTCCATCTTCTTTGTTCCGCAGCTCCTCTAATGCATCTGCCCAAAAATTTCAGATGTTAGAAGGACTTACTCTCTACGACTTACTCGTAATATCTTCCACTGAGCAAGCCTTTTGGAATCGTGGCTTCAAGGCTGTGTGCAGTAGCAGTTGAAAAACCGAGTCATTCCATTGTAACGCCGCAAGCTGCAATGGAGACGCTCCCTCCTTGTCTTTTCGGCACGGATCAGCACCTCTGGCAATCAACCGAACAATCATGTCCTGCTGGTTGCCATGTTTGACTGCAAGGTGCAGAGGAGTCTGGCCCTTCTCCAAGTCAGGGGTGTCCACCTTGTTTTCGTCTACCTTCTCGAGCAACACCTCCAGAACTTCAAGGTTGCCACCTTTTTTGACTGCAATGTGTAACGGCGCCTCCCCCTTGATATTCTTTTGGCATGGATCTGCACTTGCGTCTAAGAGCGGTTTTATCACTTCCACGTTCTGTCGTTTCACAGCGGTGTGCAAGGGAGTATTGCCATTTTTATCAACGACATTAACTTGCTCTGGATCACTCAGCTCCTTAAGCAGTATTGAAACAATGTCTGGGTCCTCAATAGTGGCAGCTCCATGCAGAGCCGTGCTACCATAATTGGATGAATCTGCTTCTAAGATGTCTTTTACCTTAGTCGGAGACCATTCGAGCAGCCAGGATATTGCAGAAGTGTTCTCAGCCTCCGCGGCGAGATATAGTGCAGTTGTGAAGGTACCTTTCTGCCTATCATAGACAGTATGACCATCCCAGTCTTTGTTATTGATCAGGTCCGTCAATTTGTCTTCAGGGCTGCTATCCATGAGAATCGGTCGAAATTGATCTGAAGGAGCAAAGGTAATGTATACACATAGTCCTGAAAGCATCACTTACGTGCTTCAACATGCGTGGAGGGCAGTATCTTTGGGGCTTGTTTCGTCGCAACGCTATTCGACAAGGAGGCGGCGGTGGGAGCGCCACCACCACCACCATCGCCGCCGCCAGACTGAGCGCTACCACCACCACCAGCACTACCATCACGCGCGTTCTCTGCTGGCACCATCAGCCTACGCTCCAACAAAAACGATGCAATTGATCAGGCACGATTTCTTGTATATATATATGCCTAAATGCTTTGCTGGAAACGTAGATGCCTTGCTGGAAACGTAAGATGCAGGCAAGACCTGTAAAAGGGATTGTTTAGATTCCACATAGGACACTGAAACAGTGCGATGGGATTCTTTAAGATCTCTTTATCCGGCACCAAGGCCTACAGGGAGTCTATTGGACGCAAATTTATAACCACTGCAAGCCCTAAAAAGAAAATCTACTCTATCTACGAATATGCTCGAAGATGCGTTATTTTAGGGCAAGATAGAGCATGGCGAGTCCAAGAGTACAGCGGTCGCGGCGGAGCGAAGGGGACGCCCATCGCCGAGGTAGGGAGCATGGGCGCAGCCGGAACAGCGATGGCGAGCGTGACGGGCGTGGAAGAGCAAGGGATTCGGACAGGGATGAGGCTGCTGTGAGACGTAGGAGCGAGGACGATGGCAGGGATGGAGCTAGGCGTGGGGGGAGAGAGAGGTCTAGTGACAGGGAAGAGCGAGAGAAATGGGAAACGAGAACTAGAGTCAAGGATGAAGCAAAGGAGCCCAGGAGTGTAGAGAATGTGTTTAAAAGGGAGCGTGGAGATGAAGCGGCGATGGAGGATTTGAGTAGCAAGCGTGTCAAAGTGGAGCCGGGGGACATTGAGAACGAGGTGTCTGGTGATTTCTATCGGGCCTTATTCTCTTTCGATCTTGCGAATGCTTCGAATGCTTACTGGGTGTTTTGTGCGTGTAGGATAGAGATGGGGATGAAGCTAAAGAGATCCCTCGCAGGTATGGCTTTGAGTTTTCTCTTGTTTCTTTTGGTTCTTTACCGTGCTTGGATTGTAGGAGCAAGGACGATAGTATAGCGCTCATGGAGCAAGCAGAAGCTGCTTTGGAGGCCAAGGAACAAGCAAAGGTAGGACAGATCCAAAGAGCTGCGCTGCGATGCTTCATCCTTGTTTCAATGCAGGAGAAGGCCTCGTTTGAGTACACTGGGAAGCTCGCAGCTGAGACCAACAAAGTCAGTGGTAAGATCTCCTTTGTTTTTCCTTTGTTTCTGCTTTCTGATATCTAGTTTCCAACAGGTATTGCGTTGCAGTTTACGGAGCCTCCCGAGGCTCGCCAGCCCAGTGTCCGATGGAGGCTCTACGTTTTCAAAGACGGAGCGCCTTTGGAAGGTAAAGCTTTTGTATTTGTTCTCGATTTTCATGTGAATGATCTGAGTGATCTTCCCGAGCAGACCCGCTTTTCATACATCGGCAGAGTTGCTATCTGTTTGGACGAGAAAGGAAGGTTGCAGACATTCCGATCGATCATCCCTCTTGCAGCAAGCAGCACGCGGTCATCCAGTACAGGCTCATCGAGAAAGAAGTGGATGGACTTATGTCGAAAAAGATCAGGTAACGAAATCTCGAGGCTAGCGCTACATCTTTCTCATTTCCCTTCATCGTTCCAGGCCCTACGTCATGGATCTGGGAAGTACCAACAAAACCTTCTTGAATGTAAGTCGAAGCCATTGTTTCGTTTCAAACTGTCCCTGACTTGCTTTCGCAGGGAGAAGCGGTCGAGCCTCAACGTTACTACGAACTTTTTGAGAAGGACACTCTCAAGTTTGGCAACAGCAGGTTGGTTTGGGTTTGTTTCATCATCTAGAACTCGTTTTTAATCGTTTTTCCTCGTCTTTCCAGCCGCGAGTACGTTCTTCTTCACGAAAACTCAGCATAGATTACGTCTCTAGGCCAAATTTTCTAACATCTTCGCGAAGAAGAGAAGCAATGTAAGCTGTTTCACTTCGCGAAATCGTGTTTCAGCACGATGTCCATTGAATTGTTTTCCTTTTTTTCTCCCATAGGATTCCATCCAACGGCTGTGGTGAGCGTTCGATCGGACCGCCAGGTGTTGATGCCCGCGTTCGAATCCTGCGGCCACCTCAATTTAGGTCTCCATTCTTATTCATCTCCCCCATTTTTTCTCTTTCCATGAGAAAAAAAGAGAGCAGCGAGAAGCCATGTCCAATGACAAAGTGACGGTCAGCAAGGAGCAAAACGAGAAGCACAAGAAGGTACTAAAATTCTTCCTTCCAATCGCTGGATCCATTGCTTTTTCGTTTGCTTTCTTTTTTTCTTTTACTCAGATCTTGGAGGCTTTGATGAAATTGCCAGATAACAGGGAATGTGCTGATTGTCGAAGCAAGTGAGTAGGAAAAAATACATTCTTTTTGCTCGCTTGTGTGATCCGATTTGACAAAATGGCATTGTAGGAGCCCGAGGTGGGCGAGCATCAACCTTGGAATTTTTATCTGTATTCAATGCTCTGGAATTCATCGGGGTCTGGGAGTTCACATTTCCAAGGTGACACCTTTATCTCTTTTCTTTCTTAAACCTTGTAGTTGAGCTATGTAATCGTTCATATTCCAGGTGCGATCGACTACTCTTGATACATGGCTGCCGGAACAAGTCAAGTTCATGCACGGTAGAGCTTGTTTTTTTTGCTCGACTGCAAAAAAATTGCAATTTTGATGATCAGATATGGGGAATGTAAGAGCGAACAAGTACTGGGAATCAGAGTTGCCACAAAATTTCAAGCGCCCTCAAGAAAACGATCGAGCAGGACTAGAAGCATTTGCGCGTGCCAAGTACGTCGGTACTCACATATCCTTGCCACTCGGCGAGCAAAACTTTTGTGTGGATGCAGGTACGATGAGAAGCGTTTTGCAGCGAAAGGTGTTCCTCAGCCCCAACCGGCCGCTGTTTCAAACGAAACCATCGAAAGCTTGGGAGCTGCTCCTAGAGGCGGGAGTCCAAATCAAAATCCGCAAATCGCTGGTCCGCAGCATATTGTGGCTTCTGCATCAAGTCCTCCAAGATTTGCTGTAAGAATTCCTTTGTGCCATGCCAAGCCAACTTTTTCTTCTTCTTTTTTTTTCCAGCCTCCACCAGCAACAGTGACTGCTCCACCACCAAAAGAATCACCGTTCAACACGACCTCTCACAGGGAGTCCCAGGATTGGGCTGTCTTTCAAAGTAGGCTCCTTTTCGTTTTCTCGTGTCGCTAAGTCTCTACTTTTCATTTGTAGCGGCCGATACCTCTCCATTACCTCAAGTCAGCATCGGTCCCACTGCCGAAGGCAAGCATCAAACTGACGCGAGGCGAAGCATCACGAACATGTTCAAGAATGTAAGTGCGCTTTCAAACTTGTCCTCGTCGATCACGCCTCGCGTTTCTCCAGTGTTACAAGGTGATCAACTAAACAGCACTAAGCGCACACATACCTTATCTAAGTTTTACTCTTTTCAACAGGTAATCGATCAAAAGTGGCTGTCCCGAAAGCTTACAGATTCAAATATGTTGTTGTTGTTGTCGCAGACCGGAGCGTCCGTTCCACAGTCGCCGAATTTGACAAGCTTCCCTCGAGGGGCTACAAAGTACTGTTTGCTCTCTCGCGATAAGTTTATCCAGCTCGTGGTTTTCACCATTGTTTTTTTTGTTTTCCTGTTTGCCTGGATCATCGCGCAGTGCTGTCGGCAGCCCGGAGCGTCCACACAATCGAGCCACATACGGGGCCACCTCCGGTCCGGTCCCCGCTCAAGCACCATCTGGAGCACGCGCTGAAAGATCCGGCCTCGTGACTCAACTGGGATCCAAGTCGCCCGAGTCACTCTCGGCGGAAGAATTGTCTTGGCAATAAGCTCAGCTAAGTTGTCGCTGCTCTACACTCCCAAGCTCTTCCTCTTTCTCTTGCCAGAAGTTTACAAGTTTGAGAGGATTAGTCTCACAGAGGACATCTCGCTTTTTCTTTTAAAAGTTTGCAAAGTCGAGTGATTCGATTCTCTTGTCTAAATCTCCCACCAGTGGAAGGCTTTCGTTTTTCTTTTTTTTCTTTCTTTCTTTCTTTCTTTTACAGCACATTTCGTGTACACATTTCTACGGTTTTTTCCTGGCAGGATAACTATTCCAAACATGTCTACCCCTGTGGAGAAAGTAAGAGCTTTTGTACAGCGCATCTTCGACTTTGTAGGCCTAGTGATACTGACTAAAGCGGATCAAAGCACTAGAGAGGAAAAAAAAAGAGTGTCCGTACCCGTGCTCTCTAGAGCATCTCCTTGACGCTGGAGCGCATCCACGAGAGCGCAATTGCCACGACGAGGAAGCCCGCGAGCGCCACGAAGGAATCGCTCATCTTGAATTCGGGCAATCGCCAGTGTGTGACTCGGAGGGAATTCTCGTACGCGCCGTAGAACTGGAAGAGGATGAGGATGATCGCGGGGATGAGGATGAGCACCTCCGCGGGGAACATCGCCCGCCCGTTGGATCGCCTCATTCTGGTCATAGCCTCGTCCACCGCCGGCTGGCTGCTCATGAACCAAGGACCCACTGCCATGAAGAGCACCAGGAGCAAGAGCAAGAGCGGCAGCGTCGGTGATGGCGATTGGGACGCCGATGAAGGCATTGTAGCCGAGCGAGAAAGGATTTACCCAGAGCTTGGAGCGTGATCGGTAGATTGTTCTATCCGGATCGACAAGAAGAAGTCGCGAACTATAAGCAGAGGAGAAAGAGGAGGAAGAAGGTTATAGCGCCAAATAGCACCGTGCCAAATGGCTTTATCCTGGCCGTTGATGACGTGCGGCTGACATTAAATTACGTGGCGGCGAATACTACCTCCACGTGTCTTGAAGAAGACAGTTGACACGTGTATACTTTTGAATGTTAGGGCTAGTTCGTTACTTTGTTCTTCATGGCGCCCAAGCCCAAGGGCGAGGAGCCCCCGCCGCCGCCGCCAGAGGAAGTGAAGGAGGATCCCAAGATCGCTCTGCGGAAGCAGATTGAAGCGCAAGAGCGCGACATCTTCCATCTAAAGTGAGTGAAATCGGGAATGTAAGTCTGTCGCGCGTGGTTACACTGGGTTTCCAGGCATCTGTTGGAGGCGTTGGTGGATGGAGAGGGCCACAGCCTTCGGGACGCCAAGATTTTGGAGCTCTTCAAGAAGGTGGATTTTTTTCTAACTCTCGCTTCTTCAAGCTCGTCTGCGCTTTCTTCCAATTAAAAGGGAGTGCTAATGCAGAATCGGGAGCTTAACCTGGCATATGAGCGAGAGAGAAATTCCTCGTCCAAGCTTAAGTTTCAAGTCGGGCAACTGCAGCAAGAGGTATTGTCTTGTTTTGTGCCTGTTCTTTAGATACCTTTTCTATCTGTCCTGTTCAGGTCTTGAAAAGAAGGAACAAACTCTACAAATGCAATGCTGAAACTCTCCAGAAAACCAATGCAGAAGTTCCCGAACAAACAAATCCAGAAGTGTCTCAGCAAACCAATCCGGCAGATGGTGTTAAGAACGCACAACAACAAGACGAACAAAAGAAATCAGAGCAACCGAAAGGACAACAGGGAGAACAACAAGGGACTGTAGAGGAATCAATACAAGAAGCCAAAGCCGAGATTGCAACACCTGAGGAACCGTGGAAGGAAAAATTCGATCAGGTGTGTAGCTTTGCACTGTTTTTTTTAGTTTCTAATTGTCACTTTTTCTTTCAGGTTGCCCTCAAGCTTGCCGAGGCCCAATCTGTACACACAGGCCTCACAATGGAGGTTTCTAAGCTTCGCTACGCGCTGCAACGTGAAGTTGGCGAACACATACCTGTAGCAAAGGTCTTTGCACTTGCACATCGGTATGATCTCTTCGATCCTGAAGATGCTCTTTGGTGTTAAGTGTTGAACAAGGTTTTGGAAGAAGGCGGTGAATGGAAAGGCCGAAGTCAGCAGATTTCTCTTCTCAAGGTAAATCAGAAATTGACATGGCTGTGCGCTAATCTTACCTCTTTCATCAGGACAAAGTGCGCGAGCTAAAAGCAAAGCTGCACCGGTCGGAGTCCGAAGAGTTTCAGCGTTTTCAAATTGAAGCTTTCCATGCTGCGCGCAGGAAAGAGTTTGAGAAGCTGGCAATCGAATTTTTGGTAATGTATATAATCTTCGTCTGTCTTGACTGGTTTAAAATACCCCAGGCACTGAGAGAAGATTTAGCGTGTCAACAACGGAAGCTGGAAGGCATGATAGCAAGGAGGAACTATCTCGAAAACGAGGTTCAGTTACTACCGTGCTTCTAACCTTTCTCACCCGTCCTTTAAAACGTCTTCCAGATCCGGTCTGCTAAAGAGAAGATGGCCGTGCTTGTCAGAAAGAGTGAAAACGATGACAGATTGATAACTGCATTACGGCTCGAAGTAGAATCATATCGACAGGTGCCGAACTTTTTTCGAATGCACTGCTAAGGGGTTAACATTTTACTGAGCTTGCAGATAACTGGACCTGTCCAACTTGGATCCAAAGTCGGTGGTCCAATCCAGCTCGATTTACTTCACAAGGAACACAAACTAGCAGCCGCGTTCAGTGATCTCAAGAAAAAGTGCCACCAACAGGTCAGCGTTGCAAGCATTTTCTAAGAGATTTACATCAACTCGTTCTGCAGGAGCTGGAGATCCAAGCACAGGCAGAGCTTATCTCGTATCTTCGAGCAGTGGCATCAGCTCCTTTTGAGAAAGGTGTGATCTTTTTGTTTTCCAGGATTTGTTCTTCTTAAACCGATGCAACCGTGTGTTTTTTGCAGAAGTGACTTCCAACAGTCCTCGATCATCAGAGCCTGTCAAAGTTTGAGCAAAGAAGATTGATGGAAGCTCTTGACTTTAATCGTGTTTGGAGCCACGAAAAAGTAGCAAAGAAAATTCTTTCTTTCTTACGATGCGCAAGGGGCCACATACGCAAGTAACTTAGCGGCAACCGACAACGAGCAAAAGAGTGACTCCACGGGCGCCACGTCACCACCTTGATTTAGTGTTTGCTTTGGCGGTAAACGCTTTTGAATTTAGGGTTTATGAGAACGATAGTATTTCTTTAGGGCGGTCGATAGCGCGATGCTTGGCTGGGGCGCGACGAAGACACTAGATTGTCATTCCAGAGGGAGCTCGGCTTGACAAGGTAAGCGATGAATTTCATTCCATTGAGCGCTAGAAAAGAGGTAGCTCATTCGAATGGTAGAGTTTCCAGCGATAATCCATGCTCGAGTACAGAGCTATAATGTTATCAAGCCTGTGTGGCTTATGTCCATTGAGGTATGGAAGTGTTTTTCTTTCTGGATTCTGTGTGATGATCCTTTTTCTCTCAGGTGTCATGAATTTTTTTCGCGAAAGCCAGCGAGAACACATTCTTTTATTTCCTGGATCCAGTATAAGGTTGTAACGTCGGAGCTCACGGTTTTGAATTAACTTGAGAGTTTTTCTGGCAGGGAACTTTTGTTTAACAATGTTTTGGTTGGGAGGAGCAAGAGGAAGGTAGCGATGGCGGTCGTAGATGCCAACGCCTCGCTCGTGGCTCACGAAGAGATATCTCCAAAGTGGAGCAAATTGTTGCAGAGCCTGGTATGTAGTTTGATTCCAGTGGACGACTTAATCATCCAAGAGGACAGGACAGACGCTTTCTCGTGGCACCGCCAGCAGCTGTGAGAAATGCGGCAGCCAGTGGCACAATGCCCGAATGTGCTCGGAGGGCAAGCAGTGCAAGGATTGCTTTGGAGGCAAGGAGTGCTCGGCAGTCCGGCAGGCAACGAAGCTGATGAAGATTTACTACGCGAACGGAGGTAAGCAACAGAAGGCCAAGGTAAAGAAAAAGGCTGCAGGAGCGATGTTTGAACGGTAGGACAGAGTTGATTTGCCACATTTCTCAGCTCTCTAATGAACTTATCTCCGCAGGCTAAAGAGGCAGGGCCACCGGCCGAGCGTCGAGTGCTACACGGTGGCCATAGCCGAGGTGGTGGCGGAGAAAAAGATGAGCGAGGCACAGCAGCTTCTCAAACAGATGGAAGAGGAGGACGGTCTAGCACCCGACAGCGTGTGCTTCAACACGGTGATCAACGGGTGGTGCAACGAAGGGCAGATGGAGGAGGCCATGAGAGTGGTGCAAGAGATGAGACAGAAAAACTGCCGTCCCACCACTTCCACTTACAACACTCTGATCAAAGGCTACGGAGTAGCAGGACAGGCAGAACAGGCGCAGCAGCTAGTGCTCCACCTCCTCAACAAGACGAGGAACTCTCCGAGCAGCGAGGACGGGCTTGAGCCGGTCGCGAGGCCAAACTTGCGAACCATGAACACGCTGCTCAATGCGTGGTGCCGGGAGGGGCGGCTGGAGGAGGCGTGGAGGGTGGTGGCGATGATCAAGTCGGCTGGAATGCAACCGGACGCCGTGACTTACAACACGCTCGCCAAGGCCTACGCGGCCGCCGGCAGGGTGGCGGAGCTGGAGGACCTCATCGCCGACATGAAGAACGCGCGGCTGAAGCCCAACCTGCGGACTTACGCCATCCTGATCAGCTGCTACTGCCAAAACGGCATGCCCGAGCGCGGCCTCCAGCTCCTCTCGCGCCTCAAGTTCGAGGGCCTCCATCCAGACGTGGTGGCTTTCAACACTCTGCTCAAAGGCTACGTGGAGCAGCAAAGCTCCCAGCAGCAGCAGGACTTCCAGAGCCAAGAGAACGACCAGCAGCTAAAGCTCGAGATGGTGCTGGATCTTATGGCGGCCAACGGCGTGAGGCCGGACGTGACCACCTACAGCACGATCATGAACTGGTGGAGCTCGGCCGGGGTGGCGGACAAGGCGCAGACGATACTGCTCGAGATGCAGCAGGATCGCGTCAAGCCGGACGTGCGAGCGTTTGCGATCCTGGCCAAGGGGTACGTCCGATCCGGAAGAACACACGAGGCCGAGTCGCTGCTCCAGGACATGAGCCTCCACGGCGTGGCTCCAAACGTGGTGGTGTACACGACTATCATCAGCGGCTGGTGTAGCATGGGCCGGATGGACGACGCGCTGCGAGTGCTGGAGCTCATGCTCGAGAGAGGCGAGGCTCCCAATCTCAACACCGTCCAGACGCTGGTGTGGGGATTCTGCGAGGCCCGTCAGCCCCGCGAGGCCGAGGAGATGGTCGCCGCCATGGCCGCCGCGGGGCTTCCAGTCGACTCCAAGTGCCTGGACATGATCGCTAGCGCGTGGAGTGCCTTGGGATTTCCATTCGAGACCGACAGGATTCTAGCGTCGGATCGTCGTCGCCAGCTCTCTCCTTCCAGCCAGAGCTCTCGCCAGTTACTCCCCCTGGCTAGTTCATCGCCATCGCCATCGCCATCGTCTTCGTCTTCCATGGATGCTTCGCCATCGCCACCTTCGTCAACTTCTTCTACGTCGTCTTCGTCTTCCCAGCTCATGCTGGAGCTCCGGAGTAGAACTAGCCGGCCCCAAGTCGCGTGCTCCATGGTGGCCGTCAATCACCTCCTGGCGAGGAGATACATTCCAGCCAGCGTCGTGGACGCGACGAGGAGGAAAGTGTTTGACACTCGCTTCTTGGTAACAATCCGGTGTTGATCATAAAAAAAATCCATCTATATATCATCCAATTTATACACACTCGCCAAGTAACAAAACCGAAACGTAAGAATCAATGCTGCTTGGACAAACCTTGCTGCCTTCGTCGCGCTTTGCTGCTCTCCGAGGACGAGCTATCGCTGCTGGATGGAAATTCTTCCATTGGGACCTCACGGTAGACGCCGCTGCTTCCCGTGGTTGCTTGCTGGCCCTCTTCCACCAGGCGCTTCATTATGTTCATGAACGTTGGGAGCAGCTTTGTGGAGATCGAGATCATCCCGGATAGCTGAGAGAACGTCGAGCGTGAGAACTCGGCTATCTAGAAGACAAGGAAAATACTTACCATTCCATTTTGGAACTCACGGCCAATGTCGAGTTGCACCCACACGGCCTTACCCACCAAGTAGAGAACGAAGACAACTGCCAAGTAGATAGGATTCCTGGGTATAGACATCTCAGTAAAGATATATGACGCGACCATGTATCACCTTAGTAAAGCCATGAACTCGTTGAATCCGAGAACCACCATGGCGACAATCGCCCAGGGTGGAGGTAGCCAGGAAGCACCGCGCTTGTTTGCCTCCTGCGAAAATATAAGAAAGAAAAAATGAATCATGAAGGTTGAGAATACCAACCTGTGCAGCTAGAGCTTGACTGACAGTGTACTCAGTCTCAGCTTTGAACTGTCTCCATAGATTTCGACAATCTATTGGACTCAACAACATTTTCTCCGATGGAACCTGCAAAGGTAATCTCGCAGTTAGAAGAAAGGCTTTTGATCTCCCAGCTTACTCCATCCCAGGTACTTGCAGCCAACGCGCTGGAAGCTGACGTTGCCAAGGACCTGTCCACTGCAGTTGCATTAGCTGGAGATTGCAAGCGTTCTGGAATTTCTCCGAGCAACCCAGTCAGTGTTTCCTCGACGTTATCAGAAGCATCTTCTTCCAAGCGTATCACAGATAGCACAGAAAGAAGCTTAATAGCCTGCCATCATATACTTGTTTGTTAGTGCTGTGGTTGATGAAACGTACATAAAACGATTACCGATAAACGAGCGTCTTTCGTGATCATTCTCACGTCTTCTTCACCGGTCCATACCCTTGGCATCAAGTCCTCATCGTGGCTAAAAACTGTGTTGAATCTGTAATCCAAACATATAAGACCGACAGAGAAAGTTAGAAAGGCGGTACCTATCCTTCATGCGAATTAAAGCTTGACTTGCTTCTTCTCTGGCTCTTTTCTCAACCACATTTCGCCCAAAAGCTACAAAGTCCTCTTCGATCCTCCTTAATTCCGCTGCATCTAGCTCAAAGCCCGAGACAGCTTGCAGTAAAGCGTCTTTAGCCAAATTAGTTTCATGAGCCACCAAAGTTCTCAGCGACGGCCAAGTATCTGATGATGCCGCATCTAGTAATGTTGACACAGAGTTCCCCAAAACGTCCTCTAGTTGCCGCTGTACAGTTTATACTGTTAATTGAAGATATTAAAATCCTCGATGTTACCTCCGACTTTCCCACTATTTCCGCAAGCCGTTTCGCTTTCAGGTTGGATGCGTGAGCATCTACATCTCTACGAAGCTTTTCCTTGACCTTTGAAGAATCCCAACCAGCAAGTTTAACATTTGCATCTGCAACATTTTGTCAAGATGAGAAGAATTTGGCCAAAACAATAAATTACCTTCGCAGCCGCGGTCAAACTCGTCAAGACATTCTTTACTGCATCTTCTTATTGCAGCTGCAAATCCTTCTGTTTCCGACGATGCGGAGCTTGCGTCAGCAGCCTGCTTGAAGGTTGCTAACGCTTTCGCTCTATAGTGAGCTAGAACTGCTTGATAGGACGGTTGAACAAGCTGCATCAAATCAACATGAAACCAGTTTTAGAAGTAAACCTGGCACCATAATACCTCCAAGATTCGATTCATCAAGAATTCTCTTTTATGGTCTCGAACTTGTGCATCGAAGTATGCTGCTTCTGAATCGTACCTGAAAAACAAACATTTACTTACATACAACGGGGCAAGATGGGCATACTTACGAGCTAACATACTGATCCAGTAATGAATCTAGTCTTTTTCCAAATCCCGCAACTGGAACGGACTTTGCAGCCTCAGAGAGCTCCCTCCATTCCTGATAAAAACGAGTGTATTTCAAAAAGATTTTTCAAAACAGTATGAAAAAACATTTCTTCGTACCTCATCAGCTGAAAGTGCCAAAAACTTCTCGTTTGCAATTTCTTCGCAGCGCACGGTAGCTACCATAACCTGAAATATAAATTTTAGACATTAAAAATTAAACACCGACGTTTCTTAAAGGACCTTATGCGCGGGAAGATCCAAGTCCTTGTTTTCCTTGATGACCTTCCATATTTCATGTGTACTTAAAGGAAATCCCGATCCCGGAATTACTGTCGTCCGATCACCTGCAAGCCCACCAGGGGCTATAGAGTGCATAAATCTTTGTCGTAGTTCTTCAACCTGGAAAAAAACAGAGGGTAAGAAAACAAGAGAGAGCAATGCGTAACCTGCGCTTTGAAAACTTCTTCCTTTTCTTCAAAGCTTGCCAATGCCGTTACTTCGACCTGTAAACATATTAAGAATCCTAGTTTATATCGTACTTCCCGTATGCTTACTTGAAAAAAATCAGAAAGTGGAGTGTTCTTGTATTTTTCAGGCTTTGCAACACTAGACCAAATCTACAACAAAAAGCAAGCATAACAGTACGTTTTTGACACAGAAAGTCTGTCTACCTTCTCAACGTCCACTCTGAGAATAGGCTCCAGAACTTCCAAAGGCGTCTGCATGGGTATTGTGATGTGAATATAGACTTTCTAGCAGCATACTGGATGCTACCTTCGTTTTGTCCCGGATGACAAACAAGAGCGTTGTTTTACGGGGTGTGAAGAGCCGCATCATAACCTGAAAAAAAATAGGAATCAGGAATTGAGAGTACGATGCTTCAAAGGATGATCACCTGAAAGACGGTCTTCAGCAAAGGTTTGTTGGCTGCGTGCTCTCGACCAATATCATGACACCACCTTTACGAAAGTACTGACGAACATAAACAGACGAAGTACTACGACAACTTACATGTTTATCAAAACAACGTCCGAAACAGCTAGCGCAAACAAAGAGCTCTGCTTTTCAAAAGCAGTGTCGTCCTGCATTTTGGAATGTCAGCTATGCATAAAGATAAAAACACACAATACCTCTCCTCTCTCACGACCATCCGTGCCTTCAAGATCCAATATCAGTGTGCACGGCTCAATACCGCTGGCCTTGGCAAGCCACACTCCTTGTGTTGTCTGAGACCTACGCAAAGCATAAGGAAGGAAAAAGCCTAGAACAAGCAAACACCAACCTTCCCTTGAAAGCATCCATTTCTCGAAACCTCGTACGAAACAAATGGTTCAAGAGCGTGCTCTTCCCTGTTCACATCAAAAGAAAGGAGAGAGAGAGAGAGAGATTTTTTTGGATATGATCTAAACACACCAACCGCTGCTTTGTGGACCCATAATCGACACCACAGCATAGGATAGCCCACATTCCGGCAGCCTCACGGATTTCACAAACTCTTCCAATCCAGCCTCGTTAAATTTACCGCTCCCGTCAATCAGCTGCATCGTGGGCACCGTGAATCCATTCTCCTGAATCGAGCAACAGACGATTGGAAACAATCGAAGAAGAAAGAAACAAACCTGGCTATGCATCTTGTGGAAGGATCGGGCAAGAATGCTGGGAGAATGGATCCAAGAACCCTAGAAGGCACTAGGCAATGCTGGATCGATCGATTCGCACAAAACCCCTCAAAACCCTGCTCGCGATCAGACGCACGCCGATCTGTGCCGATGAATGCTGGCGACTGGATCGATTTCGATCGGAGCCACGCGCCTCACGATCGGCGCTCGCTAGGGAACGGGAACACGAAATAGGGCAGAGCGACTGCTCTGTTTCGTTGCCCACTGTAGGGCATTTGTGGGGAAATAAAAAAACTCCCAATTGCGTGTGAGAAACCCAAACCCTTTCTCTTTGGACGAGGGAGACATGGCGGCTATGGCGCTAGGGCATCATCACCTCTCCTTCGCGGCAGCTCCTTCGTCCGGTCGCCCTGCCAGGTAAGAATTCCTTGCAAAAATGCGACTGCATTTCGATCGATCGACACGGTTTTCCATTTCTTCCGATCACGATGTGATTTGCATGCGCGATTCAAAAGAATAGCTCGTTTGCCTCGCAAAATTCTTTAGCTTTGTGGCTTAGCTTCCATCAAAGTTTCGTGTTCCTTCTCTCGAGTTTCTCACCTCTTTTTTTTTTTTGTAGAGATTCCTCGCTATTGGGTGGGAACTTCGCTTCTTTGCATAGGATCCTATCGAAGAGCCACGCCCGTGTTCTTCACTACAGTGTAAGCTGTGCTGCCGCGGTCAAGGAGAAAGAGGCCTTGGACATCCAGCAGTGGAACGATGAGGCTTACGAGGCAAGGCTACAGCACTTGGAATCACAGGCGAAAAGTGTTCTCCAGAAAACGATCGAGTGCTTTGAGAGACCAGCTTTTCCCTGTGCCTTGATCGCCGGTGATGTGGTAAGTCCATACATATTTTTCTCGAGCGTTTCTAGTTCTTTGTTTTGTTTTGAAGATTTCTTCTGAGCTTGCAGGTGATGTTAGACTTGCTCCACAAAATCGGTGCCTTTGAAAAGGAGGCCGTGAAAGTCATATTCATTGACACTTTCCATTTGTTCCCGGAGACGTACACCTTTCTGAAGAGCCTCGAGGTATGGAGAACTATCTCCTGACGTTAGAAAAATTCATGTATGGCATTGCAGGATAAGTATGGCTTCAAGGCCCGTGTGTTTCACGCAGCGGACTTTAACACCAAGGAGGAATACCTTGCAAAGCATGGATCGGACCTCTACATTCGGGTAAATCTGTCAGACAATCCCTCCGCTTCATGTGATTGGGAAAAACGTTGTAGGATATAGACGAGTATGACAAGATCTGCAAGGTGGAGCCTTTCAATCGAGCCTTGTCGAGTCTCCAGGTAAGGGGAGAGATTGAAGCTGCCGTTTTCTTCTAACAATTTCTCCAGGTTGATGCGATGATAAATGGAAGAAGACGTGATCATGGCGCTGAAAGAGCTCATCTGGAGGTAAGCCGACATAATACTATTTAGTCAGTGTATAAAGTTGAGGCCTTTCAGGTAGCTCAAGCTGGAAAGATGGTGAATGTCCAGCCACTTGCATACTGGGAATTCAGGCGAGTTTATTTCTTGTTATTGCAATCTAGAGATAGTTGAGGTTTGTTTTCTCCCAGGGATTGCTGGAGCTACCTGAAGAAAAATAGCGTTCCCTATCATCCACTTCACGACAAGGGGTATCCAAGCATTGGAGACGTCCAAAGCACGCTGCCAGTGCCTAAAGAGAAATGGTTCGAGTATGGTGGAGAGCGATCTGGCCGCTTCCAGGTATTGCGAATAAAGATAGCACTGAAAGAGAAACTGATTTTGCTTGAATATCCAGGGTCTCAGCAACAAAGATGGCTCGCTCAAGACTGAATGCGGGATACACTCCCAAAAGTAGAAGTCTGTTTGTAGGGACAAAATCAAAGGAATAAAACACCTCTTTCCCAAAAATATGTAATATTGTTTTTTTAAGCAAACATGTAGGATATAACTAAAATATGCCATCTAATGGTTGTTATTCATTTAGATTAATTTTATATTTATAATTTATAAACATGTTTATAATTTATAAGTTTTTCAGAACATTTTCCAGTATATTTTTGTTTATTTTACATCTAATGGTTGATATTCAATAAAATTAATCTTGTGTGTATATATATTATAAATATATTTATAATTATAAATTTCCATTTGTGAGTGCATGGAATATAGAAATGGAATACAGAAATGTGTATATCAATTAGCCCAAGAAAAACATTTTAGCTTATATATAGAAGTGAGTGGTCCAAATTAAAACTAATCGAACAACTATAAAAATCCCACTATACTAATATTAGTATATGGCATTACAATTGTACACTTGGACCTTACATCATTCTTTCTTCTCAAAAGGATAAAAGGTAGTTAGGGTTCTCTAATTAATGGGTTAAAATCTGGAGGAACATCAAGAGGAGGCATTGATGAATTTGTAAGTGGAATTAATTGCTCTTGATCTCTTTGTACAAAATGTTTTAATTGTTATATATGTATAAATTTTGAATGATTAATATATTGAATATCATGCTGAATCTTATAAACTTGCAATCCAGCTTGTTGTAACACTCAACATAGTCATTTCACTAAGTAAAAAACCCTTTAGATAAACCATGTACCATAATATTGGGAAAATAGACTAACAATATCAATAATGGCATTACAATTCCCATTATTGTCCACTAGCAAAGTATAAATTATACATAGCCCTAGTGTTCAGTAGACTCCACTTGAACAAGTGGAAAAATGCTCTTCAAATGTTAATACTAAAATTTAGCATTAGCAACTCGTGGTAATTGTGAAGGTAAACTTAACTTTATTGACAATATCAGATCATGGCTATAGATGAGTTTATATAGTAAAGCATCAATGAAACTCTATACCTTTATGATATATGCATACTAAATAGATGGTAATTAACCATCCCAATTCAAATACTAAAAATTCATATATTTCATGATTATCCTTTTGAAAATCCAAATGAGCCATTCTATCAAATAATCTATTTATGGATGATAAGCATTTGTGAAAGTGTGGTGTATCTTTGGTCGAAATGTTAAAACGTGAAATGTTTTAGCCATAAATACGGGACCATTATCTGAGAAAATTTGCTCTAGACAAGAATGCTAGAACACCACTTGATTAAGGAGGAAGCATTTAATAACAGTTGCAAACACATTAGTAAAAGTAACAATTTTTATCTAGCGAATTAAATAGTTAAAAGCAATAATGACATATTCATTACTAATAGTCGACTATGGAAAAAGCCCCATCAAATCAAACACCACTAACTTAAATAGACAGGAAATTGCAATAAACTCCAATTGTCCTTGAGAATTAAAAGTTTGGCATAAAATATAGATACACATATACTAGATAACATCACATTATATCTTTAGCCAATAGAAAGACCTATGCAACTCCTTAGTCATACACCAATGTCTAATATGCCACATAGAATAGGAAAATCATGATAAATATAGAGAAAATGTGGAATAAATATAAAAAACAGCACTAATATGTTGCTCTAGTTGGTGGGAGTACCTTCCTCCTTGCATTAAGCCATTAATATGCTAAAATTGTGCTAAATGAGGATCAATCCCAATAAAATAAATAAGGTCATCCTCAAGGTGATATTAAATATAAAAATGCCGAAATGACAATTCATCAGCAAGTGATGTAGGATTTTCAAACCCTTATAAAGCCTTTGGATCCATGGCTCAATTGTTTGAGTCTCACGAACTTTGTCAAGAGATAGTAAATTTTATTCTACATCTTGTGGACATTAAATATCATGTATATCAACACTGATGGCATAGAATCCTTGTTTAGAAAATCAATTACTAACTTCATCAATAATGTTTTGATCCATTCAAAGGGGATATGGGAGGAGCATATTAATGATGTTTGTAAGTGTTGGATGGGGTTTAAAATGTTGGTTTAAAATTGAAGCGGTTAAAGTGCATCTAAAAACATAATTTATCTTGGGTACTATATTTTTTGTAAGGTTTATAAACTAATGCCGATATAAGTGGCAATATAAACCTTCATTGGAACAAGACTATCACCCCTAGGAAGTGAAGCTAGAAGATGTACAATGAAAAATGAAAAAAACGATATCTAATAAGATTTTGAGAATCAAAAAACATTTTTAAAGGTGGTTAAAGCAAGTGTATATATAAGTCCCATAATATCTTGATAAAGTATTAGCCATAATATTCCCAACTTGATCCACTCTAATATATTTAACTCTATATGAAGTAAGAGGTTCTAGAAGTAAACACTAAATTCCCTCACTGACTCAGATGGCCCAAAATGAATATGATGTAATTGTTAAAAAGCAATTAATAAATCCAAATACATGTTTTGAAAAAATTTGAGAGAATGTTCTAATTTACACAAAATAAATAAATATTATTAAAAATTTTGCTCTTCAGGGATAAATTGTATGCCCCTTATACTATTAATTTTTGAAATTAATTGTATAAGGTTTTTAGAAGTAACATTTAAATATTTTACAAAGTAATTATGTAAAAAAGTCATTTAAATAAAAATCATAAAATTAAAGATACTAATAATTTTTTTTAATTTAGGATTTAGGTTATAATACTTTAGATATTAAAACATCAATATTAAAAAATATTTAAATTAATTAATTAATCAAATTAAAGAAACTTGAAGAGTCACAAATCATCATTACTCCTCATGATATTAGTTTAAGAATGGTTTAAAAATTAGCACTTTGTGATAAAAAGAGTCTAAAAGTTTTTCAAACAAATATTAAAATGTCTATTTTTACTAATTAATAGTATAAATTAAATTTAAAGGTTTAGTAGCATGTTTATTTATATTTATAAAAGTATTAATAAATGGTAAATGAATAAAAAATTATAAAACATAAATAAATTGAAAGAAAGTCTCTTCAGTAAAGCTTAGTCTAAATCATTTGCCAATACCAAACTTATAAAATTTAGTTTTTTTATTTACCAAAGAAATTAATAAAAATTGTTAAAAAATATATTATTTTATAAAATAAATTTTTTTAAATTTCTTAAAAACTATATTTTATTTTAAAAAATATGGCATTAATAAAAAATATTATAGTAAAAATAAATAATTGGTATAGAGTAATACCAAAAATAAAAATAAATAATTGAATACTTTTTAAAAAAGTTTATAACTTTTTATGTGGATTAGGATGATTCTCTAGTTTGAAAGTATTTAGCAAACAATGAAGTAACATTGTTTACTATTATTATATTTTACAAAAACAAAAGCCTTATTTGTTGTTTTCATGTAAATAGAATTTTTCTTTTTATAAATATAATTTAATATTTCTTTAAAATTTCCAAAAACATTTATATGATTTAAAATATTTGAATGCATTATAATGTTTATAATAACATTAATAATGAGGTAAATCTAAAACCTAATATGGTTAGGGTTTAGGGTTGGAGTTGAGTTAAACAATTTGGCCACTGAGCAAGTGTTAAAAGAGAAACTGATTTTTGCTCTCAGATTGGGAACCGCTCGAGAACAATGCTCATTTCCAAAAATCAGTTCCAGAACTGAAAGCTCTGAAAGAAAGAATGAAAAACTTTCTGAGGCTCAAGTTAGAACTGTGTATAGTCTGTGGGCACAAACCCGAGCAGAATTTCATAGGCAACCTGGAAGAACTCGTCATAAGGATTAACAAATTCGACAGGCTCTACCTTCCTCCAGTTGCCAGATTAAAAGCAGTGCTGGAAGCAACCGTGGAATCCCATCTGGAAAACAATCCTAAAATAAATGGCATGGTAATTTCGTCTGCAGCGAAGATCAATTTATAAAACCAGAAAAAAAGAGGAAAAGGATAATTACCAAAAGTGGCGAGCCTGGAGTGGAGCCTTGACACTGCTACCTCGTTACTCACAACTTCAAAGTGGAACTCCAGGCCAGATGGAAGCCTCTGCCTTGCAACTATCCACTGCCACAGTTCAACATAAGGAAACGTCTTGATGAGCTCAACTGCGATTTGCAGTAGAAATCTGGGAACGGTGAGAGACGCGTGTAATATCGTGAAAAAAGTGTAAAACACCGACATTGTGGGAAGCAGCAGGAGGAGCGGCGTAAACATTAGAGAAGCAACCACGAGCTCTTCCACTGAATACTCGTAGCTATCAATCCGGTTTCTCAACGGATTAAACTTTCGACCCCTGAAAAAACGTTTGTCAAGAAAAATTAAATAGAAAAGTTGTCTTGTGTTACCTGAACATTCGCCACAACGCTGCGAGTACCTTGAGCTGGTTCCCATATATGAAGGCGGTCACTCTTTGAAGCATAGTTATGTGAGCAGTCGCCATAAAGACAGCGTCCACCATAACTGAGGTTGAGACGCTGGCACCGAGTAGAATCGAGACTGCTCCCAGGCATTGTAACAACCGAACAGAAGCTGGGAAAAGCTCCAGAAATGTCAAGAAAGCCTGGGTGACGTTCAAAGCGGCAGTCCCCATAACCTCGGCAAGCTCGTTGTTAAGCTTGAAGCCGGCTGGAACTCCCATGAGCCAGATGCATCCAGTTCGCAGGACGTCGTTGGTCAAGAAGCAAGAGAGAGTCACGACGAACATCGCGATGGCGTTTTGGAACATAAGCACGAGGACGCCAAGCACCGTGCCAAGCACTAAATCCACGGCTATCTTGAACCATAACGAATGCCTCAGCAAGTCAAGTCGATGGGAAACGGCTGCATTTGGATGTTGAGGCCTGCAAATGCAAATGCAAACACAAACGTCAAGTAAAAAAAGAAGCCAAAAACATACCCGTCAGTGCACCAGAAAAATATCGAAGGCCACATACTAAGCTCCTGGAATCGATTCTGAATGCTTTGGAACGTACTGCTAGAACGCAGTGCACAGCTCACAAGTGGCATTGAAAGAATCCAGTTTGAAGCCAGAAACCAGACCCGACTAGCAGCAAAGTATAGTGAGGATAAAATAGCAGCCACTCCGGCCAAGACACTGCAAAATTATCAACATGAGCAAAAAACTAAGCATCATAACAACATACATAAAAAATGTGTCTCGGAACATCGAATGAGAAACTTTGTCAGTCGCAGCATCCAGAAAAGCAGCACAATTAAGCTGCCGCGTCACCATAGCCTGTATAGCAACCACAATATAAATCCTGCTTCTCGCGTTCAAGTAACATCAAATGACTTCTTACCAAAGAAAACTTACGATATCTGGACCTCTATTTTGCTGCTCAAGCTCTAGAATCCAGTAAGGCTTCTTGTCAATGTTTCCTGGCTCAAAACTTTGGAGCCTGAAACACGAGGGGAAAAAATCCCACTGCTGGAGTGAAAAATGGTGGCTCCGGAAGAGAGGGGGATTGTACAGAACAAACTAAAATCACGAGAAAACTTAAAAGAAGAAGGAAAAAAATCCGAATGACTTACGTGAACTTTCGGTGAGCATGGCTTGCCTTCGAGAGTGATGGAACAATGCGTGGGAGTCGAAAATCCATCCCGGGCGGCAGCGCAGGAGCATGTTATCCACAACTTGCTCCTCGATTCCGGCATGGCAAGCTCTCGCGGCTCTAGCTCGTTGGCAATACACAAGCCAAGCACACAGACATCCCCGCAGCATTCTTCTAGCGCTCGCAAGCTGCGCCTTGTGAAGAATCCCTACACAGAGAGACAGAGAGAGGGAGAAAGGGATCGCGGAAAAATCTCAATGCTGCTCACCTCCAGATCAAATGCCGGAACCGCCGCAGCCACGACGAGATCAGCACAGCGCCTGTGAAGATTGATCCATCCCAGCAGCGCCAGAGGCCCGCCCTGGCGGAGGCGCGGAGGCCACCATATCCGACAAAGCTCCATTACAAATATTTGGCCTAGGTTTAGGGTTCTACCACTTTACACCTTTTAGAGGAGAATATAGAATATGCTCTGAGAGCTAGGTTTTGGGGCATGGATTCTTACAGGACATGGGATATAGCGCACTGGCCAGAGGACATCGTGCTGTGCGTGGATGTGGATTTGGAGATGGATTCCGAGCTCAAGAAGGGCCACGCACTGACGAGGATGGATGCGATCAAGCAAGCGCTTCTAATGTTCGTGCATTCCAAGCTCCTCATGTCGGCCGATCACGCATTTTCCATCGCTACCATCGGACAGGGGGCTTCTTGGGTGAGTGGCAGGCTCTTGACAGCAGCAAAAATTCTTTCGCGATCTAGTCTCTGGTTCTCGAGAATTCGCTGCAGAGATTTTTTCATTTGGTCCTCTGGAAGTTTTGGCTTAAGATTCTCTTTTCTGTGTAGCACTCACACCAATATCTACGCGACTTCGATGCAATCTCGACCTCGATTCGCAGCTTGGGCTCTCAAGGCTCTTACACAAAGTGTGACCTCTCCAGCCTCTTTCAGCTCATACTTCCCGACGCCAGAGCCTCCAAGAAACGAAGTCGAGCTTTTCGAGTGGTAAGAGCATTTTTGGTTTTCTCCTTAGATGAGCTCGTACCCAGCGTCTTTGTGTTTACTTCGTATCCAGATCCTCGTCTACTGCAGATCAAACACTGTTCCAAAGTTCAACATCCACATTCCGGATCCAAGCCTTGTAGTTTTCGACGCTCTCTACCTCCACGACAAGCCAAATCCCAGCAACTGTCCCCAGCAAGTGTACGATGCTCTGGTGGAGATTTTGGAGAGGGTTCACGCTCACAGTTACATCTTTGAGAGTGGAGGTGGTCTCACGCGCGTGCTCTTCAGACACATTTGTCAGCTCTTGGCTCATCCCCAGCAGCGCTGCTTGCAAGACGATTCTCTTCCTGTGGATCTTTCCAAGCCGAATGCTCCGGCTGCTGCTACCGATGGATCCGCACAGAATCAAGTGGATGAGAAAATAAACTCGTTGGCGATATGATAGTTGAAATTTACTTTTTGCCTTTATCTGCTAAGTTTTGGGATCTCAAGCACCAATAAAACAGCAGCGAAATCCGACCTGCCGGATTCGAACCAGCGACCTAAGGATGTCTGAGCAACTACAGTCCTCCGCTCTACCAACTGAGCTAAGGTCGGTTTTATGATAAACCCGTTTGCTTAGGTATCTTAAAAATATTCTCTTTAAAAAACTATTCAATCCATCAGGATTTTACTTTGGTTTATATATCAACATTTATTTTATAGTCCTCTTTTTTTTATTTCTTTATTTTTTGGATACTCTACAGTGGAAAAATATGGCTACAATGCAATGGTGACTGATGTGTTGATGGACTATCAACAGCTTCATGCATAACTAAAGATCAAATACTGTGTAAAGGAACTCACAAGTTGTAGGGTGAATTTGGTCAAATAACTTGTGTAGATGCAGGAGACAATGATATTACTCAAACAGTATATTGAATAACGATGGACATATCCTGAACGTTCACCAGAAGAACCTGAACCATTCATATTACAAAACAGCATAGATAACAAGGAACAGCTTGTTAGAAATCAGAAATCAGAAGAAAGTATCAAGAATTGTATAGCTTTCGTGGTCCAAAGTCGGCTTATATTGTTAAGGCTCTTCTTGTTTTGGCTTGAAGTACCTGGAAGATCACATATACATTCCAAGTAGACAACTTTACCCTGGGCTTAAACAACACTAAGGATCAATTCCTTCTTCTGTGTATCTAAACTCCACGACGAGGCCGAGATTATCCACAAGCTGATGGTAAACTTCACATCCCGAGCACTAGAGCAAAAGTAGAAGAGGAGGAGAAAAAAAAGATTAGGATGAAATTCCAAGACCGTGATGAGAGCTATGTGCACCTGCACGTAGACTGTTCCTCGCTCGTAAGCGTGAGGATTTATCAGCCGTGTAGTTCTTGTCTGGCAAGCATTGCAAGTAAACTCGGCTTGGAGCCTTCTTCGCGGCAAGTGGAGATCAAGCTGCGCAGTCTGCCAGCAATGGACGAGAAAGAAAGAAGCAAAAGAAGAAGCTAATTTAGTGGAAAAGAAAAAGAGGAGGATGATCTACCTGAGAATTCTCATCAGAGGTGGAAGGAGACTCGCCATTTTCTGACACTGATCTCACACCAAATGAGACTCACCACGAGATTCGATTCAGTAACTTACATTCTGCAACGCATCCAAGGCGCCGCTCACGATGCCGCGTCCTTGCTATCGCAATGCGCGGCCCCGGCGACGCGACCAAACTTTTCGCCAGAAATCTCTCTCCTGACCTGGAAAATCGGATGCGCCGCAATGGCGGGAGCTCCAGCGATCGATCCGACGCTGCTGTTGAGAAGAGATCGATGCCACAGGCGCAAGAAGCGGTGAGCGCCATTTTTTCCAGTCCCGGAAGAACCCTAAAAATGCCAATGCTGCCAAATATTATAAACCTAAACCTCCGTGTTTGGCCTGGGCAGGAGAAAGCATGCCCGCCGGCATTTGCAGCGCGCCACTCTGGATCCACCGCGCGGATGCTCCAGCTGCGGCGCTTCACATCGATCGGCTTCTCGTCGCCAGCAGCAGCGGATTCGATGGCTACTCGGTGAGGCCTCGCAGGAGGCGCCAGATTTTGGTAAGGGAACTAGCTAAGCCTGAGCTTGTGATTGGATTGGAGGGATTGTTAGAGGATTTGGAGTGGATGGATTGTGCATGGATGGATAGAGACGGATTGGCGGCTTTTTATTTGCTTCTTTGCTCAGGGTCTCCCGTGTCTTGGTGGATTTTCTATAGAGGGTAGCAGCAGAGAGTAGAAGAGGGGAAACTAGAAGAAGCAGTGATCTGGTGCTTGGGTATGGAGATGAGATCCCGACTCAAGCTGAAGCTATTGCTGCTGGAACCACTGTGGCAGAGCAACCGAGCTATAAATCGATACCAGACTTGGACTACTTGCAAGTAAGTTCTTAGTTCTCTCGAAACTCTTGTTCCTTCTTCTTTGTTTTTCGGGAGTTCTTATGTTTTTCTCTTCCTTTCTCAGGAACTTCTCGCGATCCAACAACAAGGGCCAAGAGCTATCGGCTTCTTCGGAACGCGAAACATGGGATTCATGCATCAACAGCTTATTGAGATACTTAGTTACGCGATGGTAATCACGGTGAGTTTCCTGTTTCGCGACGACGACGAAGCAGAAAATCGAAAGGACGAGAAAAGTCTAACCGTCGGCTTCACCTCTTCCAGAAAAACCACATCTACACGTCTGGAGCCTCCGGCACAAATGCCGCGGTTATCAGAGGAGCATTGAGAGCCGAGAGGCCCGAGTTGCTGACGGTGATTCTTCCCCAAAGTCTGAAGAAGCAGCCACCGGAGAGCCAAGAGCTGCTAGCAAAAGTAAGAGCTTTTCTCTTTCTCTCTTGGTTTTCCACTCAAACACAACAACACCAGGTGAAAAACGTGATGGAGATGCCGCACAACGATCATCTCCCATTGATTGAAGCGAGCAGGTGTTTTCGTCTTTCCATTTTCTTCTTTGCTCAAGCATCGATGTTTTCTTTGGCTTCTGACCACCGGGCTTGCTTTCCAGATTGTGCAATATGGACATTCTTTCACACGTACAGCAGGTCATTTGTTTTGCCTTCCATGACAGCAGATTACTCATGGAAACATGCAGCGAAGCCAAGAGTCTTCGCAAGATTGTCACGCTATTCTATCTCGACTGATGATGACGAGAGCACGTTTTGTGGTAAACGATCATCAAACCATTCGGCTGTTTGTTTAATTGATCGCCCTTTGTCAAAACTTGTGTCTGTCAGCTATTTTCTTTTGTCTTTTTTATTAGTCCACTGCATTGTCTTTGTTGTGTGTCGCGTGTTCTCCGTGTTTCTGTAGGTTTCTCTCCTCTCATGGCGCTTCACCTTTACATCGATCTGCTCTCACAGCCATCGCGAGCAATCTACATCTTTTGCCGGTGAGATTGAAAGTTTTCTCTCCTTTCTTCTTTGCTTTTTCTTTCTCCTAAAGCCATGATCTTGCTTGAAACGCAGGGTGAACAACATTGAAGCCGAGATCCATCACTTAGACTTGATGAAGAGGGAGCACCAGACGCCAGAGTACAAGGGTACTTCCTGGAATTCAATCATTCTAGAAAAAGCCACTGTTTCTCGCGTCTTTTTTGCTCAGCTGTGAATCCAATGGGGCAAGTGCCTGCTATTGTGGACAATGGTTTCAAACTCTTCGAAAGGTTTGGACTCTGGCTCGTCTTTGAGTCTGACTTAACTTCTGCACAGCCATGCTATTCTTCGTTATCTGGCAACAACGAAGCCTGGGGTTTCTAGTAACTGGTAAAGCACCACGTTTTTACTTATGTTCTGACCATTTTAAAACCGCAGGTACCCATCGGATCCATTACGAAGAGCTCGGATCGATAGCGTCCTGGATTGGCACCATGGAAATCTGCGTCGTGGTGCAGGTAACTTTCCCTTGTTTACTGTTACTTCCTCATTCATTATTCTCTCCTCATACAGCGGGCCTGTTTTTCAACGAAGTCCTGGCACCATATCTGGGCATCCCCAAAGACGAGAGCAAACTTGCGGAGTTTGATAAAACACTCCAAGCTTCAGTTGACACCATTGAAAACGTGTGGCTCGAAGAGGGCGGCAAATTCCTGTGCGGCGAGTCCGAGATAACCATTGCGGATCTGATCCTGGCTTGCGAAATCATCCAGCTCGAGGTAAAGACATCACAGTCAGCTTTATCCTCTCATCTTCGTGAATAACGCTTTGGAAAATCCAGGTTCTGAAGGACAAGTACGCTAGTCTGGTTGGTCCAAGAGACAAACTTAAAAAGTGGATGCTTGATGTTGAGGAAGCAGCCTCGCCTTACTTCCGTGACGCTCTCTCTAACTTAGCAGCGGCAACGGCCAAGTGAAAGGCATAACAGAAGAAAGGTTTGCTTATATGTTTTCTTAGTCACCAATCGGTGATAAACATGGTGTGTGGCGACTGAAGATCGACTGAAGATGTTAAGCAAGAGGGCTGGGAGATTAATAACTGAGTCCTTTTGCTATTCCAAAGCTATAAACTAGAAAATGAATGGAGGTTTCCCTGGGAAAAAATGGCAACGCTGCACAACAAACCATGCGAGATTGGATATCAGCAAGGAGAGCAACTCCGAGTCTTGGCTGTGCTGTGCTCCTGCTGCTGCTGCTGCTTCTCCTGCAGGAAGCGGATGTGTTGCGGCCTGCATAGCAGGTGCACCAACTTTACGTGGTGGGTGATGTGGTGGTAGTGCACCTGCAGCAGCGTCGGGTTGACCGCGTTACTGGCCGACAGGTACGGGTCAACGTCGCAGTAGTCAACGATCTCGCTGGGCCGAAAGGTGGTAGCCCAGGTCTGCAGCTTGGCGTGCGGGCAGTAGACCCGGATCTTGTGCTGGAACCTGTACAGGTACTTGTTCTCCGAGAGCTGCCGGTCCTGCTCCGGCGACACGATCTGGACGCTCATCTCCACCTGTTTCTCGATCTCCGTCTTGGGGCGGTAGTGGATGTCCACCCTCGCGCCCGGGTCCGCGTCCTCGTACTCGTGCGAGAAGTCGTACGCGTTCTCGAAGGAGATGATGTGGTTGACGCCCGTGTTGGGGTCCTTGAACGCGATGGAGCGGCAGAAGGTGTTTGTGTCGAGGATGGCGGTGGCGTTCTTGGTGGTCTTGAAGTCGGCGGTGTCGAACGAGTGGTGGGCGACGTGGTTGACGCGCCGGGTCATGACGGGGCGCTCCGGGAAGAGGCGGCGGATGTAGATGGAGTCGAGGAAGTGGACGCGGTTGGGGCCGGCGTCGCGGTTGGGCACCATCTTGGGCGCCACGCACACGATCCGCGGGGGCTCGTTCCATTTCGGTGGGGGAGGCTTGGGCGATCGCCCCGCACGCGCGCCCACGGAGCGCGAGCGGCATTTCTCCTGGGATTGCTGCGATTGATCGGAGGGATTGGGTCTCCGGACGGGCGAGCTCGATCGCGGCCGACTGCAAGGAGCCTGCCTGTGCCTGATTGTCAGATCGGCGGGCGTCTTGACCTCCCACGCCGAATCCATGGCGGCGACGGAGGCGAGGCCAGCAGCATTTCCTCCTTGCTCGCCGTGCCCAGCGCGCGCGAAAAGATGAGCGAATCGCGGGAGGAAACGCTTGGAGGGGCGAAGCGTTGCGTGAGGATGACGATGACGGTGACGGTGATGGGTGAAGGGTGACGGTCAACTGTCACAGATAGAATATTTTCTGGAAAAGATCCGCCTTTGGAGGAAAGATTCGTCTTTGGACAAGGCAGGGAAGTTTAAATTTCTCTCGTGAAACTTGGGTTCCATGGAAGGCGGGGTTGGAATCAGCAGCTACTCGCGGAATTCCTCCAACCAGGGATCGGCATTCTTGCTCATCGCCCCGGCTCTCCGCGCGGCGATCGCGGCGCACGACTTCGCCGATCACACTGCCGCTCCCATCCGGATCGCCGATTTGGGATGCGCGGTGGGCAGCAACACCATCACCGCGGTAGCCTTTGTGATCAAGGCCGTGAGGGACAAATTCAAGTCGTCCGGGCTGCGCGAGCCCGAGCTCCAGGCGCTCTTTTCGGATTTGGTCTCCAACGATTTCAACACGCTCTTCCAGCATCTGGAGGGCGCCGATTTCTTCGTCGCGGGAGTGCCAGGATCGTTCTACCATCGCCTCTTCCCCAGCTCCAGCATCCACTTTTCCATGTGTAACGTAGCATTGCAGTGGCTCTCAAAGGCGAGTGTTCTCATCTCTAAAGTTCTTTGTTCCTTGAGATGATGTTTCGCGATCTTGGATGAATTGCTGATCGAGCTCGTTGCTCTTGCTCTTTCAGGTTCCAGCGGCCGTGGCTGACAGAAGATCTTCGTCCTGGAACGCTGGAAGAATCACTGCTGGAGGATCAGCACCAGAGGTTGCTCGAGCGTTCGCGTCGCAAGCCCACGAAGATCTCTGCCGCTACTTGGCTTGTCGAGCTGAAGAGACTGTCCCTGGCGGCCTCGTCACCTTCTTCGTAAGCATAAGATCGAGCAGCGATCCTGCGGAGCAAACGGGAGGCGAGGATTGTTCTCTCGGCTGGATGGTAACCTGCCTGGAGCAAGCATGGAACGATTTAGTTCTCGAGGTAAGAGATCATCAAACAGACTGAAAAGAACAAACCCGCTTTGCTTTGCACAGGGATTGATTGATGAAGAAACTCGTGACTCCTTCAATATTCCGGCCTACCACCGGACTCTGGACGAGATTGCCAAGGCCGTCAGCGAGTCTGGCGATGTTTTCACTATCTTGCAGCTCGAAGAACTCAAGTGTCCAATGCCAACATACGCCAGCGTCAAGGCCAAAGTTGAGGCTGGAGGAGGGAAAGCTCCGACTCCTCAAGAGTATGCTGGCATAGAGACCATGGCGATGAAGAGCACTATGAAGAAACAAATAGAAGCACACCTGAAAACTCCAGATCTGGTCGACGCACTGTTTAAACGGCTGAAAGAGAGATTTCTTCCGAAGGAACCTTATGTTCCAGCACGTCACGTCAAAATGGCTTTGGCAATTCTGGAGCGAAGAAGGAAATAAGACGAAAGTATCCATTTGAAGTGGATCTACAAATGTTGACAAACATGCTTCTGGAAAATAGCAACCAAACGGAAAACTGTCACTCCAAAGCAGTGGAGATTGACTTGCCTTAGTTTTGCGCCTTGCACTGGCCCAAAGGAGGATGGCACAAAAAATGCTGCGTCACAGCAAAATGGTAATCGAAGTTGGAGCGCAGGTGCTTGCAGTGGAGCTCAATCCATCGCTCTTGCAGATTTGATGGCACTCCCTTGAGTCCTTCTTCCTCGGGGCTAGAAATAAGAGGACGAATTTCTTCGCGGAGTGCCTTGAACTCTACTGCTACAGCCTTCTGCTTTGCCTGCGCACCAAATGCCAGTAAAACAAAAGCTCCAAATAAGCAATCAAACTTACTTGCATTGCCACAACCTCTGAGCACTCCACCTCGAGAGCAGGCTCCGTCTTGGCAGACTCGGCGTTGATCCTTTTGTTAATGATGTTCCTCGACTTTTGGAAGGCGAGAGATTTTTGCTTCTTGTTCTGTTGCTGATCCTCCACCTTTTGCTGCAGCTGCTGCTTTGGCCGGATAATTTTCTTGTCGGCTTCGATTTGTCTCGCTTGCACAGACCTCTGACCTTTCACGACATTGTCTGCAGCGTCAGGGCTCGCCTTTGCCTTGGTCTCCGCCACCGGTTGCTTAGAGCCAGCCTCCACCTTCTTCGAGCCAGTAGCAGTCACTCCCTCCTTGCCTTTCGCAGCGACCGCCTCTTTTTCCTTCTGCTCTTGCTGTTCTTGCTGCTGCAAATGCTTAAGTATTGGAAACTTCTCGAGCAGATCTTCCTGCTTCATCACCAGCGCCGGATGCCTGCGTCCCCGCTGGTTTGGAGTTCGCTTCCGAGTGAAGCGCATGATTCTAATGTCCGCTACCTGCGTGTGCTGCATGTGTTGCGTAGCAGCAGCAGGAACTGCGAGCTGTTGCGGCGATGGATGGGCGTTCAAGTTAGACTCCGGTGGCGGTGCTGGATCTGTCTCTGTGGCCTCCACCACTGGCTCGGGCGGAGGCTGCGATGCCGCCAGAGCTCTCCAGTCATCGTCGCCATTATCTTCGTCCATGGTGCTAAACTTGGTTTGATCCTCGTCGACAAAGTCATTCACGCCATGAACTCTCTCCATGGCAAACCTGGGAAGGAAAAGCAACAAGAAAATCAGAAGAACTCGTAAAAGATCTCTCAAAAGTAATGCACACAAAATGGCACAAAACGAAGAGAGGAAAATGAAAATCAAACGAGCTGTTTGCTTGCTTGCCTCTCTTCATCACCGTCCCAGCAAAACACAGGCGTCTGTAGCTGCAAAGATCATACAGCTAAAGCCGTAGCACAGCGCACAAAGATTTTCTTACCGATGCTGCCTCTTCCATTGCTCCTCGCTGCAAATCCAGACCAGCCTAATGTGTAGATCGAGCAATCGCTTACCTCGGCTCGCAGCGCCGCAGCTAGCAGCGATCGAAATCACGGCACTCCAAAATCCCGGCAGCGCTCCCGCCAGTGCCGCCCTACTCAAACCCTAGCAAACACTACCGAGAAGAAAACTATTCCCTCCCAATTATGTTAAAAAAAAAGCTAAGCTTGAGCTTGAGCTTCTAGTTGCTGGAGCTCCTCTTGCCATGCTTTCACCTTCTCTGGTTTTGGCTGAGAGGACGTCCCTTCTTGAGGCGATTCGTTTGCTAGCCGGATCTACGCAGAGAAAAAAGAGTGAAGATCCATCCGCTTGGATTTTTTAGGAGTGAAAAGAAAGAATCGGACCTTTTTTTTGAGAGCTCGAATCCTCTTCTCCAGCTCCGACTTGCCAGTGTCAGTCACGCTTTGATTTCCTTCTTGCGAGATTTCTCCTTGCTTTGTTGTCTCGCATGGCTCGGAAGAAACTTGCAGGGCGTCAAGTTTTTGTGAGAGTGAGTCGCCGGGCTCTGTTGTTGTCGATCCCAGTTTTGCCTGATTCAGGAGAAAAAATTGTAAGCGATGAAGAAAAGATAAGACTGGCGATACAGAAAAAGATCCAATCGTCTCACCTGTTGCTTCTTCTCCTTCCTTTTCTCGTTCTTCTTTGCGGCTTTAGTTTTTGGCTTGATCAAATCGGTTTCGGGGTCGTAGCCGGGAGGAACCAAAGGAGCATCCTTCTTGAACTGGACAAAGTAATAAGCGAAGATGTTGTGATGAATTTCCTAGCTTACCAAGGCGCCTTTGGATTGATAAATGGCGACCTCCTCCTGCGCCACGTATCCAGCTCGTATCCTCACGGCCTTGCGCATTGTTCCATCGGGCCGCCGCGTTGCCGGGAGTATCCTCTCTTCCCCGCCCTTGGCCTCTGAACCCATCATGAACCCTAAAAAACGATGAAGAGCTCGATGACTGAAACACCAAGCTCCAGCGCTCAAGCGCAAATGCAGAGTTCTGTCACATGTTAGTGCTGTGAAGGCGTGCTCAAATCTCTTTAACTTCTGTGGGACATAATTACGTAGCTTCTCCAATTCTTGAATCTCCTTTTGAGGTGGAATATGATTGTGATATTACTTTTTTTCAAGGATCAAATTTAATGTTTATGAACTTCAGTGGATTCTTTATGATTTTGATTGCTTTGAAGGATGTGTTTGAAGCACGGGATAAGTTAAGTTTCTTATATAATCATTTTTTTTCTTTCGTACTACTTTTTTCTAACTTTTTATTATTTGTTGCCTTTTATACTTTCTTTTTCAGGTACATTGAGAAATTTGATTTATATATTTCTTGTGATAAGTATAATGTTGAGATGAATGTTTTTCATCCTCTGTAAAATGATTTTGGTCCAATATTGATTTTTTGTATTCTTGAAATGAATTTAATCAAAATAAGCTAAATATTATATAAACCTAATTTCCCTACTGTTTTTGGATAGAATATAATATTTTTACAGCAGTAAAGTAAATAGAGTATGAGCAATAAAAAATGGAAAATATTGTTTTAATGATAATTGTAATTCATTTTTCAGGTTTTTTATAGGCTATTTTACTCTCATTTTCTAACTATTTTAAATATATCTTTGAATATTTAGTTATTTGCAAAAATCTCATATATATATATATATATATATATATATATAATTAATATTTTTCCAAACCCATGCTAACATACTAACCTCAAGAAAAATTTATTAACACTAAATCTTTAACAATGATTATGTGCTTTAAAATTTAGCTTTTAAGTTACATATAATTAAAATCAAGTGGTATCTAATACTATACTAGAAGAAATAAATTTTAGATGTATAAATGTTTCTCTTACTAATTCATATAGTGAGCATTCTTTATAAATGTATTTCAGTAAAATTTCTATGATGTGTGGTGCCCTTAGTGAGTTAACACGAGATTTTAAATTTGTCAAATAGTTAGTGTTATAGGTAATAGATTTCTTAAAATATTTTAATAATTAATAAAACTATAGAAGTTACATGGTGTGATATATTTTTTTTCAATCAATAGGATTTGAGGTTATTTACTTATTTTATATATATATATATATATATATATATATATATATATTTATTTATTTATATATAGATATATATATAATTAAAAGCATAAACTATTTATATTAAACATAAAGAATTAAAGGTTGATACATATATTTTTCTTTGTAGTTATATAACTTATACTAGCACATAAGTAAATGTTTCATATAGAAAATAAAAAAACTAACAATTTCCTTGTGTTAACATAAAAATAATTTTTAAGTGAAATTAAATCTATATATGTGCTATTAAATGTGTACAAGTCAATACAAATGAGAAATTATTTTATTTGATTGTTTTTAAATTTTATCTTCAATTTTTGTTAATTTTAAGTTTATAATATGTGCATATATATTTTTATTGTGAAGGGACCTCATAAAAAAGAGCCATCATTTTTACACTATTTACTGTTTATATTTTTATTCAATATGCATATTATTTTTATAATTTTGGAATTTATATAGAATTAATTTAGATTATATTATAAATAAATTCATATAAGTTATAAACGACTAAATTTTCCATTCTATTTTAGTCACTTAACCACACCTCCAACCACTTGAAGGAGTCTCATTCACAACCTCCATAAGTCTTAACTCTTTTTGTGTAGTCCACTGACAATTATAACACTAATATAAAGATAAGTGAGTGGATTAAATTAAGGTACTTTATTTCTTGTTTTTCTAACTAAAAGTATTCATATTTGTTGTCATGATATAGCATGTTACATTTGTATCATTTAAATTTTACACACTAGATACTCATTGTACCTAGTTTATATAATACTGCATTGCTGCTAAAGAAAATAAATAAAAATCAAAAACTAATTTAAATCATTATAATATTGAAAGCTGAAGCTAATTCTTAAAAAGAATTAGAAGTTAAAAGGTAATAAGATTGCTAAATTTGATTGTTTTAAATGTTTCTGACATGTTTGTAAACAATCACATAACTATGTACTACATTATTTACCACCTTAACAAGATGCACTTTAATTCATAGGATTTTTCCCTTCTGTTCCTTTGAATCTTTCTTTTTATATATGTAATAGTGGTTAACAAAATCTCTTCTATATGTTTATATCCTTTTTTTAAAATGTTATATGAGTTTTGAGGCTTCATAATCTTGAAATAATGGCACTTCTTAGCAAGAAGTTTAACTAATAAGAAGGATGCATAATAAATATGGGAACCTTATTGGATAGTGTAGCATTGGATCAAGAGATGTTAAATTATGTTGCAAAAATCAAGTAACAAAAACATATGAAGTTTTGACACAACCAAATGAACAATTATGTTAAAACTTTGTATAACTCCCAATAAGAAAAAAAAATATTTCTTGTAGATTCAAGAGTCAATAACAAAAGACATGAGTGAGATATATTATATACAGTGCCGAAGAGTGTATATAAATATAGATAGTAGTAGTGATCTATCCAAGAATATGTGTGCAAATAATCTAAACTCTAAAAAACTTACATTTGATAACTTTTCTCTAAAGATTTTTCTCAAAAGTTCTCAATGCTCTATCATTTGATCAACTTTATTAGTTACAATTCAACCTTAAATTAAACACCTAATTATTAGAAGTGTTTATATTTTATATAATATTATATCAATATGGTAGTTTCCTTGTAGTTTATATATGTAGTAGGAATTTAAAGGTTCATAGAGTGAATGGTGTCAAGATACAAAGTCTCTCATTAGAAGATGCATTGAATAGATCAAGATAGTTAGTTCGTGAAATACTAGCCAAAAAAACCACAATTGAAACAGAATTGATATAGAATAAATACAAAGCTTAACAATAAAGTGTTTGATCAAATGTGGATAAAAGTGTGAAAACACTGACAATGAGTTGTAGAACATAATAGCTATGAAATAGTTAAGCACAACTTTGATACAATTGTTTAAAATAGTAAAAGTTAACTTCTCAAATTTTTTGTTGAGATAAGGAAGTTCAATATATCTCTTGAGAGAAAAATTATTTATATTACAATATACTATTATAAAAGGAAATATTTATTGCCTAAGAAATCCATAATTGAAATATAAAAGTACCTAAAATACAAAAAAATGATATTTAGTATTATAAAGGTATTAGATAAGGCATATAAAGAATAATGGATAGAAAATGTTATCCGAGTCTCAAGGTTAAAGAAAAGCTAGAGATATAGAAAGTCTATTTATCTAAAGTGAATAATGCCTAAAGTATTTTAGCATGGCTAACAATAAGCAAACAAACGCATATAAAGTATAATGCTAATCCTAGAGTGTAAGATTAGAAGTTGAGCATAAAAAATATTTTTTAAGTTATTAAATAAATTTATCCCTAAGAATACTTGTTAAGGCAAGTAAGAAGTGCAAATTTACCCTCTTACTATGGAGAAAAATAAACAAAAGAAACATATGGAGCCAAAAGTAAATTGTAAAGGGTAAAACTAAATTATAAAAATTAAAGGACATAAGTAAAGATGGTTGTGTAAGTTAGGAGTGGGGAAATGCAAGTTGGCAGTGCAAGCTTAAGGGTTATTACTTGTAAATATGGTATTATAAAGAATCTAAAGTATGGAAATATCTATGTTAGACCAAATGATAAACAAAAGTTTATGAAATGAGGGGCCTTAATAAACTAAAGGGTGGATTTCCTTTAATTTTCCAAATGGGAATCTAAGTAAATTTGTATTTAGGAAATTGAATATAAATTGAATATAAAGCACATATGAAATCAAATAGCATAAATAAAATATGGTCTTGAAGCTTGCCATAATGTAAGCTATCAAGGTTAAGGAAGTAATCTTCACATATTCAAAAGGATGGTTTTGAATGGAAGTTAATATTTAAGGATTTATATGCTTATACATAGAACCATATTACATTGGTTAAATGACTTGCTAAATGAAATTAACATTTAAAGGAATAAGGTGCTTAAATGAAGAGTTGACTTCAGAAAAGAAGGCTTATGAGGCCAAACATGAAGAAGTGCATGCATAAATATAGGTTAATCATCTAGTTTGTCAAGTGAGATAACTTAAATGCTAAAAGGAATAAAGTTCTTAAGTTGTGATATATAGTGTATATATGAAAGAGAAGTTAATTAACATGGGTATAAGTTTAGTGCATCAATGTGGGGGGTCATGCTAGACATCCTATCTAATGCCACATATAAATGCATATACAAAGGTTGGGTTATAATCCTAATTCTTTAGTGTTATGAGGGTATTAAAGTGTAATGATGGTTCAAAATATAAAGACATTTATTTTTTAGTGGTTATAGACTTTTAGCAAAGATGTTGGCTTAAGTATATTGTCAAGTGGGGGATACTCTATAATTGTGGATATTGTGAATTAGATGGGGACACCCAATTTTAGTTGTGTAAACAACTAAAGAGAACAATTTGAGATATAATTTATAAAGGTTTAAATATAAAGGAAAAATGCCTATAGATAAGAGAGCACTTTCTTTTTTTAATCGGTTAAAAGTCTTGAAATATTTAAGGTTAAATGTCTTTGGGTTAAGTAGTATTGGATTGAGTAGCCTCTTGGGAAGTTTAAATTCATATCTAAATAATATGACAAATAGTACGAGATATAGAATTGGAAGTTAAAAGTCCAATCAATTTTGGAAAATAAGTGTAAAAACACTAAAAGTGATAAAGTTAGACTTTAGATAAATCCAAAGGGAGAAAACTCTTTATAAAGTTTACTATATAGTGAGTTTGGCACAAAATAAAAGAAAGAATGATAGTGCTCTTAAGTAAAGAATTCTTTAGGATAGGGAAGTAAAGTGTATACCATAATAATGTGCATAGAAAAGTGTTAAAAACACCTAAGAAATTGATACAGGAAGTCAATGTTAAGGTTCTAAAATATAATCTTTATATTGATATAGTCTGAGATT